GCCCTTTTCCTTTATGGTTGATATTAACGATGAAAAGCGATATTCTCTTTCTCTCTCCTATTGTGTACCGCTGTTAAATACTGTGGCAAGATAAATACTTAAGGAAAGGGAAAATAAGTACTCAGAACTACCAATTATTATAGATAAACATTAAAGCAAATAGTAAACACAGCACTGGACTGAACCCCCTAATTGTCAAACTAATATTCTAATATGTACAACAATATAGACATACATAACTAGAGGAGCTATTGAAATTCAAAACGATGAAACATTTATGTAGCACCGCATTAGATTACAGTACACAAACAAGTGTGTGCAATATATAAGGCTAGTCCACAGACATTCTGAAGTTTGTTTGAGGTCAGTAGGTCACATGACCAAGGAGCAATTTAAATTATAAAGTTTTAAAAATTCACGTAAAGTCGCATGAGATTAAAATGGACAAACAAAAGGGTGTGCAATATAGAAGGGTAGTCAGTGGACATTCTGAACCTTGCTGAGTCCAGTAGGTCACATGACCAGAGAGCTATTGAAATTAAAAACAATGAAAAATTAATGTAAAATCACCTGAGATGAAAATGGACGAACAAAAGGGTGTGCAATATATAAGGCTAGTGAGTGGATGTTCTGAAACTAGTTTGAGGGTTGTAGGTCACATGACCAAGGAGCTATTGAAATTTGAAAGTTTGAATAATTCATGTAAATCTTGTGAGATGCAAATGGACAAACAAAAGGGTGTGCAATGTGCAAGCCCACTGAGTGTACATTATGAACCTTGTTTGAGGTATGTGGGTCACATGACCAAGGCGCTATTGAATTAAAAAAATTTAAATAAATAATTTAAAATAGGGCGAGATGTAAATCAGCAAAGAAAGTTTGTGCAATATGTGTCTCTGCCATCGGGTTAGCTAGAACCAGTTTTGAAAGTTTTAGGAGTAATGGTTAAAGACCTATTGAAATTTGATGTGTGACTATGTTGACGGTCCCTAACTGCTGTTGGTGGACGTAAGGAAAACTACAGGCGAATATCTGTCGAATATCCAACCTGAATCTGTCTTTACCTCGGTATAGACAAGGTATGACAACAATCAATGCTTTGGTTTTGTTTACCTGGCCACTGTTTCAAACGCTATATTTTTAGCGTGTGGCACAAATCCAATGCAAGACAAAGGTACCTATACTGAAAAAATATATAAACGCAACATCAAATCAAATGTTATTTGTCACATGCGCTGAATACAACAGGTGTAGACCTTACGGTGAAATGCTTACTTACAAGCCCTTAACCAACAATGCAGTTTTAAGAAAAATAACAGTTAAGAAAATGTTTACTAAATAAACAAACGTTTAAAAAAAGTAACACAATAAAATAACGAGGGGGGGCGATGCAAATAGTCTGGGTAGCCATTTGATTAACTGTTCAGCAGTCTTATGGCTTGGGGGTAGAAGCTGTTAAGGAGCCTTTTGGACCTAGACTCCGGTACTGCTTGCCGTGCGGTAGCAGAGAGAACAGTCTAGGACTTGAGTGGCTGGATTTTTAGGGCCTTCCTCCGACACCGCCTGGTATAGAGGTCATGGATGGCAGGAAGCTTGTCCCAGTGATGTACTGGGCCGTACGCACTCTCCTCTGTAGCGCCTTGTGGTTGGATGCCAGGCGGTGATGCAACCAGTCAGGATGCTCTCAATGGTGCAGCTGTATAACTTTTTGAGGATCTGAGGATCCATGCAAAATCTTTTCAGTCTCCTGAGGGGGAATTAGTCTGTCGTGCCCTCTTCACGACTGTCTTGGTGTGTTTGGACCATGATAGTTTGTTGGTGATGTGGACACCAAGGAACTTGAAGCTCTCAACCTGCTCTACTACAGCCCCGTCGAGGTTAATGGGGGAGTGCTCGGCCCTCCTTTTCCTGTATTCCACAATCATCTCCTTTGTCTTCCTCACGTTGAGGGAGAGGTTGTTATCCTGGCACCACACAGTCAGGTCCATAGATTTCAATTGACTGATTTACTTATATGAACTGTAACTCAGTAACATCTTGAATGTTGCATTTGTTGAATGTTGCATTTATATTTTTGTTCACTGTAGGAAAAATGTATTGTTCATTCAGTATTACATCACAACTCTGCTACCTTGTGGTTTTTCTAGAGTACAGCCGCTTACCTGTCAGGTTCAATGGAAGACAGTCCACAGCGCCACACTGTGTTTACATCCCAAATGGCACCCTGTACCCTATGTCAGTGTTTCCCAACTCCAGTCCTCCAGTACCCCCAACAGTACACATTTTTTGTTGTAGCCCTTGACAAACTCACCTGATTCAACTCACTGAGGGCTTGATGATTAGTTGAATCAGGTGTGCACTTGTCTGGGGCTACAACAAAAATGTGTACTGTTGGGGGTACTCAAGGACTGGAAACACTGCCCTATTTAGTGCACTACTTTTCAAGAGGGCCCATGGGTCAAAAGTAGTGCATTGTGTAGGGCAGGGCTGCCCAACCCTCTTCCTGGAGATCTACTGTCCTGTAGGTTTTCAGTCGAACACTAATTTAGCATATCTGATTCAGCTAGCTAAGGTCTTGTTGAGCAGCTAATAAGTAGAATCAGGTGCGTTAAATTAGGGTGGACTGAAAACCCACAGGAGGGTAGATCTCCAGGAAGAGGGTTGGGCAGCCCTGGTGTTGGGGGTTAGGGTACCATTTGGGACGCTGCCCATGACCAGTTTGGATCATGTTATGTGTTTATTACCTGCTCCAACAAGCACTTCTTTAACTTCTACATCCCATGCTGTTTGTTGCATCAGACAAAAATCACATGATTCAATACACTATTTATTTATTTTTCACAATTTGTATTGACAGATGTCAAGTATCGCAGGCATTTGTAAACAGTGTGTCCACAAACAATATACATTTTCTTTCTTATGATGTCGAACATATAGCAGAGGCATTAACTTGTCATTAAAACACTATCATTTGAATTTAAATAAATATAATACTGATTAAAAAAAAGAACATACAACTCAAATCTACAATCTACCTGAAATAGTCCTTAAGGTAACATCCAGGTCAAATCCTTGTTTTATGCCACATACAACGACTGATAAACAGCACTACACAGGGAGGTAAGAGAGAGAGCTCCTCTCTCCTAGCTCCAGAGGAACAGTAGGTTTAAGGTTGAGAATTCTGCAGCAAACATCCTGGTACTGTAGGTATAGGTTGAAAAGGTCTATTGATGGCTGCAAGTAAACCAAAAATCCTAGAGCCAAATTCTTCACAGTCCACAGTCAGTCTTATCATTGACTTTCATTACTTGAAGTCAAGAGCATTTCAGAATCAGCAACATCTCAACTTCAATCAATTAGTAGGAAAAGTAGGCACTGAGAAACATAATACTGTAGCCTTTCACTAATATATTCAATAACACTAAAGTTAGGAGAATCCTTGTCGCAAAATGTAGCCTAGCTAGAATTGTAATTAATTTGCCCCCGAATACTCTACGTATTGTACTTATTATTTTACAAGAAATTGAATGTTTGACTAAGAGTTATGTGATTTATCTCCATTAATAATAGTGTCTCTTTCATGTAGTCCTGAAAAAGTATTACATGCAGCAATTATGTCTATCAATTCTACTGCCGGATGCATTACACTGTTATTCTAGCTGACAATGTCAGTAAAACATTTTACTATAAAGAGCTATGGTACCTTTCCATATTAACGGCAACATTTTATAATATCTCAAAGGCAATACAAACCATATCTTTTAACGCTATTAACTCTAAACCAACAGCCATATTGTATCATGTAAATAAAAATCATAATGTTTTATTGTAACATACACCGGATAGGTGAAGTGAAATGTGTTGTTTACAGGCTCAGTGCTGTTCCACCTGCCCAAATTCAACATAGATACATAGAAAAACATAATTTTTGCTTCTAATATTGAAGTGCTAAAATGAAAAAAATTGTTTGATTTAATTAAGATTAATTTCCTAGTTATTCCGCTTAGGAAACACCACATAGCTTAATTTTAGTCTTTCTACAATATTGCTTACCACATCTGACTAGCAGGTGCCCTCAACCACCCTGTAAAACCAACAGCAATATGTACTTGAATATTGCATGTTACACACATGAACTCCTTGTTTCAACGATCTTGTTACTCTCCAGCTTATGTATCACTAGTCTCAGAGAAGTAGTGCTGATCTAGGATCAGCTCGCCTCTGTCCATGTGATCGTACTGATTACTGAGCTGTGGGAGATTAGTAACTCCCAGCCCTAAACTCGACTTAGCACTGTTTAAGCAATTAGTCTGATGTCCTTTGAATTAATAAAAAGGGGGGAATGGAAAAGGTTACAACTTCACCAAAAGGCAAAACAAACAACCTCAGCAGCCATGATTGATATCACTTTGACAGTTGTTCAGTAGAACATGCTCTATCGTAGACATAGTAAGTAGTTGGACATTATAATAATTATTTAAAGAGTATTGTTTTTTTTATTTTTATGTGGGCTTGGTTACACAGTACATGGGAGAAGTGGCCCTGCTGCTGGTAAATCCATTAATTTACACAGCCATATCTTTTACAGGTACAGACCTATTAAGCTAATCTAAACTACTAGCCACAGACTCCCAGTCTTCGCTCTAAGGTAAAATCTGGTGACAGAGGCTACTTACTAAACTACTGACTAACTAACTGACTAACTAACTAATGTGAAAGAGTGGTTTGTTTGTGTGGATTAGCTAATCATGGGAAGCACAGCAGAGTCTCTTTGCACCAGCAGCACTGGTCTGGTCTGGTCTGCTCCACCACAGAGCCAGCAGGGGGTCTGGTTGGTTAAAACATTGTATGCGTGCCAAATGGCACCCTATTCCCTATGTAGTGCACTACTTTTGCCCTGGTCATTTAAATTTGGAGTTTTGTTAGCGACCGGTAAGCAAAAGATGCCTTCGTTCTGTTAAGCCCATGGCACACGAAGCAACATTGAGGGGGGTCATCATGGGAATTGAGTACTATTTGGGATGAAGCCCAAGTGTGTCTGAAATAGAACTACGGCAAGGGATGTATTTGTGGGCCTGTCTATGAGGTTGCCACACAAAAGAGGTTCCAATTCCAAAAGATCCAGACATATCCTTTCCAAGTCAACCACTCATTATTACACGTAGGTCTGGGGCAATACTGAATGAAATTTCCAGATTGTATGGAAAGGGAAGGCAACGTTCACTGTGTGCCTTTAATACTGCTTGCCATTGTATAATAGGGCAAAAATAAAAATATTTTGCATAGTACAGGATTTAGTTTATGCTCGCTGGCCAAGCTGCTTACCTCAGTCACCTCGTCCTGCTGAGGTCTTAGAATGAACACTAAAACTGAGCAATGAAGGATATTATTCATGTCATTTTCACCTAGCACCAAGCAACAATACCATCATTATGATCGTTCTCGAGAAGTATCGAAGGTGCACTTTTCCAAAGAGATGATATGCATTCACTCCCATGGTAAAAACTAACTAAAGAGAAAAGCACACAAACATACTAGGTAGAGGGAAGGGGAGATTAGCTAACTGAGGTATCCATCCCAGTGTCTTCCTGTATACATGTTGACCAACCGTTCTCTGTCTGAGTGACGTCTTGTGCCTGTCTGTGTGTGTGTGTGCGCAACGCGAGTGTGTATGTGTGAACGTATACTATAATACTATACAAGTGAGAACCCAGAGTAAGAAAGGCACACATTGCAGAGACTGTGGATGGCAGGGCGGTTGGAGTTGGTTGGTAACCTCACCTAACCCTCAGACGCGGGCAGACACCTGTTCCAGAGAGCGAGCGGAAGGGCGAGGGGCCGGCGGGGTTATTGCTTTCAGGCTCTTCAGGCTGTTCCCCGGGCAGCTCTGGCTGCTGAGGCCCCTGTTGAGGACAGGGATGATGGGAGGTTCGTTGCGTGGTATATTAACGGGACAGGAGCGGGTACGGGCGTGCCCCTTGTGACCCCCGGCGTGGCAGATGAGGTTGCTGACCGTGTCCATGGGCGAGAGGTGTTTCAGCCAGCGCTCCAGACGTTCTTCCTTGTACTTGATGGAGTACCAGGTGAGGAAGATGAAGACGAAGCCAATGAACTTGAGGCTGGCGGCCAGGCCGAAGTAGACGAAGCGGAAGGAAGTGACGTCGTACTCCCAGCAGGAGCCGTGGACGCCACAGTCCTGCTGCCACAGCATACAGGTGGTATCAATCACCGCCCCGAAGTAGATGGGTGTAGGTATGTAGGCTGGGGAGAGAGGAGAGCGAGAGAGACACCGTTATGATGCAGAAGTAGATGGGTTAGGTAGGTAGGCTGGGGAGAGAGGAGAGCGAGAGAGACACCGTTATGATGCAGAAGTAGATGGGTGTAGGTAGGATATGTGGGGAGAGAGGGAGCGAGGAGACACCGTTATGATGCAGAAGTAGATGGGTGTAGGGTTGTAGGCTGGGGAGAGAGGAGAGACTATTCTAACACAGCATGCATGTGATGTCGGAACCAGTCTTTCCAAATTACATTTCGAACCAGATCTCATTCAGTGTCCCAATGGGACCCTATCCCTATATAGTGCACTACTTTTAATCAGAGCCCTATGGCACTATATAGGGACTAGGGTGCCATTTGGGACATAACCTAAAAAACAACCTCTCAGTATTGAACTCTCTGTATTTCACTGAAGCTGCATCACTCACCAAGGGTCCTGAGGAGAACAAACTGCATCCCGAGTGCAAAGGGTCTCTCCTGCTCTTCTACTGACCTAGAGGAGAGGAGGAAGAAGGGAGGAAATGGTGAAGATAGAGGTGCAAAATTATGATCACTTTTCAAGGATTCCGAGGTTTTCTTGAAATCCCAGAGGATTCCAGGATGTCCTGCTTATTCCATCCTGATTCTAGAAATCGTCCAACCGGGATCACAGAAAGTTACCGTAATTATTCAACCCGATGAAGAGAACAAGAGAGCTCACAACCACTACCTCACAATCCCTTCGCTAAGTGTGTTTTGTTCAGTGTCTGTTCCGGGTCAATACCTGAGAGTGACGATGATGGCGGAGGGCTGAGCGCAGGCGGTGATGAGTGTGACGATGAAGAGGAAGATGAGGAAGGGAATCAGGGTGCTGCAGGTGCGGTCACACTTCCCCGACACGGCGTAGCCGTTCTCGTTCAGGTAGGTCTTGACGATGACCAGCTGCAGCTGGTTGACTTGGCCGTTAGAGGAGGGGGTGATGACCTGTCTGCTCTGGACACATGCACAGTCAGAGTAGTTCCTGATCTGAGAGAGAGAGCGAGAGAGAGAGCGAGAGAGCGAGAGAGAGGGATACACAGAACACCAGGCATCATTCTCAGCTCATCTTATTGTACTATGGAAGTGAAATTCTAAGGAGAAACTGTGTGTACCACTAGAAGTGTGTTATTCAAGTACTACCAATGTAGACTGTACAATGTAAATGGATGATTAATGAATGTTTGTTCAATGGTCAGTAAGCTATAACCAGTGGTGTAAAGTACTTAAGTCGTTTTTTGGGGTATCTGTACTTTACTTTACTATTCATATTTTTGACAACTTTTACTTTTACTTCACTACATACATGACTCCATACATGTTCCCTGACACCCAAAAATACTTAGAATGCTTAGGAGGACAGAAAATGGTCCAATTCACACACTTATCAAGAGGACATCCCTGATCATCCCAACTGCCTCTTATCTGGCAGACTCACTAAACACATTTACTTTGTTTGTAAATGATGTCTGAGTGTTGGAGTGTAAATGTAAAAAAAAAAAATACTGCTTTGCTTAATATAAGTAATTAGAACTGATTCATACTTTTACTTTTGATATTTAAGTAAATTTAAAACCAAATACTTTTAGACTTTTACTCAAGTAGTATTTTACTGGGTGACTTCACTTTTACTTGAGTCAATTTCTATTAAGGTATCATTACTTTTACTCAAGTATGACAATTGGGTACTTTCTCCACCACTGGCTATTACTACAAACTAACAATATAGTTTTTCCTGATCAGGTCACTCACATTATGGCCAGGAAGAACTCCTAGCCCTAGCTTTAGGTAACTTTCCCAAAATGCCCAGGTATTCCAGAAATCCTGTTTGGAATATTTCTAGTAACAGAAGCAGGAAATCTGGGAAAACCTGGGAATTTGGGGAAAGTTACCATAATTTTGCAACCCTACTTTTGTGACTGAGGGACTCACTCCTGTGCTGTCGTTGCCCACACTGCTGCAGCCTGCCAGGCAGGGGTTGAAGTAGGTGATTCCGTCTGAGCCACATACTGGCGCGTACTCATGGATCTTACAGCCACAGTTCACATTACACCCTCCAGTCAGGTTACGATGGGTCATAGTCAGAGTAGGACTGAGAAAAGAGAGGGAGAGAGATTATTTAGAGAGGGGGAGGGAAAGAGACTGGGAAGAGGGAGAGGGAGGGGAAGAGAGACAGGGAAGATGGAGAGGGAGGGAAAGAGACTGGGAAGAGGGAGAGGGAGGGGAAGAGAGACAGGGAAGATGGAGAGGGAGGGAAAGAGACTGGGAAGAGGGAGAGGGAGGGGAAGAGAGACAGGGAAGATGGAGAGGGAAGGGAAGAGAGGGGGATGAAGAGAGCTAAATAACGTAGGACATTTTCCTCTATCACAAAGTAATTCTTCAGACTGATTAAACAATGTTAAGAAGTCTATCTTACCATGCTGCTATTCAAAGGTCACATTTACACTGAGATTTGCTGCACCAAAATACTTTGCTCAGAACTGAGAGCAATTACACCAGTTAGGGAAGATACACTACATGAACAAAAGTATGTGGACACCTGCTCGTCAAACATCTCATTCCAAAATCATGGGCATTGATATGGAGTTGGTCCCCCCTTTGCTGCTATAACAGCCTCCACTCTTCTGGGAAGGCTTTCCACTAGATGTTGGAACATTACTGCGGGGACTTGCTTCCATTCAGCCACAAGAGCATTAGTGAGGTCGGGCACTGAAGTTGGCCGATTAGGCCTGACTCGTAGTCTGCGTTCCAATTCATCCCAAAGGTGTTTGATGGGGTTGAGGTCAGGGCTCTGTGCAGGCCAGTCAAGTTCTTCCACACCAATCTCGACAAACCACTTCTGTATAGACCTCGCTTTGTGCACGGCGGCATTGCCATGCGGAAACAGGAAAGGGCCTTCCCCAAACTGTTACCACAAAGTTGGAAGCACAGAATCATCTAGAATGTCATTCTATGCTGTAGCGTTAAGATTTCCCTTCACTGGAAACTAAGAGGCCTAGCCCGAACCATGAAAAACAGCCCCAGAAACATTATTCCTCCTCCACCAAACTTTACAGTTGGCACTATGCATTGGGGCAGGTAGCGTTCTCCTGGCATCTGCCAAACCCAGATTTATCCGTCGGACTGCCATAGGACTGTCCCCGACAAAAAAAATCTTGGTCGACCGAAAGTAATCTGTTCTTTTATTTGTATTTTTGCATAACAACCTATGTGTTTTAATAAAATCAACTATATGCATTGAGCTTGTCTGATGCTTTAAGCTTACTGTTTGATGAAATAAGACACATATGACTCAAGAGGGAGCCAGAGATCTAGATAACCAGAAGAAAAAAAACTGACCCAACCATCCTCCTCCTGCTCCTGCAGGCAATTTTGGAGATTCTGCCATTTCTCTCCTGAAGTTGTCGGTAATAGGCTACACAAGGAGTCTGCAACTTTTCATGTGGAATGCCAATTTAATCTTACCATTTCTACCAATCTCTGTGCCAGTTATGGTTTTCATATGCACAGCTAGAAAGATGTGTAGACATAGAGTAATTGTCTCTGGCCCCCTCACTCACCAGTTAGGGTGAGTGATGAGCTCTACAGCAGTCTCACAACTCAATCGCTGGTTGAAAACTGTTTTCTGCCCCTCCCAAAATATAGAATTTGTAGATAATTGGCCCTCTTTCTGGGACTCACCCACAAACAGGACCAAGCCTGGCCTGCTAAGGAGTGACGGACTCCATCCTAGCTGGAGGGGTGCTCTCATCTTATCTACCAACATAGACAGGGCACTAGTTTACTCCAATTAGGGAAAGGGTGGTGGGGTTGGAAAGTAATAAAGGGGAATATATATTTTTAAAAGGATATGTAAGTGTATGTGTGTATATATGTGTATGTATGTGTGTATATATGTGTATATATGTATATATATATATAAAAACATGGGGGATTGGAAGTGATGCAGACAATTACATTGATGGAAGTTACAATCTATCTGCAATATTAAGCTGATCTACCAAAAAAAGATAAAAAAAAGAAGAAAAAAACATAGACAGGGCTCTAACTCATCTACCTCCACAATGAGATAGGGTGCAAGCCAGACAGCAGGCTTTTAGCCAGCCTGCCAGATTAGTGGAGTCTGCCACTAGCACAGTCAGTGTAGTCAGCTCAGCTATCCCCATTGAGACCGTGTCTGTGCCTCGATCTAGGTTGAGAAAAACTAAACATGGCAGTGTTTGCCTTAGCAATCTCACTGGAATAAAGACTTCCTCCATTCCTGTCATTATTGAAAGAGATTGTGATATCTCACATCTCAAAATAGGGCTACTTAATGTTAGAGCCCTCACTTCCAAGGCAGTTATGGTCAATGAACTAATCACTGATCATAATCTTGATGTGATTGACCTGACTGAAACATGGCTTAAGCCTGATTAATTTACTGTGTTAAATGAGGCCTCTCCTCCTGGTTAAACTAGTGACCATATCCCCCGCAAAGACGGAGGTGTTGCTAACATTTACGATAGCAAATGTCAATTCACCCCCCCCCCAAAAAAAATGACTGCGTTTTCGTCTTTTGAGCTTCTAGTCATGAAATCTATGCAGCCTACTTTTTATAGCTACTGTTTACAGGCCTCCAGGGCCGTATACAGAGCTCCTCACTGAGTTCCCTGAATTCCTATCGGACCTTGTAGTCATGGCAGATAATATTCTCATTTTTGGTGACTTTAATATTCACATGGAAAAGTCCACAGACCCACTCCAAAAGGCTTTCGGAGGCATCATCGACTCAGTGGGTTTTGTCCAACATGTCTCCGGACCTACTCATTGCCACAGTCACACCCTGGATCTAGTTTTTAGACTATCGGACCACCATCTTATTCCTTTTGCAATTGCAACAAATAATATGCTCAGACCCCAACCAAGGACCATCAAAAGCTGTGCTATAAATTCTCAGACAACCCAAAGATTCCTAGAGGCCCTTCCAGACTCCCTCCACCTACTCAAGGACGTCGGAGTACAAAAATCAGTTAACGACCAAACTGAGGATCTAAATTTAACCTTGCGTAATACCCTAGATGCAGTCGCACCCCTAAAAACAAAAAACATTTGTCACAAGAAACTAGCTCCCTGGTATACAGAAAATACCCGAGCCCTGAAGCAAGCCTCCAGAAAATTGGAACGGAAATGGGGCTCCACCAAACTGGAAGTCTTCCTACTAACCAATTTGTAAGTCGCTCTGGATAAGAGTGTCTGCTAAATGATGTAAATGTAAATGTAGCTTGGAAAGAAAGTACAGAGCAATATCGAAGAGCCCTCACTGCTGCTCGATCATCCTATTTTTCCAACCTAATTGAGGAGAATAAGAACAATCAACAATCCAAAATGTCTATTTCATACTGTCGCAAAGCTAACTAAAAAGCAGCATTCCCCAAGAGAGGATGCTTTCACTTCAGCAGTGATGAATTCATGAACGTCTTTGACGAAAAGATCATGATCAATAGAAAGCAAATTACGGAATCTGTGTATTTCGCCAAAGCTCAGCTGTCCTGAGTCGGCACAAAACTGCCAGGACCTAGGATCAATGGAGACACTCAAGTTTTTTTAAATCCTATCTCTCTTGACACATTCATGAACATAGTCATGGACTCTAAACCGTCAAGCTGCATACTGGACCCTATTCCAACTAAACTACTGAAAGAGCTACTTTCTGTGCTTGGCCCTCCTATGTTGAACATAATACATGGCTCCCTATCCACTGGATGTGTCCCAAACTCACTAAAAGTGGCAGTAATAAAGCCTCTCTTGAAAAAGCCAAACCTTGACTCAGAAAATGTAAAAAACTAAATCGGCCTATATCGAATCTCCATTCCTCTCAAAAATCTTAGAAAAAGCTGTTGTGCAGCAACTCACTGCCTTCCTGAAGACAACTAATGTATACAAAACGCTTCAGTCTGGTTTTAGACCCCATCATAGCACTGAGACTGCACTCGTGAAGGTGGTAAATGACTTTTTAATGGCGTCAGACCAAGGCTCTGCATCTGTCCTCGTGCTCCTAGACCTGGTGCTTTTGACACCATCGATCACCACATTATTTTGGAGAGATTGGAAACCTTAATTGGTCTACACAGACAAGTTCTTGCCTAGTTTAGATCTTATCTGTCGGAAAGATATCAGTTCATGGCCGGGCATTTAGAGGTGTGAATTTAAGTATGCTCCCTCTAATTCTCTCACTCTCCATCTCTCTCTCCCATCCTGGAGGACCTGAGCCCTAGGACCATGCCACAGGACTACTTGGCCTGATGACTCCTTGCTGTCCCCAGTCCACCTGGTCATGCTGCTGCTCCAGTTTCCACTCTTCTGCCTGCGGCTATGGAACCCTGACCTGTTCACCGGACGCGCTACCTTGTCCCAGACCTGTAGTTTTCAACTCTCTCTCTCTACCGCACCTGCTATTTCAACCTCTAAATGCCCGGCTTTGAAAAGCCAAGTGACATTTACTCCTGATGTACTGACCTGTTGCAACCTCTACAACCACTGTGATTATTATTTGACCCTGCTGGTCATCTATGAACGTTTGAACATCTTGGAGAAAAATGTCCATGTCCAATGGCCATGTACTGTTATAATCTCCACTCGGCACAGCCAGAAGGGGACTGGCCACCCCTGAGAGCCTGGTTCCTCTCTAGGTTTCTTCCTAGGTTTCTGCCTTTCTAGGGAGTTTTTCCTAGCCACCGTGCTTCTACATCTGCATTGCTTGCCGTTTGGGGTTTTAGGCTGGGTTTCTGTATAGCACTTTGTGACATCTGCTGATGTAAAAAGGGCTTTATAAATAAAATCTGATTGATTTAATTTGATTGATTTAATTTATAATAAAGTTTTCATATCTCAAATCCCATCATTGTCATGTGGTTAATCAAAATTCTATCCAAATCTAAATGAAAATGAAACAAACCTAAAAAGTAACTTCTATTGCCATTGCCAACTATGTAAAAAATATCCTACATAAAGCAAACAAATAAAAACATTGCAACCTGCAGGTAGAAAATATCCTGATAAAAAAAGAATATCCTATAAATCACATTGGCCACGCATGGCCTGTCTGCAACGAACTTGCAACATTGTATCAACTATTAACTGGGTCCAGCCCAAAGTTTGAGCTAGCGAACTTGCAACATGGTATAAAATATTCTGGGCCCTCAGAGTTTCCAGCGCCAGTGAGCTCAGGACAGACACAACTGTAGTCTATTTGCACCAAGAGATAAGAAGCAGTGCTTGACTTGGGCAGGAATTCACTGGAGCTAAGTCCCGGCAACTCAAATGTTCTACTGCTTGAGCTCCTGTTCCTCTTATAGAATATTAGCTCAAAAGTATTGTGGAGCTCCTGTACCTAAATATAAACAGTGCCAGTACCCAAAATGAGTACCGGAACCTATTTCAGTCCAAGTCGAGCACTGATAAGAAGTAATCAGGTAGGCCTATTTTATGACATTTCCACTGATTCAGAGCATGACATTTTCCCTTTCACGCTGAGTGGTTATCGAAAGGGAGAGAGCTGGAAAGATTTTTCAAATAGCCTACATTGAGGAACTATTGTCATTGTCAATGGATGTAAAAACAGACTGTTTGCTTGCTGTTTGAGGTGAAGAAAACATTACTTTGAGAAGCTCCACAGGTCATTAGCGGTGGTGCGTTAAGCCAATCAGATGCCCAAATGGGCACATTTATATGCCTACATTTGCGCGCAGGCCAGGTAGCCTATAGGCCTATGTACTTCTATGCGTAATCAGGTGCGAGTCCTTACTCGACATTGACAGGAGCCCTCCAAACAAAAGACAATGACTAAATTGAATTGACAAAACTTGTAAATGGAATGAAATAAACCCAAACTTGTTTCTCGCAAGTGTAGCATAGGTTGTGCGCTCTGCAAACAATGTGTCCACTCCGACAATGAGAACGGTAAGACTGGAATAATAATATATTGAATGCATTAACAGAAATGACCATATTCGAAGATAAATATACAACGCAGAGGACTAGAGGTCAAGAGGGAATTAACGATCAATGGAAATAGTTGTTTTTCAGTTCAACATCTGTTTAGAATCTGTGTAGGGGTTCCAACCAGGGACTCATAGCTACATGTGGCAAGTTCTCATTGGTCGAAATTGTCTATACATTGAGCCTGAAACAGGATACTTGGGGGTTGGGCCATTGGCCCAATTTTATTGCAAGGAATTCTAATTGGTCAGCCACATGCTAGGCTTGAGGCTATAAACCACATCCTGTCTCTTTGTTCAGTGGAGAAACATTGAGGACAGGGAAGAATGAACATCTACCATCCAGAATAACAACTATGATTTGTTCTCTTTGAATAAATATATTTTTCTCCCCCTGATTTGCTTTGGGGTCTGTGTTATTGAAGATTAACATCAACTGCTAACAATGGTCACCTCCTCTTCTCATCATCACTGGGAAAAACACACACACATACTGCTGAGTGTACAAACAAAAATTCCTCACATTGTTTAATTCTTTGATATGGGGTTTTTGGAGGCTGGAATGTTTGCAGAGAAAGAATTCATTGAATTTTGGGGGAGCTGAGAGAAAGAGGACAAGATCGACAGGGGATTGCATGAGGAAAAAAAGTTCAGATTGAAAGAGAGGGGTACTAGGCCTCCCGAGTGGCGCAGTGGTCTAAGGCACTGCATAGCAGTGCTTGAGGCGTCACTACAGACCCGGGTTCGATCCCAGGCTGTGTCGCAGCCGGCCGCGACCGGTAGACCCATGACAATAGACAATTGGCTCAGCGTCGTCCGGGTTAGGTTTTGCCGGCCGGGATGTCAATTTCCCATCGCGCTTGCACGCTGACTTCGGTCGCCAGTTGTACAGTGTTTCCTCCGACACATTGGTGCGGCTGGCTTCCGGGTTAAGCGAGCAGTGTGTCAAGAAGCAGTGCGGCTTGGCAGGGTCGTGTTTCAGAGGACGCATGGCTCTCGACCTTTGCCTCTCCCGAGTCCATACGGGAGTTGTAGCGATGAGACAAGACTGTAACTACTAATTGGATACCACAAAATTGGGGAGAAAAAGGGTAAATAATAATTAGAATAAAAACGAAGAGAGGGGTACTGAGTGAAGGAAGGAAGGTGTGGTTCTTACCCGGTGGTGTATGGTATGTTGATGCCTCCCAGGTTGATGCTCTCACAGCCCACTATGAACAGAGTAGAGAAGCAGAGCAGAGACACCCCACTACAGATCATGGCCAGCTTGGCTGACTCTCTGGCTCCCAGCTTCAGCTTCTTAATGATGTAGCCCCCCAGGACTATACCCACCCCAGCACTGGGCACGATGATCACACCTGGGACAGCAGGAGACAGAGAGAGAGAGACAGAGAGACAGAGAGAGAGAGAGAGAGAGAGAGTCAATGGTGCGGTCTCTAGAACGATTAGATCACAGCAATCTGTTTCACATCTAGACGCATGTTATTCTACAACATAATTTAATTTTGGCCTTCTGTTCACTTTCAAACACACCATCCTAACAGAAAGAGCAGAGTAGAAGCTCCTTTTTAGGGGAGTGGTGAGGAAGCTAAGATGGCTAGCTGTACAACTAATATTCAGTGATGGAGTGAAGGCCCAGCCAGCAGCCATGAATGATACAAACACTCTTCCTTAAAATAACGGGGGCACCTGGGACATGGTCAAGTAGTGAGTAGTGAATGTTAAACTCACGGTGGCCCCACTGACGTGGAGTAATCTTAAAGATACAGACCCCTTCAGGCTGTCATGGAAGTATCCCTGACTAAAGAGCATTTGAGGGCAAGGGCTCTAACTGACCTCTGTGGTGAAGCTGGAGACAACAGACCTGTGTTCCAAACTATGCGCTTCAGAGGGGTGTTAGGTGTGTATTTACCTGTGTATATACACACTACACTGAACAAAAATATAAACACAACATGTAAAGTGTTGGTCCCATGTTTCATAAGCGGAAATAAAAGATCCCAGAAATGTTCCATACGCACAAAAAGCTTATTTCTCTCAAATGTTGTGCACAAATTTGTTTATATCCCTGTTAGTGAGCATTTCTCATTTGCCAAGATAGTCCATCCACCTGACAGGTGTGGCATATAAAGAATCTGATTAATCAGCATGATCACTACACAGGTGCACCTTGTGCTGGGGACAAGAAAAGGCCACTCTAAAATGTGCAGTTTTGTCACACAACACAATGCCCAGTATGAAAATGTATGCACTCACTAACTGTAAGTCGCTCTGGATAAGAGCGTCTGATAAATGACTAAAATTTAAAAATGTAAATGTCTCAAGTTTTGAGGGAGCAGGAATGTCCACCAGAGTTGTTGCCAGATAATTTTATGTTCATTTGTCTACCATAAGCTGCCTCCAACGTTATTTTAGAGAATTTGGCAGTACGTCCAACCGGCCTCACAAACGCAGACCACGTGTATTGCGTCATGTGGGCGAGCGGTTTGCTGATGCCAACGTTGTGAACAGAGTGCCCCATGGTGGCGGTGGGGTTATGGTATTGGCAGGCATAAACTATGGACAACGAACACAATTGCATTTTATCGATGGCAATTTGAATGCACAAAAATACAGTGAAGAGATCCTGAGGCCCATTGTGAGGCCCATTTTTTTAAAGGTATATGTGACCAACAGATTCATATCTGTATTCCCAGTCATGTGAAATCCATAGATTAGGGCCTAATGAATTTATTTCAATTGACTGATTTCCTCATATGAACTGTAACTCAGTAAAATCAATGAAATTGATTGCGCTTATATATATTTTTCAGTATAGATGTGTGTTTACTAGGGCTGTCAAACGATTAAAAAAAAAACTGTGGCTAAGTTCACAAGTCTCTCGTTCACCATAAGGGCCTTATTGTAGCTGGCATTTGTGACTGAGGACTTATAAAAGTGTACTTCAAACAATGTACATTTGTGATTGCTAGGCATACAAATATGATTATTTATTGATAGCTTTGAAACAAGGTCTAGATTGTGAACGACTCTTGGCGGAATGCTCTCGGCTCGATTCGTTCTCGAGTTTGAGTGTGTTTGTTTTGGCTCTACAAAGCAGTGTTCATCGATAACATTCAATAATCAATTAATGCATTCAATCTTGCACCACGCGATCAATCATCAGTTCTAAACGTATTTTTCTTGGTCGACATGTTCAAACTACTGCATTCCATGCCTCAGTAGGCTATTAAGCATAAACGCGATTTCATGTTCTTTTTTAGTAAGGGGAGTTAGGCTACATGCAGCTATTTACATGATCGACATGTTTGTAGAAACTTTGTTGTAGGTTGTAATAGTATTGCGAACATAAACACGACACTAATCTCTTGTGGACAGATTCTTGTGGACAGATGAAACGGCGAGAACTAGGCACGTAGAATTATGTGAACACGAGCAGCAGTAGTTCCTGGTTTGGGGTTTTCGTCATTGATTATTTGGATGAATTAAGGTTGGGCGAAGGCGGTGTTTACACTGGTGCGGTGATTTTCAAGCCCATGTGTGGAGAATAAACGAATTCCACATCCACAAAGTCAAAATTGGCTATATCGTAGAAATACATGAAAACGAAAATGTCCTTTTTGGCCATGATAAACATGGGTGAAATTAGCGGAAGAGAGGAACTTGGCTAGAAGTTTCCGTTTGCGAGGGAAGAGAATTCTCTTCCTTCCTTTGCACAAAGGTAATAACAATTGTTAATGGGATTCCCCCCCGAAGTAAAACAGAAAATGACAAACTTTCGCGTGAGAATTTTACTTCTGGGTAACCGAGATTAGCACGACAAAAACAGGCAGTCTAGAGATTTAATGTTCTTCTTAGCAGCTGATTTACACAGACAGGCAGAAAACTCTGTATTCGCAGCCACAGCCAAAAACAACATTTTACAAAAATATATCTATTGTGTTGCTGTGATTAATCACAAATTCAGAATTTGCTCAAATTGAGCTGTAATTTAAGATTTTTTATATAAAAAGCATTGAGAATATTGATGTCTTGATTTTGTCCAAAGTAATGGTTAGAAAAATCTGGTAAATTGATAAAGCACTTTCTTTAACCTGAATGTCAACTTGTTTTAACATCATATTGTTGTTTTTAGCTGTATAGATTTATTTAGGATGTTTTCAGTGTATTTTTAATGCTTTCAATGTACGTTCAAAATACACTACAATACAAAGTGCACTAAAATTACAAAAAGTTAAAAGTTAACTCGATGTGTGTTTACATGTGTAGATACTAGGAGTGTGTTTACATGTGTAGATACTAGGAGTGTGTTTACATGTGTAGATACTAGGAGTGTATTTACCTGTGTAGATACTAGCGCTGGACGCTGGGATGCCGAACTGCGACTCAATGAACTTGGGTATGAAGGTGATGAAGGCGGTGACGATGGCGCTCTCTGCAGTGTAGGACAGGCTCACAAACAGGAAGGTGACATTACTCAGGATCCTCACTGCAGCCTTAGGCAGCTCTACACAGGGACAGGGAGGGAGGGAGAGACAGAGAGGGTGAGAGAAAGAAAGAGAAGGAAGGAGAGAGAGAGGGAGAGAGAAATACAGATGTAGGGAGACAACACAGCACGTTAGCAAAATGAGCATCACAGACAGACAGAGACACAGGGAAGGCTGACAGACCATTTACAGTTGAAGTCGGAAGTTTACATACACCTTAGCCAAATACATTTAAACTCAGTTTTTCACAATTCCTGACATTTAATCCTAATACAAATTCTCTGTTTTAGGTCAGTTAGGATCACCACTTTATTTTAAGAATGTGAAATGTCAGAATAATAGTAGAGAGAATGGTCCTCTGAGTGGTCCTCTGAAGCTCAGCTGGTAGAGCACGGCGCTTGTAACGCCAAGGTAGTGGGTTCGATCCCCGGGACCACCCATACACAAACATGTATGCACGCATGACTGTAAGTCGCTTTGGATAAAAGCGTCTGCTAAATGGCATATTTTATTTTTATTTTTTATTTTTAGAATGATTTATTTCAGCTTTTATTTATTTCATCACATTCCCAGTGGGTCAGAAGTTTACATACACTCAATTAGTATTTGGTAGCATTGCCTTTAAATTATTTAACTTAGGTGAAACATTTCAGGTAGCCTTCCACAAGCTTCCCACAATAAGTTGGGTGAATTTTGGCCCATTCCTCCTGACAGAGCTGGTGTAACTGAGTCAGGTTTGTAGGCCTCCTTGCTCGCAAACGCTTTTTCAGTTCTGCCCACACATTTTCTATAGGATTGAGGTCAGGGCTTTGTGATGGCCACTCCAATACCTTGACTTTGTTGTCCTTAAGCCATTTTGCCACAACTTTGGAAGTATGCTTGGGGACATTGTCCATTTGGAAGACCCATTTGCGACCAAGCTTTAACTTCCTGACTGATGTCTTGAGATGTTGCCTCAATATATCTGCATAATTTTCCTTCCTCATGATGCCATCTATTTTGTGAAGTGCACCAGTCCCTCCTGCAGCAAAGCACCCCCACAGCATGATATTGCCACCCCCGTGCTTCACGATCTTTATCCCCATGTGCAGTTGCAAACCGTAGTCTGTCTTTTTTATGGCGGTTTTGGAGCATTGGCTTCTTCCTTGCTGAGCAGCCTTTCAGGTTTTGTCGATATAGGACTCGTTTTACTTTGGATATAGATACTTTTGTACCTGTTTCCTCCAGCATCTTCACAAGGTCCTTTGCTGTTGTTCTGGGATTGATTTGCACTTTTCGCACCAAAGTACGTTCATCTCTAGGAGACAGAACGCGTCTTCTTCCTGAGCGGTATGACAGCTGCGTGGTCCCATGATGTTTATACTTGCGTATTATTGTTTGTACAGATGAATGTGGTACCTTCAGGCGTTTGGAAATTGCTCCCAAGGATGAACCATACTTATGGAGGTCTACCATTTTTTTTATGAGGTCTTGGCTGATTTCTTTTGATTTTCCCATGATGTCAAGCAAAGAGGCACTGAGTTTGAAGGTAGGCCTTGAAATAAAGTGGGGGAAAAAAGTATTTAGTCAGCCACCAATTGTGCAAGTTCTCCCACTTAAAAAGATGAGAGAGGCCTGTAATTTTCATCATAGGTACACGTCAACTATGACAGACAAAATGAGAAAAAAAAATCCAGAAAATCACATTGTAGGATTTTTTATGAATTTATTTGCAGATTATGGTGGAAAATAAGTATTTGGTCAATAACAAAAGTTTCTCAATACTTTGTTATATACCCTTTGTTGGCAATGACACAGGTCAAATGTTTTCTGTAAGTCTTCAGAAGGTTTTCACACACTGTTGCTGGTATTTTGTCCCATTCCTCCATGCAGACCTCCTCTAGAGCAGTGATGTTTTGGGGCTGTCGCTGGGCAACACGGACTTTCAACTCCCTCCAAAGATTTTCTATGGGGTTGAGATCTGGAGACTGGCTAGGCCACTCCAGGACCTTGAAATGCTTCTTACGAAGCCACTCCTTCGTTGCCCGGGCGGTGTGTTTGGGATCATTGTCATGCTGAAAGACCCAGCCACGTTTCATCTTCAATGCCCTTGCTGATGGAAGGAGGTTTTCACTCAAAATCTCACGATACATGGCCCCATTCATTCTTTCCTTTACACGGATCAGTCGTCCTGGTCCCTTTGCAGAAAAACAGCCCCAAAGCATGATGTTTCCACCCCCATGCTTCACAGTAGGTATGGTGTTCTTTGGATGCAACTCAGCATTCTTTGTCCTCCAAACACGACGAGTTGAGTTTTTACCAAAAAGTTATATTTTGGTTTCATCTGACCATATGACATTCTCCCAATCCTCTTCTGGATCATCCAAATGCACTCTAGCAAACTTCAGACAGGCCTGGACATGTACTGGCTTAAGCAGGGGGACACGTCTTGCACTGCAGGATTTGAGTCCCTGGCGGCGTAGTGTGTTACTGATGGTAGGCTTTGTTACTTTGGTCCCAGCTCTCTGCAGGTCATTCACTAGGTCCCCCCGTGTGGTTCTGGGATTTTTGCTCACCGTTCTTGTGATCATTTTGACCCCACGGGGTGAGATCTTGCGTGGAGCCCCAGATCGAGGGAGATTATCAGTGGTCTTGTATGTCTTCCATTTCCTAATAATTGCTCCCACAGTTGATTTCTTCAAACCAAGCTGCTTACCTATTGCAGATTCAGTCTTCCCAGCCTGGTGCAGGTCTACAATTTTGTTTCTGGTGTCCTTTGACAGCTCTTTGGTCTTGGCCATAGTGGAGTTTGGAGTGTGACTGTTTGAGGTTGTGGACAGGTGTCTTTTATACTGATAACAAGTTCAAACAGGTGCCATTAATACAGGTAACGAGTGGAGGACAGAGGAGCCTCTTAAAGAAGAAGTTACAGGTCTGTGAGAGCCAGAAATCTTGCTTGTTTGTAGGTGACCAAATACTTATTTTCCACCATAATTTGCAAATAAATTCATTAAAAATCCTACAATGTGATTTTCTGGATTTTTTTCTCTCAATTTGTCTGTCATAGTTGACGTGTACCTATGATGAAAATTACAGGCCTCTCTCATCTTTTTAAGTGGGAGAACTTGCACAATTGGTGGCTGACTAAATACTTTTTTTCCCCACTGTACATCCACAGGTACACCTCCAATTGACTCAAATTATGTCAATTAGCCTATCAGAAGCTTCTAAAGCCATGACATAATTTTCTGAAATTTTCAAAGCTGTTTAAAGGCACAGTCAACGTAGTGTATGTAAACTCCTGACCCACTGGAATTGTGATACAGTGAATTATAAGTTAAATAATCTATCTGTAAACAATTGTTGGAAAAATTACTTGCGTCATGCAAAATGTCCTAACCGACTTGCCAAAACTATAGGTTTGTTAACAAGAAATGTGTGGTTGAAAAACAAGTTTTAATGACTCCATCCTAAGTGTATGTAAACTTCCGACTTCAACTGTATATTATGGCGCTATGCAAGGGTACATCTGCTCACCAGGAGGACATAAAGGATTATGTACAATGTACAGTAATTCACTTCACATTCCTATTCAGATTATCCATTACCTTAATAGGAACAATATTTTCTCTGCCCATAATTAGTATGAAACCTCATTACAGTAGTACCGTATAGTCGTGGTCAAAAGTTTTGAGAATGACACAAGTATTGGTCTTCACAAAGTTCGCTGCTTCAGTGTTATGAGATATTTTTGTCAGATGTTACTATGGTATACTCAGCAGTCCAATCCCTGTACCTTTTGCAGAATATCAGTCTGTCCCTGATGTTTTTCCTGGAGAGAAGTGGCATCTTTGCTGCCCTTCTTGACACCAGGCCATCCTCCAAAAGTCTTCGCCTCACTGTACGTGCAGATGCACTCACACCTGCCTGCTGCCATTCCTGAGCAAGCTCTGCACTGGTGGTGCCCCGATCCCGCAGCTGAATCAACTTTAGGAGACAGTCCTGGCGCTTGCCTGACTTTCTTGGGCGCCCTGACGCCTTCTTCACAACAATTGAACCTCTCTCTTTGAAGTTCTTGATGATCTGATAAATGGTTGATTTAGGTGCAATTTTACTAGCAGCAATATCCTTGCCTGTGAAGCCCTTTTTGTGCAAAGCAATGATGACGGCACATGTTTCCTTGCAGGTAACCATGGTTAACAGAGGAAGAACAATGATTTCAAGCACCACCCTCCTTTTAAAGCTTCCAGTCTGTTATTCTAACTCAATCAGCATGACAGAGTGATCTCCAGCCTTGTCCTCGTCAACAATCTCACCTGGGTTGGCGCCCCCCCTTGGTTTGTGCTGTGGTGGAGACCTCTGTGGGCTATACTCGGCCTTGTCTCAGGATTGTAAGTTGGTGGTTGAGGATATCCCTCTAGTGGTGCGGGGGCTGTGCTTTGGCAGAGTGGGTGGGGTTATATCCTTCCTGTTTGGCCCTGTCCGGGGGTTTCTTCGGATGGGGCCACAGTGTCTCCGGACCGCTCCTGTCTCAGCCTCCAGTATTTATGCTGCAGTAGTTTATGTGTCGGGGGGCTGGGGTTAGTTGGTTATACCTGGAGTACTTCTCCTGTCTTATCCAGTGTCCTGTGTGAATTTAAGTATGCTCTCTCTAATTCTCTCGTTCTCTCTTTCTCTCTGAGAACCTGAGCCCTAGGACCATACGTCAGGACTACCGGGCATGATGACACCTTGCTGTCCCCAGTCCGCCTGGCCTTGCTGCTATTCCAGTTTCAACTGTTCTGCCTGCGGTTACGAAACCCCTACCTGTCCCAGACCTGCTGTTTTCAACTCTTAATGATCGGCTATGAAAAGCCAACTGAGAGACCTGAGCCCTAGGACCATACGTCGGGACTACCGGCCGTGGTGACTCCTTGCTGTCCCCAGTCCGCCTGGCCTTGCTGCTATTCCAGTTTCAACTGTTCTGCCTGCGGTTATGGAACCCCTACCTGTCCCAGACCTGCTGTTTTCAACTCTTAATGATCGGCTATGAAAAGCCAACTGAGATTTATTCCTGATTATTATTTGACCATGCTTGTCACTTATGAACATTTTTGAACATCTTGGCATGGTTCTGTTATAATCTTCACCCGGCACAGCCAGAAGAGGACTGGCCACCCCTCATAGCCTGGTTCCTCTCTAGGTTTCTTCCTGGGTTTTCGCCTTTCTAGGGAGTTTTTCCTAGCCACCGTGCTTCTACACCTGCATTACTAGCTGTTTGGGGTTTTAGGCTGGGTTTCTGTACAGCACTTCGAGATATTAGCTGATGTAAGAAGGGCTATATAAAATAAAATTGATTGATTGAAATTGATTGTTAACGAGAGAATCACTGACATGATGGCAGCTGGTCCTTTTGTGGCAGGGCTGAAATGCAGTGGAAATGTTTTTTTTGGGGATTAAGTTCATTTTCATGGCAAATTCACATGACATTCTGGAGTATATGCAAATTGCCATCATCAAAACTGAGGCAGCAGACTTTGTGAAAATGTGTATGTGTGTCATTCTCAAAACTTTTGACCACGACTGTATATTTCACCTTAGTAAACTTTATTAGAACATAAAATGAGGCAATGGGCTGTTATTACATTGTAATTAATTTGTTTTAGTGCAAAAGCAGTTCAGAAAATAGAAAATAGATGCGACAATTGCCTGCTACAGTGAGTTTCCAATGAACTGTCTTGTGTAGATAAAAATAGCTGGACGTAAGGACGTCACACATAACAAAAACACTTTTCCTCGAAAACCTAGAATGTCAAATAAAAATGAAGTGGTTAGTGTTTCTATTAGCCAATCCTTGCCCTGCAAAGAACCAATATTTTTATAGTTGAAAAAAAGGTATTTTGCAAGCAGTAGGCATTTAGAATTAAATGTGGAGAGTAGCTTTATAGTAACGTGATGACTTCATGTGCGCCTCGTACCTTGACAATTATTTGGCAATCATATTTTATTCGAAAAACACAGTTTCCATCATTTGTTACAATAAAGGGTGGTAGCTAGACTGGCGAACCAGCAGCCAGAGGGTTGCCAGTTCGAATCCAGGATCCGACAGGAAAAATCTGTTGTGAAGTGAGTTGGCAACCGGAGGGTTGCTGGTATCAAATCATAAATACCATTGCCTGCCGTTGTGCCTTTGAGCAAGGCACTTAACCCCCCACAACAACAGCTCCCAGAGCGCCCAGTGTAGCAACCCCCCGCAACTCTCCAAAACCTGTATGTGTGTCTTTCGGAGAGGTTGGGTTAAAAGCGGAAGTAAAATTTCGGTTGGACCTTGTTTTATGAACAATAAAGTGATCTTAAAATTAATAATGTTTGACAAAAGAAAAATCCACCCGTCAAAAAAGATACAAATATTGTTGATCTTCAGAAAACGTCTCCTAGATCTGCCCAAACTTATTTTTTTTGCGACATTGTTGTTGTCGAATAAACCTGGTCAATGGAAACCTGCATAGTGATAGTATATGAGAGGCAAGAGTCAGTGAGATAACCCTGCTTCTAACAGCCTCATTAGTGCCCCAAATTGCACCCTAATAGCTACATAGAACAGGGTGCCATTTGGGACACATCCTCTCTCTCTGTATAGCATACCTTTGATGTCTTTCCCAAAGCCCATGGATGATGTAACCTTCTGGCTCTTGCTGTCGGTCTTCTCCTTGGTGATGTCATCATCGCTGGACACGTTGTCCAGGCTGATCTTTTTCCTCTTCTTCTTCTTCTTCTTGTTTCTGGGAGGCAGCTTCTTGGGGAAGGTGAACATGGGGAATATGACCAGTAGCATGGCGATGGAACAGAGCAGGAAGCCGCTCCACCTGAGAGAGCAGAGAGGGTTTAGCTTAGTGATGGGGGGGGGATCGATACAGTAGTATCGCAATATTATTTTGAATCTATGACTCCAAGTATCGTTTTTGACACCATAACACAGTATTACTAAAGGAATGCCCTTTGTCTACAGAATACTTTTTCCACCAAAACTATAACGTCCAAAAAGTAAACACTGGAACAATATTTCTAACATCCGAATGTTTGTAATGGTCAGTGGGGATCTAAAGAATAATCATGTCACATTATTTATTATTTTGTGATGTCATTAAGGATGGTATAAAGAAAATACTGTAACTCGGAAAGTGTACACATTCTATCTGTCAAGTTTACATCCAAATGTTGTATACAATATATGATTAAGGATGAGAGCATTTTTGTTAAGATAGGAATGTTTTAGTTTTCTAATGAGATAATTGTTTTTCATATAAACTATACACAATGACTAGCCACGCCCCGAATGAGATCAGAAATCGTGTCAGCATGATGGAATGCCCCTTTTTACCCAGAGTGCATGAAAAAGCCTTGGTAATGGAATTCACATCAGACCAGAAAGCGTGGCGCTGTGGCTACACGTTTGAAATGGTTAGAACTTTGAACCTCAACCCGAGGTGAAGAAGATAAACTCACCAGACTAGACCTGAACATTGCCAGGCTGCAGCTGTGCGTGTAAAGTGCTTCAAACTCTGACTAAAGACAGGAGGTGGGAAGGAGAAAATCCCATCTCAGACAATCATTGGTGCATCTGAGTATCTGCTCTGAAAACACTCCACTACAAGATCAGGACAACTAAGAATAAGGACATTGTGACCTCTGGTGGCTAATCAGAGCCTTACAAGTGACCCACCGGAGAACCAGCCAAATCCTTTTTCAGAAGGCTTGGTCCGACAGAGATAAACGGCGAACGAAGAAGGCATTCAAACATGTTAATACATTCATGATTTCTTACCCCAAACGGGTGGTGGTTCGTGAGCAAAGTATTATGATTACTTTGAGGGTAGTTTCCAAATGTATCAACGATAAGTTTGACTCTCTCTTTCTCTCTCTCTCTCTCTCCCCCTCCCTCTCTCTTTTCTACCCCTCCCTCTTTTGATAACCAAGCAGTCATGTCGTTGTTTGTCCGCTAGGGACTTTTTCTCATGTATTAAGTGTGTATGTTATTCTGTGTTATTATTTAGTTAGCTAGTAAATAAATAATTAAACCAATTTGGGTAGTACTGAATCATAAGTAAAGCTGGTGTTCGTGCAGATCCAAGAAGTCTACGACCGTTCAGAATGAGACTGATAAGAGATAATGATTAATACGTTGACTGTTTTATACATATTGATAGGTAAATACCTTCAGAGTTTAATTCGGGAGATAGTAACTCTATAAACAACTTATTCTGTGGTGCCCCAAATCCTAATGAGTTAATTGTTACATTATTAATTTAATTGAGTAACAATTAAACATAAATAGTTAGTTGATTCGATAAATCACGTCACGGCATGTGTAAGACAATTTTCCTCTCTGGGAGCAAGCCTAGCGGTTAAGAGCCTTTGGCCAGTAACCGAAAGGATGCTGGTTAGATTCCCCTAGCCGACTACGTGAAGAATCTGTCTATGTGCCCCTGAGCAAGGCACTTAACACTAATTGCTCCTGTAAGTTGCTCCTGTAAGTTGCTCTGGATACGAGCGTCTGCTAAATGATGTAAAAATGACATTCAAGTTTCTTATCCCATCCCTGTCCTATTATCTGCAATGAATTCAATAGCACATTCCCACAACACACAAGCTCCACATTAAACACAGCATGGAACACTGGAAGAGTAATACAGTGAATTTGGAAAGCATTCAGACCCCTTGACTCTTTCCACATTTTGTTACGTTACAGCCTTATTCTAAAATGGATTACATAAAAAAATGTCCTCATCAATCTACACACAATACCCCATAATGACAAAGCGGAAACAGATTTTTTGAAATGTTTGCAAATGTATTAGAAATACAAAACTGAAATATCACATTTACATAAGTATTCAGACCCTTTACTCAGTACTTTGTTGAAGAACCTTTGGCAGCGATTACAGCCTCAAGTCTTCTTAGGTATGACGCTACAAGCTTGGCACACCTGTATTTGGGGAGTTTCTCCCATTCTTCTCTGCAGATCGTCTTAAGCTCTGTCAGGTTGGATGGGGAGTGTCACAGCACAGCTATTTTCCGGTCTCTTCGAAGATGTTCGATCGGGTTCAAGTCCGGGCTCTGGCTGGACCACTCAAGGACATTCAGAGACTTGTCCCAAAGCCACTCCTTTGTTGTCTTGGCTGTGTGCTTAGGGTCGTTGTCCTGTTGGAAGGTGAACCTTTGCCCCAATCGGAGGTCATGAGTGCTCTGGAGCAGGTTATCATCAAGGATCTCTCTGTACTTTGCTCCGTTCATCGTTCCCTCGATCATGACTAGTCTCCCAGTCCCTGCCGCTGCCGCTGAAAAACATCCCCACAGCATGATGCTGCCACCACCATGCTTAACCGTAGGGATGGTGCCAGGTTTCCTCCAGAAGTGACGCTTGGCATTCAAGCCAAAGAGTTCAATCTTGGTTTCATCAGACCAGAGAATCTTGTTTCTCATGGTCTGAGAGTCCTTTAGGTGCCTTTTGGCAAACTCTAAGCGGGCTGTCATGTGCCTTTTACTGAGGAGTGGCTTCCGGCTGGCCACTCTACCATAAAGGCTTAATTGGTGGAGCGCTTGCAGAGATGGTTGTCCTTCTGGAAGGTTCTCCCATCTCCACAGAGGAACTCTGGAGCTCTATCAGAGTGACCATCAGGTTCTTGGTCACCTCCCTGACAAAGGCCCTTATCCCCCGATTGCTCAGTTTGGCCGGGTGGCCAGCTCTAGGAAGAGTCTTGGTGGTTCCAAACTTCTTCCATTTAAGAATGATGGAGGCCACTGTGTTCTTAGGGACCTTCAATGCTGCAGAAATGTTTTGGTACTGTTTTCTAAAAACTAAAACTTTTTTTTTTTACTAAAAACTTTTTTTTCGCTTTGTCATCATGGGGTATTGTGTGTAGATTGATGAGGATTTGTATTTATTTAATCCATTTTAGAATAAGGCTGTAACGTAACAAAATGTGGAAAAAGTCAAGGGGTTTGAATACTTTCCGAATGCACTTTATGTACAGTATTTCAAATCCCACATTTGACAAGCTAACATGTACAGTCGTGGTCAAAAGTTTTGAGAATTCGTATTGGTCTTCACAAAGTTTGCTGCTTCAGTGTTTTTAGATATTTTTGTCAGATGTTACTATGGTATACTGAAGTATAATTACAAGCATTCCATAAGTGTCAAAGGCTTTTATTGACAATTACATTAAGTTTATGCAATCCGCCCTGGCATGCTGTCAATTAACTTCTGGGCCACATCCTGACTGATGACAGCCCATTATTGCATAATCAATGCTTGGAGTTTGTCAGAATTTGTGGGTTTTTGTTTGTCTACCCGCCTCTTGAGGATTGACCACAAGTTCTCAATGGGATTAACGTCTGGGGAGTTTCCTGGCCATGGACACAAAATGTCTATGTTTTGTTCCCCGAGCCACTTACAGTTGAAGTCGGAAGTTTACATACACTTAGGTTGGAGTCATTAAAACTCGTTTTTCAACCACTCCACAAATTTCTTGTTAACAAACTATAGTTTTGGGAAGTTCGTTAGAACATCTACTTTGTGCATGACACAAGTAATTTTCCCAACAATTGTTTACGGAGAGATTATTTCACTTATAATTCACTGTATCACAATTCCAGTGGGTCAGAAGTTTACATACACTAAGTTGACTGTGCCTTTAAACAGCTTTGAAAATTCCAGAAAATGATGTCATGGCTTTAGAAGCTTCTGATAAGCTAATTGACATCATTTGAGTCAATTGGAGGTGTACCAGTGGATGTATTTCAAGGCCTACCTTCAAACTCAGTGCCTCTTTGCTTGACATCATGGGAAAATCAAAAGAAATTAGCCAAGACCTCAGAACAAAATCTGTAGACCTCCACAAGTCTGGTTCATCCTTGGGAGCAATTTCCAAACGCCTGAAGGTACCACGTTCATCTTTACAAACAATCGTACGCAAGATAAACAACCAGGGACAACGCAGCGTCATTACGCTCAGGAAGGAGACGCGGATGTACTCCTATAGAGCATGGTTTGAAGTACTTTTGGTGCCAGGAGATAAAAAAAATCTAAATTATTCACAACGAATCGCAAAGAGCGTACTTGTAAAGAATGCGGATGAACGAGGCAAAAAAGGACCAAAAGCAAGGTTTTTGCTGAAAACAGTACAAAGTATCTACATCCACAGTAAACAGTCCTATATCGACATAACCTGAAAGGCCACTCAGCAAGGAAGAAGCCACTGCTCCAAAACCGCCATAAAAAAGCCAGACTACGGTTTGCAACTGCACATGGGACAAAGATCGTACTTTTTGGAGAAATGTCCTCTGGTCTGATGAAACAAAATAGAACTGTTTGGCCATAATGACCATCATTATGTTTGGAGGAAAAAGAGGGTTGCTTGCAAGCCGAAGAACACTATCCCAACCGTGAAGCGGTTGGACTTGCTGGACTTTCTTGGGCGCCCTGAAGCCTTCTTCACAACAATTTAACCTCTCTCCTTGAGGTTCTTGATGATCCGATAAATGGTTGATTTAGGTGCAATCTTACTAGCAGCGATATCCTTGCCTGTGAAGCCCTTTTTGTGCAAAGCAATGATGACGGCACGTGTTTCCTTGCAGGTAACCATGGTTAACAGAGGAAGAACAATGATTTCAAGCACCACCCTCCTTTTAAAGCTTCCAGTCTGTTATTCTAACTCAATCAGCATGACAGAGTGATCTCCAGCCTTGTCCTCGTCAACACTCTCACCTGTGTTAACGAGAGAATCACTGACATGATGTCAGCTGGTCCTTTTGTGGAAGGGCTGAAATGCAGTAGAAATGTTTTTTTGGGATTAAGTTAATTTTCATGGCAAAGAGGGACTTTGCAATTAATTGCAATTCATCTGATCACTCTTCATAACATTCTGGAGTATATGTAAATTGCCATCATAAAGACTGAGGCAGCAGACTTCGGGAAAATTAATATGTGTCATTCTCAAAACTTTTGACCACGACTGTACATAACATACACATACATTTCTAACATCCCCAATCAATTCCATAATATTTAACATATTAGGCCTAAGCATTGACAATCAAACATGTAAACGTCTATATAAAAAAATATATGATTTTAGGATATTTTATAAACAATACAAAAACACATACAAACGACTAAATCATACAAACATCACTACATCACACCTGCCCAGAACCACTAGCCCCCAACCCTATCTCCAGCGCCCTTATCACTTTCTGCCACATGGCCTCAAACTGCACCATTGTGTTTCACTGTCGCTGAGCTTTCCATTGCGTAAACGATGGAGCATTGGCTGATTTCCAATTGAGTATACTTTTTTATTTTTTAAGATAAATGATGAGAAGAGTATTGTCCAGCCCATCGGGTAGCTCACTGCACTCTCATATGTCATGTCTTGAAATATACAGACAGATGAATTAAAAAGTAAATTTACATTGCAATACCTCTGACATCCATCTCTCCAACTCCGCCCATAACTTTTTAACTTTGTAACATTCCCAGAAGGCATGAATTATTGAGTCATTAGTAGTTTTACATTTCAAATCAACATTTTGTGATATAAAAGTTGGATGTATATGAAATTATTATTACCAACTAATTCACGGTTTCTATACCTTTAGCTTTCCATGTGGGCCAATTTATCGATGAATTCTGAAAAGCTATCCAATGATTGTTCCATAAAGTTGTGTTTCTAGTGAGTGACATTGGTTATTGTAAAATATGTTACATTTTCTTCCATATTGTTATAGTGTTCTCAACTATGAAGTTGTAATGTTCTTAGCTTTGAAAATAGACACATCAAAATATTCTGGGTATGAGCATGCGCATCTTCAATATGTACCCATTGTTCCTCTTTAGTGCATTTAACTATATGTCACAAGTAAAAGCCTAGGGTAGCGAGTTGATTCAATTCCAAGTCTGGAAGATTAAAACCACCCTCAAAATGTAAAACTTTCCTTTTTATTTCTATGCATTTTATTTGCCCATATAAAGTCTGTTATGACCTAGTATACTTCTTTAAATAATGTATTTGGTTGGATAGCAATCGCTCTCCATGGTTCTGAAAGACCATGCTGCTATGTGCATAATAGCAAAAATAACCAGCATATTGGTGTTGAGAACAATGCGGAGGCGGCAGCAGCAGAGTGAGGAGACGAGAAAACAGCACTTGCCTTAATTGTCTAAGAAAAGTGAAGAGAGAGGAAACCAACTTAATTAGGTCTATAATCAATAGCCTAACTGTTAAATGTGCCTGACTTTATAAATCCATATATATCTACAGAAATAAGACAGATCCGGCTTCTGTTGCCTGTTTGAGTGTTTGTTTAATAGCCTATTGATTCCATGAGCTCCAAGCCTCATGCAACCACAACCTATCAGATTAAGCAATTTAACAAATCTGGCTGTTTTTAATCTTTGCTATGCTGTAATAAAGGCTGTAATCGAACCTGTTTGGCACACAATATGCACGCAGCGCTTGCTCCTTACCTTCCTTCTTTTTCATGATCTCCAGTAGTTTCCACAACTAAATCAAATGTATTCTACACATCTGACTTCCCCTTTCCCTCCTGAGCAACCAGTAAATATTCCCTTGTTTAGAGTTTCTCTTTCACGTCCTCCGCATTCCTTTTGCTGTCACGTGTTACAGTGCTCAGAGTTTGTTATAACCAATTTATTGATGTGATTATGATAGGCTATAGGTCAGGCCCTATTGGTCACGTGCATGTGATGCATACATGTGTCACGTAAAGAGAGCAAGGGTTGAGGGAATAGGAAATGTTTTTCCTAAAGAAATGAGGGATTTCGGTAACAGAACTTTTCAGTCAGAAATGGCTATAATTAAGTTGCAGCTTCAGCAACACGGACTACGCGATAAACATTGTTGATGTTGTGTGGTGGTCGCTGCAGCAGGGAGGAGAGAGAGAGACAACGGGTGCACACAGGCTGTCTTTCTTTTTTAACACAGCACCGTCTTTCTTTTTTAACCCAAATCAATTGCGGTTTGGACTTCCTCTAGTCATTTGTGTCTTCATTATTTTATCAAACAGTGCGCTTAATGCATCGGACAAGCTCAGTGCATATAGTTGATTTTATTAAAACACATAGGGTGTGTCTACATATAGAAAAATACATGTTTAAAAATTGACTAATGGATTGGTTGAAAGAACAGACGATTATCGGGCGACCAAGATTTTATTTTGCCGGGGACAGCCCTAAAGGGAAGCCATGGCTTGTTGGGTTTGAGTCGCAGCGTCGCTTTACTCAGATTGTTTCGCTGTTGTGAATAACTGACTGCTCATTCTCTCCCGGTTATTTGGTGATATATTGATCTATCGATTTTAAAGGCTTAATTTAAATGTTATGTTGTCTGGTTTCTTCATGTAACCACAGTCTTGTTGGTACAAAACGGAGCTACTCTCTCCCCATGCGTCCTATCAGTACGCGCATGTGCCTCTCTGCCTAATATTTCTATTCAATCACATAATTTAACATATTCAGTTAAAAGTCTGGAACATTACCAGTTGCCAATGAAGCGAGGGTCGCTCTGATCGATGTTGACGACAGTCTTGGGGTCGACGTAGAAGCCGATGAGAACTCCTCCCATCAGGTACCCAGCAGCTGGACCCAGGGCTCCCATCACGTACATGACAGCTGCAGAGAGAAAGAAAGACATAACGTGAGGCATAAGGACAAATGTACATGTTGAGAATGGATAAGAAGAGTCGGAATGCTAAGAGAATGGAGAATAAAGAGTATGGAAGCATCCCAAATGGCACCATATTCCCTATATAGTCCACTACTTTTGACCGGAACCCAACGGTCAAAAGGTAGTGAACTATATGAAATAGGGTTAAGGTTAGGCACAGCCTGTTTTACCTGACTAAGTGATGTGAAGCATTGAAAACCAATTGTGTGGCTACAAACTACAGGTATTGGAAGGCTCTGTCAAGAACTAGTCGTGTAAGCCATTGACTAATCGGAGCATGGATCTTTGTCAATTAAGCTAGTGTAGATTTTTTAAACCCAGGCCAAATGGGGCTAATGTCATTTACATAGAGCCATGACTACATGGAACTCTATTCCACATCAAGTAACTCATGCCAGCAGTAAAATTAGATTAAAAAAACTGATAAAAATACACAGCGGGGACTGTGAAGCAACACAAACATAGACACATGCATACAAACACACGATAACATACGCACTATACACACATGTACACATGGATTTTGTGTTATAGATATGTGGTAGTAGAGTAGAGGCCTGAGGGCACACACTTAATATGTTGTGAAATCTGTTATGAATGTATTGTAATGTTTTTAAAAATGTATAACTGCCTTAATTTTGCTGGACATGCTGGTCAAAAGTAGTGCACTATCTAGGGAATATGGTGCCATTTCTAGACACAGTCTAGGCCTGCCCTTTCTGTATCATCCAGCAGTTCACACCCATATGACACAAAACTGCTTAATACTGTATGTCATCACATCATGCACCAAGCAGTCTTCTGCCTGACTCAGTGTGGCAACAAAACACATGAAGTTGTGAGCCCCAGCTGATTGTGTGGACATGGGTCCTTGTCCAAGGCCTTGAGGCTGAGTTGCCTGACTCAGTGTGGCAACAAAACACATGAAGTTGTGAGCCCCAGCTGATTGTGTGGACATGGGTCCTTGTCCAAGGCCTTGAGGCTGAGTTGCAGGCCTAATCTCTTATTTGAGTAGAATACTATTTTTGCTTGTTGCACCCGTTATGGAACAGGCTCCAATGCAGACACACAGCAGCAGAAGCGTGGGTCCCAAAATGGCACCCTATTCCCACTCTTTTCCATGCTTACCCCCACACCAACGTTTTATGTTAATGTGATCTCTAGTGTTATTGTGTTTCCATCAGGAGTGTGACATTAAAGGCGTGGGGCGAGCAGAATCAACAACCTCTTCATCATTCAAGACTGTTGCTTTGTGAGAAGGTGTTAAAGTTAGAGCAGGTCCTCCTGACACATGGCCCAATGAGACACAGAAGTCAGCCTTTTGGGTAAAACACTAGGGTAAATCCTCACTGGAAATGCAGCCTAACGACCAGGGCCCTCCTTTATAACTGTTGTGTAAATTTCACACAAAATGTGTGTGCACCATTTCTACAATATTTTTTACAAACATTGACATTTATAAACTTGGCGCACGCCATACCTATGCATGTTTCCTGTTATAAACCAAACCTGTCATAAAACTGTGCGCGACCATTAAAACTCCAACTGGAAAACGCCCTCCATTCACCTTTTATGGTGACAATAACACCCTTTTATTTACTGTATAATTTGGAACTATTGACATTAACGCCAAATCAAACGAAACGCGAACGAGCGTTTACAGAAAACAGACGGGCCGCGAGCGTCAACAGTGTCATGCGCTTCAAATTAGAAAGCAAGTCTATTTTTCTCGCGTCTACGTGAAGCAATGCTGGTAAAGTGAGCGGCTAAATTGCCAGAAAATCTACTGTTTGTGCATTGTTACGTCTGGAATTGTGTATAGTTAAAAGGGTTTATTTAGTGTTGATAAGTTTAGCTGCCAGTGCCAATAATACATACAGTATTTGAAAACAATAACTATGCCTACCTTTGTTGATTTCGAGCACAGGCATATAGCCTTGGCAGGCTGCTGGGAAACTCAAGGAACTCCGTTCAAGAGAGAATATGTATATAAATGCAACATGCAATTATTTCAAAGATTTCACTGAGTTACAGTTCATATAAGGAAATCAGTCAATTGAATACATTCATTAGGCCCTAATCTATGGATTTCACATGACTGGGCTGGGGCGCAGGCATTGGGGAGCCAGGCCCAGCCAATCCGAATGAGTTTTCCCCCACAAGAGCTTTATTACAGACAGAAATCTCTGGCAACAGCACTGGTGGACATTCCTGCAGTCAGCATGCCAATTGCACGCTCTCTCAAAACTTCAGACATCTGTGGCATTGTGTCGCGTGACAAAACGACACATTTTAGAGTGGCCTTTTATCACCTGTGGTATGACCATGCTGTTTAATCAGCTTCTTGATATGCCACACCTGTCAGGTGGATGGATTATCTTGGCAAATGAGAAATGCTCACTAACAGGGATATAAAGAAATGTGTGCGCAACATTTTTGAGAAATAAGCTTTTTGTATGTATGGCACATTTCTAGGATATTTTATTTCAGCTCATGAAACATAGGACCAACCCTTTACATGTTGCGTTTATATTTTAGTTTAGTATAGAAAGAACAAGAATAGCTAATTTCTTTGTAACCTGCTAGGGTGTATTAGCTACAACTTTCCTCACATTCATAACAGAAAGCATTTCCTATTCAAACTCATTTCATGTATGTTTTCATGGAAAACAAGGACATTTCTAAGCGACCCAAAACTTTTGAACGGTAGCGTAAGTACATTATTTACCTTCAGAGGTGAATGTATCAAACCAGTTGCCGTGATAAGTTTTTTGTTGCTGTGCACTATCCTCAAACAATAGCATGGTATTTTATCACTGTAATAGCTACTGTAAATTGGACTATGTAGTTAGATTAACAAGAATTTAAGCTTTCTGCCCATATAAGACATGTCTATGTCCTGGAAAGTTTGCTGTTACTTACAACAGTCATGCTAATCACATTAGCGCACGTTAGCTCAACCGTCCCGTATACGAGACACCGATCCCGTAGAGGTTAATGACACTTTGGATGGTGTATTAATACACCCAGTGACTACAAAGATACAGGCGTCCTCCTACCGCAGTTACCAGAGTCTAAGGAAACCGCTCAGGGATTTCACCATGAGGCCAATTGTGACATTAAAACAGTTGCCGAGTTTAATGGCTGTGATAGGAGAAAACGGAGGATGGATCAACATTGTAGTTACTCCACAATATTAACCTAAGTGACAGAGTGAAAAGAAGGAAGCCTGTACAGAATAAAAAAATATTCAAAAAAATGTGGCAAAGAAATGCACTTAATGTCCTGAATAAAAAGCATTATGTTTGGAGCAAATCCAATACAACACATTACTGAGTAACACCCCATATTTTCAAGCATAGTGGTGGCTGCATCATGTTATGGGAATGCTTGTAGTGTTGACTGGGATTTTCAATTAAAAATAAACGGAATGGACTAAGCCAGGCAAATCGATCGTCTTCCTTCCCCATACCGAAAATTATACGCTTGTGTCAAATTATTAATGTCGTGAAAAAGATTTAGTCAGCCACAGTGCAGTTCCCCCTTAAAAGATGAGAGCTGTAATTTCATCATAGGTAACTCTATCGACAATGTAAAAAATTCCAGAATCACATTATAGGATTTTGAAGAATTATTTGATATGGTGGAAATAAGTATTTGGTCATAACAAAGTTCTCACTTTGTGTATACCCTTTGTTGGCAAGAACGGTCAAAGTTTTCTGTAAGTCTTCACGTTTCACACACTGTTGCTGGTATTTTGGCCCATTCCTCCATGCAGATCTCCTCTAGAGCAGTGATGTTTTGGGGCTGTCGCTGGGCAACACGGACTTTCAACTCCCTCCAAAGAGTTTCTATGGGGTTGAGATCTGGAGACTGGCTAGGCCACTCCAGGACCTTGAAATGCTTCTTACGAAGCCACTCCTTCATTGCCCGGGCGGTGTGTTTGGGATCATTGTCATGCTGAAAGACCCAGCCACGTTTCATCTTCAATGCCCTTGCTGATGGAAGGAGGTTTTCACTCAAAATCTCACGATACATGGCCCCATAAATTTTTTCCTTTACACGGATCAGTCGTCCTGGTCCCTTTGCAGAAAAACAGCCCAAAAGCATGATGTTTCCACACCCATGCTTCACAGTAGGTATGGTGTTCTTTGGATGCAACTCAGCATTCTTTGTCCTCCAAACACGACGAGATGAGTTTTTACCAAAAAGTTTTATTTTGGTTTCATCTGACCATATGACATTCTCCCAATCCTCTTCTGGATCATCCAAATGCACTCTAGCAAACTTCAGACGGGCCTGGACATGTACTGGCTTAAGCAGGGGGACACGTCTGGCACTGCAGGATTTGAGTCCCTGGCGGCGTAGTGTGTTATTGATGGTAGGCTTTGTTACTTTGGTCCCAGCTCTCTGCAGGTCATTCACTAGGTCCCCCCGTGTGGTTCTGGGATTTTTGCTCACCGTTCTTGTGATCATTTTGACCCCACGGGGTGAGATCTTGCGTGGAGCCACAGATCGATGGAGATTATCTGTGGTCTTGTATGTCTTCCATTTCCTAATAATTGCTCCCACAGTTGATTTCTTCAAACCAAGCTGCTTACCTATTGCAGATTCAGTCTTCCCAGCCTGGTGCAGGTCTACAATTTTGTTTCTGGTGTCCTTTGACAGCTCTTTGGTCTTGGCCATAGTGGAGTTTGGAGTGTGACTGTTTGAGGTTGTGGACAGGTGTATTTTATACTGATAACAAGTTCAAACAGGTGCCATTAATACAGGTAACGAGTGGAGGACAGAGGAGCCTCTTAAAGAAGAAGTTACAGGTCTGTGAGAGCCAGAAATCTTGCTTGTTTGTAGGTGACCAAATACTTATTTTCCACCATAATTTGCAAATAAATTCATTAAACATCCTACAATGTGATTTTCTGGATTTATTTTTCTCAATTTGTCTGTCATAGTTGACGTGTACCTATGATGAAAATTAAAGGCCTCTCTCATCTTTTTAAGTGGGAGAACTTGCACAATTGGTGGCTGACTAAATACTTTTTTCCCCCCACTGTATGTAAAACTCATAAGCTGCATATGGGACAGAGGACAAGGACATGCCATGTGTTATTGGTGTCACGGGTTAGTGACAGAAGGTCTGCGTGCCAAGATAGATTGGGGGCCACTTGTGATAATCTTAGAAGGTGTACGTGATGGAATGGCCTGGCTAGGGTGACACACATTTTACATTTACATTTTAGTCATTTAGCAGACGCTCTTATCTAGAGCGACTTACAGTTAGTGAATACATTTTTTTTTTTATACTGGCCCCCCGTGGGAATCAAACCCACAACCCTGGCGTTGCAAACGCCATGCTCTATCAACTGAGCTACATCCCTGCCGGCCATTCCCTCCCCTACCCTGGACGACGCTGGGCCAATTGTGCGCCGCCCATGAGTCTCCCGGTCGCGGCCGGCTGCGACAGAGCCTGGATTCGAACCAGGATCTCTAGTGGCACAGTTAGCACTGCGATGCGGTGCCTTAGACCACTGCGCCACTCAGGAGTAGCACACAATACTAAGTATGTGGATGCTATTGTGGTAGATGAGTGACACTCAATAATTCTTGGCAACTGTGTGGGACAGAAGTAGATCGGAAGGGCATTATATAAACAGAGATTTTTTATGGAAGTCATTCATATGGCAAGAGGCTACGTCCGTACCGCCTGTCATTGAATCCAGTACTGTTACCATTAAATAATGACTGAATCAAATCTCCATCTGTGTCCCATATTGTCTTGCATCCTGAAGTACTCGATACCAGAGAAACTCGTCATAACAAATGAATTCACCTTCCAGCAGGATAATAACCTAAAACACAAGGCCAAATCTACACTGGAGTTGCTTACCAAGAAGACAGTGAATGTTCCTGAGTGGCCGAGTTACAGTTTTGACTTAAATCTACTTAAAAATCTATGGCAAGACCTGAAAATGAACAACAACCAATTTGACAGAGCTTGAAGAATTTTGAAAATAAAAATGGTCAAATGTTGCACAATCCAGGAGTGGAAAGCTCTTTGAGACTTACCCAGAAAGACTCACAGCTGTAATCACTGCCAAAGGTGCTTCTATAAAGTATTGACTCAGGGGTGTGAATACTTATGTAAATTAGATATTTCCGTATTTCATTTTCAATAAAGTTGCTACAATTTCAAAAAACATGTTTTCAATTTGTCATTATGGGGTATTGTGTGTAGATGGGTGAGAATATATATATTTTGAAATCCATTTTGAATTCAGGCTGTAACAACAAAATGTGGAATATGATGGACTGACCGCGAATTCTGAAACGTAGGGCATGCCAAGAAACCTGAGGTGGCAGAACGGAGTGCTCGGGATGGGGTGTAGGGTTTGAACATAGCCTGCAGGTAGGGAGGGGCAGTTCCTCTTACAGTACCTGTGCTCGTGAAAACTTAACTTGATACATAAGGCCTACTTCAATGTAAAAGATCCATTGTTAAATTCGACTGTATACCGGTATTATAAACCGCACTGCATATGATATTGCAAAACATGAAAAACAGTGCGTTCGGAAAGTATTCAGACCCCTTGACTTTTTCCACATTTTGTTACATTCCAGCCTTATTCTAAAATTGATTACATTGTCCCCCCCCCCCATCAATCTACACACAATACCCCAATCTACACACAATAATGACAAAGCAAAAACAGGTTTTTAGAATTTTGTGAAATATCACATTTACATAAGTAATTCAGAGCCTTTACTCAGTACTTTGTTGAAGCACCTTTGGCAGCGATTACAGCCTTGAGTTGTCTTGGGTATGACGCTACAAGTTTGGCACACCTGTATTTGGGGAGTTTCTCCCATTCTTCTCTGAAGATCCTCTCAAGCTCTGTCAGGTTGGATGGGGAGCTCTGGCTGGGGCACTCAAGGACATTCAGAGACTTGTCCCAAAGCCACTCCTGCGTTGTCTTGGCTGTGTGCTTAGGGTCATTGTCCTGTTGGAAGGTGAACCTTCGCCCCAGTCTGAGGTCCTGAGCGCTCTGGAGCAGGTTTTCATCAAGGATCTCTCTGTACTTTGCTCCGTTCATCTTTCCCTCGATCCTGACTAGTCTCCAAGTCCCTGCCGCTGAAAACCATCCCCACAGCATGATGCTGCTACCACCATGCTTCACCGTAGTGATGGTGCCAGGTTTCCTCCAGATGTGACGCTTGGCATTCAAGCCAAAGAGTTCAAGCCAAAGAGTTCAATCTTGGTTTCATCAGACCAGAGAATCTTGTTTTATCTTGGTCTGAGAGTCCTTTAGGTGCCTTTTGGCAAACTCCAAGCAGGCGGTCATGTGCCTTTTACTGAGGATTGGCTTCCGTCTGGCCACTCTACCATAAAGGCCTGATTGGTGGAGTGCTGCAGAGATGGTTGTCCTTCTGGAAGGTTCTCCCATCTCCACAGAGGAACTCTGGAGCTCTGTCAGAGTGACCATCGGGTTCTTGGTCACCTCCCTGACCAAGGCCCTTCTCCCCCGATTGCCCAGTTTGGCCGGGCGGCCAGCTCTAGGAAGAGTGTTGGTGGTTCCAAACTTCTTCTATTTAAGAATGATGGAGGCCACTGTGTTCTTGGGGACCTTCCATGCTGCAGAAATGTTTTGGTACCATTCCCCAGATCTGTGCCTCGACACAATCCTGTCTCGGAGCTCTACGGACATTTCCTTCGACCTCATGGCTTGGTTTTTGCTCTGACATGCACTGTCAACTGTGGGACCTTATTTAGACAGGTGTGTTCCTTTCCAAATCATGTCCAATCAATTGAATTTACCACAGGTGGACTCCAATCAAGTTTTAGAAACGTCTCAAGGATGATCAATGGAAACAGGATGCACCGGAGCTAAATTTCGAGTCTCATAGCAAAGGGTTTGAATACTTATGTAAATACATTTTTTTTTTTTTATACATTTGCAAAAAAATCTAAACCTGTTTTCGCTTTGTCATTATGGGGTATTGTGTATAGATTGATGAGGAAAGAAATACATTTTAGAATAAGGCTGTAACATAACAAAATGTGGAAGAAGTCAAGGGGTCTGAATACTTTCCGAATGCACTGTACATATAGCCTATCTATTTACCATTAAATGAGATGCGCATGGTCATTTGTTGTATGGCTCCTTCGGGAAATGAACCCATCACGGCCAGAAAAGGTGAGGAATATATTCTGCAATGGGTTTGAAAATAAAATAAATAGGAAAAATACATAAGTCTAATTATAAGATTCCTGTCAAATTATTTTAGATTCTAAACAAGGGTTGCTTTCTTGTTAATCCGTTTTCCTGTTGTTAGTGAGAAGCTTTTCGTCATATCCCCCATTTGCACAAAATATTTACTTGCCAGATTGCAATACAATATTTTAACCACTAGCAGATGTGCGTACGCATGGTCTAAAGTTTGCGGGGAGGGGAGTACATTCTCACGTCAAGTAAATGTTTTATAAATGCCAACTTTTGCATGAAAACTGGTGCACGCACATTTTAGGTTATATTTTGTGCATATATAAGTAGTGCACTATGTAGGGAATAGGGTGCCATTTGGGACACATCCCATCAGCATTGTTTGGCTCTTGTGGAAATGCAGTCCTCATAAATTGTTTAATGAATTGAATGTGAAATGCTCCTGTTGGTTTCTACATGATCCAATTGCCCTGTAATAAAAACAGGGTGATGTTTCAGCTCAGAGGCATTGAGGTAGAAAAATAATGGTTACATTTTTAAGCTTCTCTTTGAGGCACAAATAAAAACCTATGGAAATCCATATCTTTACAGCATTCTTTGATTTCGCATAGATCAATGGGGAATGATATGCACAAAGAATCATCAGAAAACAACTGGTCATAGCAATCAGACAAGAAGATAAAAGGAAGATGCTGGGAAACGGATGTTGTCCGGTCACCACAGTCTACATCTGAAAAACATATAGTAAACTGATGTTGTCCGGTCACACAGTCTACATCTGAAAAACATATAGTAAACTGATGTTGTCCGGTCACCACAGTCTACATCTGAAAAACATATAGTAAACTGATGTTGTCCGGTCACACAGTCTACATCTGAAAAACATATAGTAAACGGATGTTGTCCGGTCACCACAGTCTACATCTGAAAAACATATAGTAAAACGGTGTTGTCAGGTCACCACAGTCTACATCTGAAAAACATACAGTAAACTGATGTTGTCAGGTCACCACAGTCTCATCTGAAAAACATATAGTAAACTGATGTTGTCCGGTCACCACAGTCTACATCTGAAAAACATACAGTAAACTGATGTTGTCAGGTCACCAGTCTACATCTGAAAAACATATAGTAAACGGTGTTGTCAGGTCACCACAGTCTACATCTGAAAAACATATAGTAAACGGTGTTGTCCGGTCACCACAGTCTACATCTGAAAAACATACAGTAAACTGATGTTGTCAGGTCACCAGTCTACATCTGAAAAACATATAGTAAACGGTGTTGTCAGGTCACCACAGTCTACATCTGAAAAACATATAGTAAACTGATGTTGTCCGGTCACCAGTCTACATCTGAAAAACATACAGTAAACTGATGTTGTCAGGTCACCACAGTCTACATCTGAAAAACATACAGTAAACTGATGTTGTCCGGTCACCACAGTCTACATCTGAAAAACATATAGTAAACTGATGTTGTCAGGTCACCAGTCTACATCTGAAAAACATATAGTAAACGGATGTTGTCCAGTCACCACAGTCTACATCTGAAAAACATATAGTAGTAAAGTGATGTTGTCCGGTCACGAGTCTACATCTGAAAAACATATAGTTATTCCGGTGCATTGGCCATCAGTCACATCCTCTTGAGGTGTTCAATAAGCTGCTGTGTTGAGATCACAGCAAAATGAACAAAACTAATCTGAAAACCCACAAAGAATTCCTACTGTTTTCAAGCACAATGTTCTAGGCTGTAGCTAATAGTTACTATATCTACAACAACTTCATCAAATTCAGCTACCCATCAACAGATTCACCAAACATGATCTTTAAGGTTAACATTATGACAGGTATGCCTAGGAGTGCCCTACTGTGAGGGGACATGCTGCTGACTACTCCGCATGCGGATCGGATGGCCGGCCCATACAGAGGGGAGCACATGAACGCTAGGCTATCTGCACTGCAGCATGGACATGGACAGGACTAGGGCTGCAACCACAATGACCGGCCATTCCCATTAACCTGCTGGACTAGGAACAATGGAGATCACACATCACTGGCTGATTTACAGCACCCAGCGGACAGTCTGTGTGTGTGGACTGTGGAGCAATAAAGTTCAATAGGGTGCACGACAATGACCACGGCAATGCTCTTCTGTCAGTCTCCTAGACCAAGGCAGATTCAGAGACATGTACAGGTTTTGAACCGGTTGTACTGTACGGACAGTGCGGTTCATTTGAATAGGGAACAAAATGGTGAACTACCATTCAGTCAGAGTCCATTATTATCTTTAATACATTGCTTAATTACATACAGTATGTTCTTAGGGAGCGGTTCTATGTCTCTACAGCCCTGAGTACATGAGCTCAGACGGGTGAAATTAGGTGTTTTACTGTCCACATAAAGGAGATTGATGCAAGCGTAACGGGCCGGGAACATATGTTACAGGAAAGTGATGCGAGCCTCTGCCTGGCAGCTAGATCAATTGGGACCCTGTGACCTTGCGGGAGGGAGGGAGACAGGCAGCACAGGGTCCGGCACAATGAAATGTGGGATGACTGCATCGTCATGGCAACCTGCTGACACTGCACTGTCATCTTACAACTTTCCAACGATCTGCTATATTTCCCATAGACAGCCCCCCAGCCCCAACTGAAATAGAACTGCCTGTATGACCAAATGTAGAGGACTCCAACTGAAACCAAAAACAGCAAACTAAATATATACAGTGCGTTCAGAAAATATCCACACACCTTTACTTTTTCCACATTTTGTTGTGTTACAAACTGGGATTAAAATGGATTTAATTGTCTTCTTTTTTTCAACAATTTACACAACGTATTCTGTAATGTCAAAGTAAAAAATAAAAAAAAGTATTCAACCCCCTGAGTCCAACCCCCTGAGTCAATACATGTTAGAATCGTCTTTGGCAGCCATTATGGCTGTGAGTTTTTCTGGATAAGTCTCGAAGAGCTTTGCACACCTAGATTGTACAATATTTGCCCATTATTCTTTTTAAAACTCTACAAGCTCAGTCAAGTTGGTTATTGATCATTACTAGACAGGCATTTTCAAGTCTTGCAATAGATTTTCAAGCCGATTTAAGTCAAAACATAACTAGGCCGCTCAGGAACAATCAATGCTGTCTTGGTAAACAACTGCAGTGTATATTTGGCCTTGTCCTGCTCAAGCAGACAACCAGGTTTTCCTCTAGGATTTGGCCTGTGCTCAGCTCTATTCCGTTTATTTTTATCCCCAAAGAAATCCCTAGTCTTTGCCGATGACAAGCATATCCTTAACATGATGCAGCCACCACCATGCTTGAAAATATGAAGAATGGTACTCAGTGATGTGTTGTGTTTGCCCCAAACATAATGCTTTGTATTCAGGACAAAAAGCAAATTTCTTAGCCACATTATTTGTAGTATTATTGCAAACTGGAATATTTGTTATTCTGTATATACAGTGAGGGAAAAAAGTATTTGATCCCCTGCTGATTTTGTACGTTTGTCCACTGACAAAGAAATGATCGGTCAATAATTTTAATGGTAGGTTTATTTGAACAGTGAGAGACAGAATAACAACAACAAAAATCCAGAAAAACGCATGTCAAAAATGTTATCAATTGATTTGCATTTTAATGAGTGAAATAAGTATTTGACCCCCTCTCAATCAGAAAGATTTCTGGCTCCCAGGTGTCTTTTATACAGGTAACGAGCTGAGATTAGGAGCTCTCCCTTTAAGAGTGTGCTCCTAATCTCAGCTCGTTACCTGTATAAAAGACACCTGTCCACAGAAGCAATCAATCAATCAGATTCCAAACTCTCCACCATGGCCAAGACCAAAGAGCTCTCCAAGGATGTCAGGGACAAGATTGTAGACCTACACAAGGCTGGAATGGGCTACAAGACCATCGCCAAGCAGCTTGGTGAGAAGGTAACAATAGTTGGTGCGATTATTCTCAAATGGAAGAAACACAAAATAACTGTCAATCTCCCTCGGCCTGGGGCTCCATGCAAGATCTCACCTCGTGGAGTTGCAATGATCATGAGAACGGTGAGGAATCAGCCCAGAACTACACGGGAGGATCTTGTCAATGATCTCAAGGCAGCTGAGACCATGAAAACAATTGGTAACACACTACGCCATGAAGGACTGAAATCCTGCAGCGCCCGCAAGGTCCCCCTGCTCAAGAAAGCACATATACATGCCCGTCTGAAGTTTGCCAATGAACATCTGAATGATTCAGAGGAGAACTGGGTGAAAGTGTTGTGGTCAGATGAGACCAAAATTGAGCTCTTTGGCATCAACTCAACTCGCCGTGTTTGGAGGAGGAGGAATGCTGCCTATGACCCCAAGAACACCATCCCCACCGTCAAACATGGAGGTGGAAACATTATGCTTTGGGGGTGTTTTTCTGCTAAGGGGACAGGACAACTTCACCGCATCAAAGGGACGATGGACAGGGCCATGTACCGTCAAATCTTGGGTGAGAACCTCCTTCCCTCAGCCAGGGCATTGAAAATGGGTCGTGGATGGGTATTCCAGCATGACAATGACCCAAAACACACGGCCAAGGCAACAAAGTGGCGGCTCAAGAAGAAGCACATTAAGTTCCTGGACTGGCCTAGCCAGTCTCCAGACCTTAATCCCATAGAAAATCTGTGGAGGGAGCTGAAGGTTTGAGTTGCCAAACGTCAGCCTCGAAACCTAATGACTTGGTGAAGATCTGCAAAGAGGAGTGGGACAAAATCCCTCCTGAGATGTGTGCAAACCTGGTGGCCAACTACAAGAAACGTCTGACCTCTGTGATTGCCAACAAGGGTTTTGCCACCAAGTACTAAGTCATGTTTTGCAGAGGGGTCAAATACTTATTTCCCTCATTAAAATGCAAATCAATTTATAACATTTTTGACATGCGTTTTTCTGGATTTTTTTGTTGTTATTCTGTCTCTCACTGTTCAAATAAACCTACCATTAAATTTATAGACTGATCATTTCTTTGTCAGTGGGCAAATGTACAAAATCAGCAGGGGATCAAGTAGTTTTTTCCCTCACTGTACTTCCTTCTTTTCACTGTCATTTAGGTTAGTATTGCGGAGCAAGGAGGACGAGGTGTGATGGTGCTTTGCTGGTGACACTGTCAGTGGTGATTTATTTAGAATTCAAAGGCACACTTAACCAGCATGGCTACCACAGCATTCTGCAGCGATACGCCATCCCATCTGGTTTGCACTTAGTGGGACTATCATTTGTTTTTCAACAGGACAATGACCCAACACACCTCCAGGCTGTCAAAGGGCTATTTGACCAAGAAGGAGAGTGATGGAGTGCTGCATCAGATGACCTGGCCTCCACAAATCACCCGACCTCAACCCAATTGAGATGGTTTGGGATGAGTTGGACCGCAGAGTGAAGGAAAAGCAGCCAACAAGTGCTCAGCATATGTGGGAACTCCTTCAAGACTGTTGGGAAAGCATTCCAGGTGAAGCTGGTTGAGAGAATGCCAAGTGTGTGCAAAGCTGTCCTCAAGGCAAAGGGTGGCTACTTTGAATAATCTCAAATATAAAATACATTTTGATTTGTTTAACACTTTTTTGGTTACTACATGATTCCATGTGTTATTTCATAGTGTCAATGTCTTCACTATTATTCTACAATGTAGAAAATAGTAAAAATAAGGAAAAACCCTGGAATGAGTAGGTGTGTCCAAACTTTGACCATCACTGAAGATCTCGTAGAACACTGTGTACTACTCCCTTCACAGAACAGCGCAAACTGGCTCTAACCAGAATAGAAAGAGGAGTAGGAGGCCCCGGTGCACAACTGAGCAAGAGGACAAATACATTAGAGTATCTAGTTTGAGAAACAAGCGCCTCACAGATCCTCAACTGGCAGCTTCATTAAATAGCACCCGCAAAACACCAGTCTAAACGTCAACAGTGAAGAGGCGACTCTGGGATGCTGACGACTTAGACAGAGTTGCAAAGAAAAAGCCATATCTCAGACTGCCCATCTTAAGCTTTTATTTTATTGGCCAGTCTGAGATATGGCTTTTTCAGACACTCAACTAGTCTCAAGAAGGCCAGTTTTATTGCTTCTTTAGGCCAGTTTTCTGCTATGCTAACATAATTGCAAAAGGGTTTTCTAATGATCAATTAGCCTTTTAAAATGATAAACTTGGATTAGCAAACACAACGTGCCATTGGAACACAGGACTGATGGTTGCTGATAATGTGCCTCTGTGCGCCTTTGTAGATATTCCATAAAAAATAAAAAATAAATCAGCCATTTCCAGCTACAATAGCCATTTACAACATTAACAATGTCTACACTGTATTTCTGATCAATTTGATGTTATTTTAAATGGACAAAAAAAATAATTTTCATTCGAAAACAAGGACATTTCTAAGTGACCCCATACTTTTGAATGGTAATACATACATACATACAGTTGAAGTCGGAAGTTTACATACACTTAGGTTGGAGTCATTAAAACTCGTTTTTCCACCACTCCACAAATGTCTTGTTAGCTAACTATAGTTTTGGCAAGTCAGTTAGGACATCTACTTTGTGCATGTAATTTTTCCAACAATTTTTTACAGACAGATTATTTCACTTATAATTCACTGTATCACAATTCCAGTGGGTCAGAAGTTTACATACACTTAGTTGACTGTGCCTTTAAACAGCTTGGAAAATTCCAGAAAATGATGTCATGGCTTAAGAAGCTTCTGATAGGCTAATTGACATAATTTGAGTCAATTGGAGGTGTACCTGTGGATGTATTTCAAGGCCTACCTTCAAACTCAGTGCCTCTTTGTTTGACATCATGGGAAAATCAAAAGAAATCAGCCAAGACCTCAGAAATTTATTTTGTAGAACTCCACAAGTCTGGTTCATCCTTGGGAGCAATTTCCAAATGCCTGAAGGTACCACGTTCATCTGTACAAACAATAGTACGCAAGTAAACACACCATGGGACCACACAGCCATCATACCGCTCAGGAAGGAGGCACATTCTGTATCCTAGAGATGAACGTACTTTGGTGCGAAAAGTGCAAATCAATCCCAGAACAACAGCAAAGGACCTTGTGAAGATGCTGGAGGAAACAGGTACAAAAGTATCTATATCCACAGTAAAACGAGTCCTGTATCGACATAACCTGAAATGCCGCTCAGCAAGGAAGAAGCCACTGCTCCAAAACCGCCATAAAAAATCCAGACTACGGTTTGCAACTGCACATGGGGACAAAGATCGTACTTTTTGGAGAAATGTCCTCTGGTCTGATGAAACAAAAATAGAACTGTTTGGCCATAATGACCATCGTTATGTTTGGAGGGAAAGGGGAACCCTGCAAGCCGAAGAACACCATCCCAACCGTGAAGCACGTGGGTGGCAGCATCATGCTGTGGGGGTGCTTTGCTGCAGGAGGGACTGGTGCACTTCACAAAATAGATGGCATCATGAGGAAGGAAAATTATGTGGATATATTGAAGCAACATCTCAAGACATCAGTCAGGAACTGAAAGCTTGGTCTCAAATGGATCTTCCAAATGGACAATGACCCCAAGCATACTTCCAAAGTTGTGGCAAAATGGCTTAAGGACAACAAAGTCAAGGTATTGGAGTGGCCATCACAAATCCCTGACCTCAATCCTATAGAAAATGTGTGGGCAGAACTGAAAAAGCATGTGCGAGCAAGGAGGCCTTCAAACCTGACTCAGTTACACCAGCTCTGTCAGGAGGAATGGGCCAAAATTCAACCAATTTATTGTGGGAAGCTTGTGGAAGGCGCCCTCGAAACGTTTGACCCAAGTTAAACAATTTAAAGGGAATGCTACCAAATGCTAATTGAGTGTATGTAAACTTCTGACCCACTGGGAATGTGATGAAATAAATAAAAGCTGAAATAAATAATTCTCTCTACTATTATTGTGACATTTCACATTCTTAAAATAAAGTGGTGATCCTAACTGACCTAAAACAGGGCCATTTTACTAGGATTAAATGTCAGGAATTGTGAAAAGCTGAGTTTAAATGTATTTGGCTAAGGTGTATGTAAACTTCCGACTTCAACTGTACATTCATTACCGAACTACAGTAAGTGAAGTGGATTAACAACCAGTAAGAGAGTGATGGTAACAGAATCTGTACTATACAGAAATGCATTCTCTTCATGGTGATGTATCCTGAATAGGTACACAAAGGTAGAAAATGCAATAATCCTCCTTTGCATGTTTGGGTATTATTCTACACTAAAGGTCCCCAAATATTTTTGGCCCAAGACCCCATTTTTGAAAAACAAAAAATGTTGCAATCCCACCATGTAAAAGAAAAAGTTATGTAATCAACTGCCAATGTTAACTTTTTTAACTGGGGCTATGACAGTCTATTACAAATCAGTCTGACAGAAATACTGGAAAAAGTACTATCTGAAGGAAGTATGGTTTGAAGTGACAAATGCATCAGAAAGATATTGGAAAGTTCAGAAGATCATCAGGCAATAATTTTGTATGATCGATCATCTGTGTAGAAAAGATAGTAATTCATGATGCTCTTCTCCCCCCAGTCTGATTTAGTGCCTGGTCTTGTCCACTCTGTTCTAATGAGTCCTATGCTGCTTTGTGGGCATTGTAGAGGGAAACAGAAGACACATACACTACATGCTCGTCGAACATCTCATTCCAAAATCATTAATATGGAGTTGGTCCCCCCTTTGCTGCTATAAGAACATCCACTCTTCTGGGAAGTCTTTCCATTAGATGTTGGAACATTGCTGCGGGGATTGCTGCGGGAACTTTCAGCTACGAGCATTAGTTAGATGGGCACTGATGTTGGGCGATTAGGCCTGGCTCGCAGTTGGCGTTCCAATTCATCCCAAAGGTGTTCGATGGGGTTGAGGTCAGGGCTCTGTGCAGGCCAGTCAAGTTCTTCTCAACAATCCATTTAGTCCTGCGCGGCTTGTGTTCCTGTGAGTCTTATCTTTCCGTGATGGGGTCATAATATTTTGTAGCTTAAACCGTTCAAAAGATAAAGCCACATTTGTAGGAAGAAAACTTTCTGTTTATTACAACCGCATCTAGCGGCTACCGGAGGTTACTAACGTAACCCCAGTTCTATAAACCAAGCGCAATTTCTTATTTTGACTCTCACGACCCCAATTTTCAAATCAGGCGACCCCACAGTAACAACCCCTAGTTTTTATTTTTATTTTTTATTTCACCTTTATTTAACCAGGTAAGCCAGTTGAGAACAAGTTCTCATTTACAACTGCGACCTGGCCAAAATAAAGCAAAGCAGTGCGATAAAAACAACAACACAGAGTTACATATGGGGTAAAACATTTTAGTAATTTAGCAGGCGCTCTTATCCAGAGCGACTTACAGTTAGTGAGTGCATACATTTTCATACTGGCCCCCCGTGGGAAACGAACCCACAACCCTGGCGTTGCAAGCGCCATGCTCTACCAACTGAGCTACACGGGGCCCCTAAAACAAAACAAAAGTCAAAAATACAACAGAAAATATATATACAGTGTGTGCAAATGTAGCAAGTTATGGAGGTAAGGCAATAAATAGGCCATAGTGCAAAATAATTACAATTAGTATTAACACTGAAAGAGATGATGTGCAAATAGAGATACTGGGGTGCAAATGAGCAAAATAAATAACAATATGGGGATGAGGTAGTTGGGTGGGCTAATTTCAGATGTGCTGTGTACAGGTGCAGTGATTGGTAAGGTGCTCTGACAACTGATGCTTAAAGTTAGTGAGGGAGATAAGTCTCCAGCTTCAGAGATTTTTGCAGTTCATTCCAGTCATTGGCAGCAGAGAACTGAAAAGAATGGCGGCCAAAGGAGGTGTTGGCTTTGGGGATGACCAGTGAGATGTACCTGCTGGAGCGCATTCTACGGGTGGGTGTTGCTATGGTGACCAATTAGCTAAGATAAAGGCGGGGATTTGCCTAGCAGTGATTTATAGATGGCCTGGAGCCAGTGGGTTTGGCGACGAATATGTAGTGAGTACCAGCCAACAAGAGCGTAGAGGTCACAGTGGTGGGTAGTATATGGGGCTTTGGTGACAAAACGGATGGCACTGTGATAGACTACATCCAATTTGCTGAGTAGAGTGTTGGAGGCTATTTTGTAAATGACATCGCCGAAGTCAAGGATCGGTAGGATAGTCAGTTTTACGAGGGCATGTTTGGCAGCATGATTGAAGGAGGCTTTGTTGCGAAATAGGAAGCCGATTCTAGATTTAACTTTGGATTGGAGATACTTAATGTGAGTCTAGAAGGAGAGTTTACAGTCTAACCAGACACCTAGGTATTTGTAGTTGTCCACATATTCTATGTCAGACCCGTCGAGAGTAGTGATTCTAGTCGGGTAGGCGGGTGCCAGCAGCGTTCGATTGAAGAGCATGCATTTAGTTTTACTAGTGTTTAAGAGCAGTTGGAGGCTACGGAAGGAGTGTTGTATGGCATTGAAGCTCATTTGGGGGTTTGTTAACAGTGTCCAATGAAGGGCCAGATGTATACAAAATGGTGTCGTCTGCGTAGAGGTGGATCTGAGAGTCACCAGCAGCAAGAGCGACATCATTGATATACACGGAGAAAAGAGTCGGCCCAAGATTGAACCCTGTGGCACCTCCATAGAGACTGCCATAGGTCCAGACAACAGGCCCTCCGATTTGATACATTGAACTCTATCTGAGAAGTAGTTGGTGAACCAGGCGAGGCAGTCATTTGAGAAACCAAGGCTATTTAGTCTTCCAATAAGAATGCAGTGATTGACAGAGTCGAAAGCCTTGGCCAGGTCGATGAAGACGGCTGCACAGTACTGTCTATTATTGATTGCGGTTATAATATCGTTTAGGACCTCGGAAACCGGATTGCATAGCGGAGAAGGTATGGTGTGATTCGAAATGGTCGGTGATCTGTTTGTTAACTTGGCTTTCAAAAACTTTCGAAAGGCAGGGCAGGATGGATATACACTGCTCAAAAAAATAAAGGGAACACTTAAACAACACAATGTAACTCCAAGTCAATCACACTTCTGTGAAATCAAACTGTCCACTTAGGAAGCAACACAGATTGACAATAAATTGCACATGCTGTTGTGCAAATGGAATAGACAACAGGTGGAAATTATAGGCAATTAGCAAGACACCCCCAATAAAGGACTGGTTTTGCAGGTGGTGACCACAGACCACTTCTCAGTTCCTATGCTTCCTGGCTGATGTTTTGGTCACTTTTGAATGCTGGCGGTGCTTTCACTCTAGTGGTAGCATGAGACGTAGTGCAGCTTATCCAGGATGGCACATCAATGCGAGCTGTGGCAAGAAGGTTTGCTGTGTCTGTCAGCGTAGTGTCCAGAGCATGGAGGCGCTACCAGGAGACAGGCCAGTACATCAGGAGACGTGGAGGAGGCCGTAGGAGCACTGCCAGAGCCCTGCAAAATGACCTCCAGCAGGCCACAAATGTGCATGTGTCTGCTCAAACGGTCAGAAACAGACTCCATGAGGGTGGTATGAGGGCCCGAAGTCCACAGGTGGGGGTTGTGCTTAAAGCCCAACACCGTGCAGGACGTTTGGCATTTGCCAGAGAACACCAAGATTGGCAAATTCGCCACTGGCGCCCTGTGCTCTTAACAGATGAAAGCAGGTTCACACTGAGCACGTGACATACGTGACAGAGTCTGGAGACGCCGTGGAGAACGTTCTGCTGCCTGCAACATCCTCCAGCATGACCGGTTTGGCGGTGGGTCAGTCATGGTGTGGGGTGGCATTTCTTTGGGGGGGCCGCACAGCCCTCCATGTGCTCGCCAGAGGTAGCCTGACTGCCATTAGGTACCGAGATGAGATCCTCAGACCCCTTGTGAGACCATATGCTGGTGCGGTTGGCCCTGGGTTCCTCCTAATGCAAGACAATGCTAGACCTCATGTGGCTGGAATGTGTCAGCAGTTCCTGCAAGAGGAAGGCATTGATGCTATGGACTGGCCCGCCCGTTCCCCAGACCTGAATCCAATTGAGCACATCTGGGACATCATGTCTCGCTCCATCCACCAACGCCACGTTGCACCACAGACTGTCCAGGAGTTGGCGGATGCTTTAGTCCAGGTCTGGGAGGAGATCCCTCAGGTGACCATCCGCCACCTCACCAGGAGCATGCCCAGGCGTTGTAGGGAGGTCATACAGGCACGTGGAGGCCACACACACTACTGAGCCTCATTTTGACTTGTTTTAAGGACAAAGTTGGATCAGCCTGTAGTGTGGTTTTCCACCTTAATTTGAGCTGGTGGCCGGGGTAGTGGTAGCCAGGTGGAAAGCATGGCCAGCCGTAGCAAAATGCTTGTTGAAATTCTCGATTATTGTAGATTTATCGGTGGTGATAGTGTTTCCTAGCCTCAGTGCAGTGGGCAGCTGGGAGGAGGTGCTCTTATTCTCCATGGACTTTACAGTGTCCCAAAACCTTTTGGAGTTAGTGCTACAGGATGCAAATTTCTGTTTGAAAAAGCTAGCCTTTGCTTTCCTAACCACTTGTGTATATTGGGTCCTACCTTCCCTGAAAAGTTGCATATCGCGGGGGCTATTTGATGCTAATGCAGTACGCCACAGGATGATTTTGTGCTGGTCAAGGGCAGTCAAGTCTGAGGAGAACCAGGGGCTATATCTGTTCTTAGTTCTGAATTTTTTGAATGGGGCATGCTTATTTAAGATTGAGAGGAAAGCACTTTTAAAGAACAACCAGGCATCCTCTACTGACGGAATGAGATCGATATCCATCCAGGATACCTGGGCCAGGTCAATTAGGAAGGCCTGCTCGCTAAAGTGTTTTAGGGAGCGTTTGACAGTGATGAGGGGTGGTCGTTTGACCGCGGACCCATTACGGACGCAGGCAATAAGGCAGTGATCGCTGAGATCCTGGTTGAAGACAGCGGAGGTGTATTTAGAGGGTAAATTAGTCAGGATGATATCTATGAGGGTGCCCATGTTTACGGATTTAGAGTTGTACCTGGTAGGTTCCTTGATAATTTGTGTGAGATTGAGGGCATCTAGTTTGGATTATAGGGTGGCGGGGTGTTAAGCATATCCCAGTTTAGGTCACCAAGCAGTATGAACTCTGAGGATAGATGGGGGGCAATCAATTCACATATGGTGTCCAGGGCACAGCTGGGGGCTGAGGGGGGTCTGTAGCAAGTGGCAACAGTGAGAGACTTATTTCTGGAAAGGTGGATTTTTAGAAGTAGAAGCTCAAACTGTTTGGGCACAGACCTGGATAGTATGATAGAGCTCTGCAGGCTACCTCTACAGTAGATTGCAACTCCACCCCCTTTGGCAGTTCTATCTAGACGGAAAATGTTGTAGTTGGGGATGGACATTTCTGCATTTTTGGTGGCCTTCCTAAGCCAGGATTCAGACACTGCTAGAACATCAGGGTTGGCAGAGTGTGCTAACGCAGTGAATAACTTAGGAAGGAGGCTTCTGATGTTAACGTGCAGAAAACCAAGGCTTTTACGGTTACAGAAGTCAATAAATGATAGCTCCTGGGGAGTAAGAGTGATACTGGGGGCTGCAGGGCCTGGGTTAGCCTCTACATCACCAGAGGAACAGAGGAGGACTAGAATAAGGATACGGCTAAAGGCTTTAAGAACTGGTCTTCTAGTGCGTTGGGTACAGAGAATAAAGGGGGCAGATTTCCGGGCGTTGTAGAATAGATTCAGGGCATTACGTACAGACAAGGATATGGAAGGGTATGAGTACAGTGGAGGTAAACCTAAGAGTTGGGTAACAATGAAAGAGATAGCATCACTGGAGGCACCGATTGAGCCGCTCTTGGCGTGTATGGGGGGTGGAACAAAGGAGCTATTTGAGGCAGTTTGAGAGGGACTTGGGGTTCTACAGTGAAATTGTATAATAAGAACTAACTGGAACAGCAATAGGCAAGGCATATTGACATAGGAGAGAGGCATAAAGCAATCACAGGTGTTATTAGAGAGAGCTAAGACAACAACTGGTAATGGCGATTAAAGTTTTGGCTGAGGCTAAACAGATAAACAGGACAGGGTACTGTGTAAAGGAACAGTCCAGCGCAGGCATCAGCTGTGCAGCTGAGTGATCATAAGGTCCAGTGAACAGCAATGTGAGTCCGAGAGCAGTTCGAATTGGTGCTACAGCGGGGCTAGCAGATGGATCTTCGTGGTCGTCGCAACGGGAAGCCTGTTGAAACCATAGACGATTACGTCGGCAGACCAGTCATGATGGATGGCGGGGCTCCGTGTCGACTCTAGGAGGTCCCGTCCGGTTGACAGAGAGGTAGATAGCCGGGAGATGTGTCTGACTCGAGGCTAGCTCAAGGCTGATTAGCCAACAACAACATCCATTTGGTTGCAGCTAGCTAGTTGCGATGATCCAGTGTTAAAGGTCCAGTGATTCAGTGATTCCGGCAGAAAATCAGATATGTTCTGGGTCGATAACGCGCTGTGCAGACTGGCTGATAATAGTCCAGGCTAGAGCTGGCTGGTAGGTAGTGCAGGCCACGGACAATGGTGAAAAACCGCTAACGGTGGCTAATAGCAAGTAGCTAGTTAGCTGGCTACTCCCGTCCGGTAGACAAAGAGGTAGATAGCCGGGATATGGGCCTGGCTCGAGGCTAGCTCAAGGCTAACTGGTGCTTGATTCGGGGGCAGTGGTGATTAGCCTACAGCAACATCCATTTGGTTGTGGCTAGCTAGTTGCAATCCGGTGTTAAGGTCCAGTGATTCAGTTATTCCGGCAGAAAATCCGATGTTCTGGGTGAAAACCGCTAACGGTGGCTAATAGCAAGTAGCTCGTTAGCTAGTTAGCTGGTTAGCTAGTTTCAACTGGAGATTCTAGATAAAAGGTGAGTAAATAATAGAATCTGTTCCACATTGAGTGAGGCGGGTTGCAGAAAAGTATATTTAGTAGAAGGATGAAAAGTGTGATAGGGAAATATATACGTAAAATAAATAGCAAAAACAGGCTATTTACACAGACACACAACAGAGAACATGACCGCACTGCTACGCCATCTTGGCCAACACTTTTCTACACATTGGCTACTATTCTAATGAGCTCCCCCCAACAAACAAGACCAAATTTGTTTGGTCCAGACAACATCAAATCTGTACCAATCATAGACGTTTATGTTTCACAAGTTTGGATATGACAGTAGAGTGTAGACAAGTAGAGTATAGGCAGGGCTCCAGACTGCGACCATTAGTCGCATTTTGCGACCCTTTAACTTGGCTGTGCGAGTAAAACATTTAATTGGTCGCACTGGTGCGAGCTGCACATTCTACCTGGTCACCTCAACCAAAACGTCCTATTTTTGGGGTCCGGATAAAGGGAATTTGTTCAACAGTAAAGTGCATTATCCTCATGATTCCTGTAATAAAATAGTCTGCCCTGCCTGCCTGTTTCGGAGAGTGCGTGAAATTGCGCATCGGCCATCGCAATTGCACTAGGCCTCACTGAAAAGTTTTATATTTAGCTATAGGCCTATATAATATTTGTGCACGTAAAGATTAAGGCAAATTAATCTTTATTGAACAAAAAAAATGTGAACATTCTGGAGCCCTATTTTGTCTGTAAAATATAACAAAAATAGCCTAATTGTCAACCCCAAATTCATGACAATCACTGTATTAGGTTCAGTGGCGATTTTGGCATGTAAATCTTGGTGGGGCAAAAAAATTAAAAAAACAAGTGGGATGCATGCCAGCAAAGCCACAACACAACACTAAACAATACATTAATTGCACTAGAACGGTGACAAACGGTGCCCACAAACTGTTAGGGCCAACATAAAGCTGTCCCAACATTTGACCACTGCTACACCTGGCTATCAACGGGGCCTTGTCTGGCAGCGAAACAGTTAATTCAACCATTAAGACATTAATGAGCGAGCTAGGACGGACGTAGTCAATATAACTATTTGTTTAGCACTTTTGAAATGTACAGCGACAGAATTCAGAACATGGGCTGTTCTTACAATGTTCTCCCTGTACACCAAGTCAGAACCGTAGGATAAATAAAGGGGGCATATAAGCAGACAATGAAAACTCTTACATTACTCGATGATTACATTTCTCTAAAACAGGTTATAGGCTACATGTGCACCACCAAGTCAGAACAGTAGGCGAAATTATGAGGGGTAAATAGACCAAATGATTAGGGTGAGGCACATGGGCTACTAACAGCTTACTACACAACATACACTTAGTATTACTTTCTTAGCTACAGTATACATATCTCCCTGGCATATTACATCATTTATGCAGCAGCATACAATACATTTGGGGACTCACCTTGTTGTGCTGTGCTCACTTGAACAGGAAGGTGGCGCAGTGATCCTTAGTGGGCAAATTTTGTCATCAAAGTCTGGCATTCTCTGGATTTATTGTGCTTTCAAGACAACTGGGAACTCTGAAAAAAACAAGGTCGAATCATGATGACGTCATTGATCTTCAGGTCGTAGCTCTAGAAAGAGGCTTGAGTTCCGGATTTACAATTCCGAGTTGGATGACCCTTCAAAACGTATTTTCCTAGTCAGAGCTCGTTTTTTCCCCGACTTCCCAGTTGTCTTGAACTCATTGAAGTCAAGTTTTCGCAGTACTGAGTTAACAGTTGTTTTGAGCGTTGCAAAAATCATGCTTCATTGACAGCATAGCCAATGTTGAATTGTGAATAACTTTAGAAGATGATGACTGAAATGTATTCGATTGTGCGGGAAAAAAATTGGGGTGCCACCAAATCATGGGCTGGTGCCACCAACTGAAAGAGTTAGTGGTACCGGTGCAACCAGGAGAAAATGTTAGACTCGAGCCCAGAATTCTTTTGGATACTTACAGCCTTGATTCTTCTTGGGTTTGACTTAAAAAGCTTGGCACACATGTATTTGGGGAGTTTCTCCCATTCTTCTCTGCAGATCCTCTCAAGCTCTGTCAGGTTGGATGGGGAGCGTCAATGCACAGCTATTTTCAGGTCTCTTCACAGATGTTCGATCGGGTTCATGTCCGGGCTCTGGCTGGGCCACTCAAGGACATTCAGAGACTACTACCGAAGCCATTCCTGCGTTGTCTTGGCTGTGTGCTTAGGGTCGTTGTCCTGTTGGAAGGTGAACCTTCACCCCAGTCTGAGGTCCTGAGTGCTCTGGAGCAGGTTTTCATCAAGGATCTCTCTGTACTTTGCTCCTTTCATCTTTCCCTCGATCCTGACTAGTCTCCCAGTCTCTGCCGCTGAAAAACATCCCACAGCATGATGCTGCCACCACCATGCTTCATCGACGGGGCTGTAGTGGAGCAGGTTGAGAGCTTCAAGTTCCTTGGTGTCCACATCACCAACAAACTATCATGGTCCAAACACACCAAGACAGTCGTGAAGAGGGCACTCTCAGGAGACTGAAAAGATTTGGCATGGGTCCTCATATCCTCAAAATGTTCTACAGCTGTACCATCGAGCGCATCCTGACTGGCTGCATCACTGCCTGGTATGGCAACTGCTCGGCCTCTGACCGCAAGGCACTACAGAGGTTAGTGCGTACGGCCCAGTACATCGCTGGGGCCAAGCTTCCTGCCATCCAGGACCGCTATACCAGACGGTGTCAGAGCAGAGGAAGCTTCTACCCCCAAGCCATAAGACTCATGAAAAGCTAATCATGGCTACCCAGAATATTTGCATTATCCCCCCCCACCCCACCCCCTCTTTTACGCTGCTGCTACTCTCTGTTTATGATCTATGCATAGGCACTTTAACTCTACCCACATGTACATATTACCTCAATTACCTCGACTAACCTGTGCCCCGCACATTGACTCTGTACCCCCGTGTATTAGCCTCCCTACTATTATTGTATTTTACTGCTGCTCTTTAATCTATTTTTTACTTAACACTTATTTTTCTTAAAACTGCATTGTTGATTAAGGGCTTGTAAGTAAGCATTTCTACACCTGTTGTAGTCGGCGCATGTGGCAAATAAAATTTGTTTGATTTGATTTGCCAGGTTTCCTCCAGATGTGACGATTGGCATTCATGCCAAAGAGTTCCATCTTGGTTTCATCAGACCAGAGAGTCTGGTTTCTCAAGGTCAGAGTCCTTTAGGTGCCTTTTGGCAAACTCCAAGGGGGCTGTCATGTGCCTTTTACTGAGGAGTGGCTTGCGTCTGGCCACTCTACCATAAAAGGCCTGATTGGTGGAGTGTTGCAGAGATGGTTGTCCTTCTGGAAGGTTCTCCCATCTCCACAGAGGAACTCTGGAGCTCTGTCAGTGACCATCGGGTTCTTGGTCACCTCCCTGACCAAGGCCCTTCTCCCCTGATTGCTCAGTTTGGCAGGTTGGCCAGCTCTAGGAAGAGTCTTGGTGGTTCCAAACTTCTTCCATTTAATAATACGATGGAGGCCACTGTGTTCTTGGGGACCTTCAATGCTGCAGAAATGTTTTGGTACCCTTCCCCAGATCTGTACCTCGACACAATCCTGTCTCGGAGCTCTACGGACATTTCCTTCGACCTCATGGCTTGGTTTTTGCTCTGACATGCACTGTCAACTGTGGGTCCTTATACAGTGAGGGAAAAAAGTATTTAGTCAGCCACCAATTGTGCAAGTTCTCCCACTTAAAAAGATGAGAGAGGCCTGTAATTTTCATCATAGGTACACGTCAACTATGACAGACAAATTGAGAAAAAGAAATCCAGAAAATCACATTGTAGGATTTTTAATGAATTTATTTGCAAATTATGGTGGAAAATAAGTATTTGGTCACCTACAAACAAGCAAGAGTTCTGGCTCTCACAGACCTGTAACTTCTTCTTTAAGAGGCTCCTCTGTCCTCCACTCGTTACCTGTATTAATGGCACCTGTTTGAACTTGTTATCAGTATAAAAGACACCTGTCCACAACCTCAAACAGTCACACTCCAAACTCCACTATGGCCAAGACCAAAAAGCTGTCAAAGGACACCAGAAACAAAATTGTAGACCTGCACCAGGCTGGGAAGACTGAATCTGCAATAGGTAAGCAGCTTGGTTTGAAGAAATCAACTGTGGGAGCAATTATTAGGAAATGGAAGACATACAAGACCACTGATAATCTCCCTCGATCTGGGGCTCCACGCAAGATCTCACCCTGTGGGGTCAAAATGATCACAAGAACGGTGAGCAAAAATCCCAGTACCACACGGGGGGACCTAGTGAATGACCTGCAGAGAGCTGGGACCAAAGTAACAAAGCCTACCATCAGTAACACACTACGCCGCCAGGGACTCAAATCCTGCAGTGCCAGACGTGTCCCCCTGCTTACAGAAGAGGATTGGGAGAATGTCATATGGTCAGATGAAACCAAAATAGAACTTTTTGGTAAAAACTCAACTCGTCGTGTTTGGAGGACAAAGAATGCTGAGTTCCATCCAAAGAACACCATACCTACTGTGAAGCATGGGGGTGGAAACATCATGCTTTGGGGCTGTTTTTCTGCAAAGGGACCAGGACGACTGATCCGTGTAAAGGAAAGAATGAATGGGGCCATGTATCGTGAGATTTTGAGTGAAAACCTCCTTCCATCAGCAAGGGCATTGAAGATGAAACGTGGCTGGGTCTTTCAGCATGACAATGATCCCAAACACACCGCCCGGGCAATGAAGGAGTGGCTTCGTAAGAAGCATTTCAAGGTCCTGGAGTGGCCTAGCCAGTCTCCAGATCTCAACCCCATAGAAAATCTTTGGAGGGAGTTGAAAGTCTGTGTTGCCCAGAGACAGCCCCAAAACATCACTGCTCTAGAGGAGATCTGCATGGAGGAATGGGCCAAAATACCAATCCTACAATGTGATTTTTTGGATATTTTTTTCTCATTTTGTCTGTCATAGTTGACGTGTACCTATGATGAAAATGACAGGCCTCTCTCATCTTTTTAAGTGGGAGAACTTGCACAATTGGTGGCTGACTAAATACTTTTTATCCCCACTGTATAGACAGGTGTGTGCCTTTCCAAATCATGTCCAATCAATTGAATTTACCACAGGTGTACTCCAATCAAGTTGTAGAAACATCTCAAGGCTGATCAATGGAAACAGGATGCACCTTTTATTTGTAATACATTTGCAAACATTTTTAAAAACCTGTTCTCGATTTGTCATTATGGGGTATTGTGTGTAGATTAATGAGAAGAAAAAAAATATTTCATCCATTTTAGAATAAGGCTGTAACTTAACAAAATGTGGAAAAAGTCAAGGGGTCTGAATACTTTCCGAAGGCACTGTATTATTTTTTTATTTTTTTTATGCCATTTAGCAGACGCTTTTATCCAAAGCGACTTACAGACATGCGTGCATACATTTTTTTTGTGTATGGGTGGTCCCGGAGATCGAACCCACTACCATGTATAAGGGACATAGAACAAGTTCTTACGAGCTTACAAAAGAATACTGTATTATGCCTATTTGAATTGCCATGAATCTATTAACAATGCTGAGAGGCATAATCTTTTATTCAGTGCAACCGTAACACAGACCCATTTTTCCAGTATTCATCACTTGGTCCACAACCTCTTCTCTGTCAATGTTGGTCTGTTTCAACTTGTGCCTCTTTAAATAACAAAATGCTCTGAAAAAAAAAAAACTTATTTTAGGATGATGTCAGTCAAGCCCTTGTTCTTATTTAGGAGTGCAGTCCAAGAGTATAATTATGTTGTATTGTGTTGGTCAATCATGGGCACACTCCTCATGACAACCTGACCTAATAAACCTAGTAGCAACAAAATATCACACTGTTTTGAGATTATACATACTACTGTGTTTATAATCTCAGATTAAAGGCTACTGTAAGAACCCTCTTAATATGGAAAAGAACATTATGGTTATTGAGCCTTTTTTGGAATAACTATAGGTTCCTTCTCTCATTTCCAAAGCCTATAAATCACTCTTACTGGAACTCCATGAACAACATACAATTAATAAACCGTTGCTCCATTACCTAACAGTCATGTCCTGTCCTCAGAGTAACTGTCTGTCTGTGGCTCTATCAGACTGACCAGAGATCTGTCAAGGACCATTAGTGTTGTCCACTCTAAGCTGCGTCCCAAATGGCACCTTATTCCCTATATAGTGCACTACTTTTGACCAGAGTCTGTCTGCCTTCACAGCCCTCGTGTTCTTCCAGCTAGCCTGACAGGTACTGATGGGCCAAGTTCTGTCACATCTTGGCCAGTGTGTATCCAGCCATTGTACTACTGGCACCAAGTGACCGCATGATCAAAGCCGCTCAGTCCTTTGTGAACTGGCCTTCCACAAGAACACCATTAGAGACTGGGTCTAGGAGAAGAAAGGGGACTGATTCTGGGCTGTGTCAAAGGCATTCTTTAGAGGGCTCTAGTCAAAAGTAGTGCACTACATAGGGAATAGGGTGACATTTGGGAGCTAATTCTTTTGTGGAGATTTTTTTCTCTGAGTGTACCGGAGGCAGGCACCAGGCAGCCACATTGGCCACCACAGAATACAAGCCTGTTTCATAACTATTCTTTATTTTCAGTGTTTAGGCCTTAATTAGGTTTACGTTGTTTCAGACCACTGGAGAGAAAATATCTAGGATGACAGTTAAAAGGGACAAGGATTGATTGAATAACTGAAGTCAAAGTTTAAGTAGCCAATTTCATAATGTATTGTAAGGCCTTGTGTATAGGCAGAGGCAGGTGGAAAGGCAGTTGGAAAAATTCCATCTGAAACCAAACAATAGGCCTAATCAGTAAATCTTTGGCACAGAGGTGGCAAGCTGAGTTGCCCCTCCTTTATCTCCTAGTTTATTACAGGTGCGCTGTGTAGTCTTCGGACCTTTCACACCCCATCTCACACACACGTCTTACCTAGATAAAGAGAGGCATTCTCCTTCTTGACGTTGTCATCCAGGTAGGTGGGTCCCAGGGTGTAGATGGGCGTCGACCCCATGCCCACCAGGATCTGTGCAATGATGAACAGGGCCACATACAGGTTGTGTTCATTACCCTCCTGGTCTCTGGGGCAGGACACATCCAGGAAGTCCTTGCCACTGCCGTTGTTGTTCATACACAGGCCCTCGTTGCCCCGGGACGAATTCACCTCCAGGATTTGGTACGGAGGGGAGATGAAGTGAGGCAAGGAGAAGAGGGCTGCTCCGACGGCTATGAACACCGCACCCACGGCCAACCATCTGGGCCTCTGCCCTCGCCCTCCGAAGTAACTGATGAAGACCACCACCAACAGACTACCTATGTCAAAGCAGCTGACGAGCAGGCCGGACTCAGAGCTCCGGAGGCTGTACCTCTTCTCTATGGTGGTGATGACACTGCTAAGGTAGCCAGACACCATCAGTGACTGAATGAATGTCAGGTAGCACATGCAGAATAAAAAACAGCGAGAGTCTTCGAGAATTGCACTAATGTATTTCCTAGTGGGTAAACGCATCAGGGGTAACCTCGAGGCGAGGAAGCCTTGTCTCGTTGGGTTTTTACTCCTGGGTTTGCTGACCTGCGTCTCTGTGTTAAATGAACTACTCATCCCCACCACACTAGAACTGGAAGGGGAATAGTTAACATTAGTCCTGGAGGAGGATTCAGGTAGAGGTTGGTTCAGGTTGATCCTCTGTGGGAGTTGGATGAATTCAGCGCTCTTTTCCTCCATTATTGACACCTGCTGCTGCATAGACTTGGCCAACAAGGACTTGCTTTGCTGGCCTGAGTCATTCAGAGCAGGTAAACTTTGGGATTTGAAGTTAATGCCAGCAGGGACCTCATCCTGACTCAATAACTCATCATCCGCTTGAAGGGGTTCTGACAGTTCATTCTCTGTCTCCTTGTGGTCATCGGAAGCCATTGTGTTTTGTTGTTGAGCTGGCTGAATTCACAAGTGTAGGTTTAAAAGTCCAGTCACTGTGTTCAATATCTGACACCACTTACACTATAATATACACATTTCATCCAGTAAAAAACAGCTTCAGGCTGCAAGCCAGGCCCAATAAAAGTGAGAAAATAAGGGATTATGGCTTCTGCATGGGCTTATCTTTGTTGCTGTTAGCAGCACTGCCTCTGTTTATCTCGCGAACACTTGTGCTCTGCCAGCATCTGATTCTTGAGCTCGAGGCCTCTGGTGTCTTCGATTGTCTCTCATGCCTTTAGCCGCTGCAGATGCTCACCATCACTAACGTTAACGGAGGCGGTAGAGTCAAGCAGAAAGAAAATGGACTTGGGTAGATGACACGGCAGAGTTGACATGGTCCCCCTGGAATCCCCTTTAAAAAAAGAAGAAATACATATTTCAGACATATTGAGTGTTTTCACCTCCCCAATACCACCTAGCTGTCATTGTCAATGTCATAACATACGCTGTGTAATTTGAGTAGCTAGGCATCTAATGTTAACGTTAGACATGAAAACGAACTAATTTAACCAGTCTTGACATTCAATTAAAAAAACGGACATGTTGCTAAAAACAACGGTGACTGGCCAGCTAGCATTTACGACGTCGACCTGTTTTCAATACAACCCCTACAGACAAATAGGCATACCGTAGCTAGCTATCTGCAGTCGCCTAGTAAACACTGCGGCTAGCTCTGGTGAGCGGCTGCTGCTGATCTGCTGGTCGCAGGCTTGTAGCTAACTAATAATAGCTGTTAATGAAAATATAATCGCTAGCAAATTTGGCTAACAAACCTGACGATTTTAAGCAATAGCAGGGCCCTTGATTCTTCATTTAAAGGTCCCATTTAAAACCCATTTGACTGCCGTTATCAAATTGCACCAGACAAAGATATCGTCATCCCTGTCTGTAGCTGTACATTCTGACTATCTCGCTCATTCACTCACTCACTCACTCACTTACTCACTCACTGAATAAAATGAAGTTGTTTACCACGACCCGGGTGGTACTAGCTTCTGTAGCGTCCGAGGCCCCTCACTGGTTCGATTTTACTAGGGCGGAAGTGTCGTGTGGCCATATCAAATATTTGTATAATTCATTGTTCTATCTGTGGCCATATGGAGTGATGCTAATACTTGGGGGTGAAGTTGCCCCTAAAAACAGATCTAGAATCAGCTTATTGTACAAAGCCCCTGACCATACAGCTGTTAATGGTCAAAGCATACTTGTGATCAGATGTCAGTCATAGTTTGCTTCTGCATCTGGCACCTGCCAGTAATATAAAATCCTCAGTTCAATCATGCGTGTCTGTGACATACTATTGTTTTAATACTGATATAGTCGCATTTATCAGCTTTATTGGATGGTATGTCTGTGTGTTCCGTAAAATGTGGCATTTTATATGCTAAACAACTATGCCCTCTGTTGATAAGGGGAAGAACACAGGATGGCCCAACCAGGTGATGTACATAGTGCCTTCCGAAAGTATTCATACCCCTTTACTTATTCCACATTTTGTTGTGTTACAGCCTGAATTCTAAATTGATTAAATATATATTTTCCTCTCTTTTTAGAAATGTTTGCAAATGTATTGGACAATATATTCAGAAATATCTCATTTACATAAGTATTCACACCCTTGAGTCAATAGGTTAGAATCCCGTTTGGCAGTGATTACAGCTGTGAGTCTTTCTGAGTAAGTCTCTAAGAGCTTTGCACACCTGGATTGTACAATATTTGCACATTATTCTTTTTAAAATTCTTCAAGCTCTGTCAAGTTGGGTGTTGATCATTGCTAGACAGCCATTTTCAAGTCTTGCCATATATTTTCAAGCCAGTTTAAGTCAAAACTGTAACTAGGCATCTCAGGAACATTCAATGGTGTCTTGGTAAGTAACTTCAGTGTATATTTGGCCTTGTGTCATTGTCCTGCTGAAAGGTGAATTTGTCTCTCTGCGTCTGTTGGAAAGCAGACTGAACCAGGTTTTCCTCTAGGATTTTGCCTGTGCTTAGCTCTATTCCATTTATTTTAATCCTATGACAAGCATACCCTTAACATGATGCAGCCACCACCATGCTTGAAAATATGAAGAGCGGTACTCAGTGATGTGTTGTGTTGGATTTGTCCCAAACATAACGCTTTGTATTCAAGACATAAAGTGCATTTCTTTGCCACATTTTTTGCAGTATTACTTTAGTGCCTTATTGCAAACAGGATGCATGTTTTGGAATATTTTTATTCTGTACAGGGTTCCTTTTCACTCGGTCATTTAGGTTAGTATTGTGGAGTAACTACGTTGTTGATCCATCCTCAGTTTTGTTCTATCACAGCCATCAAATTCTAACTGTTTTTAAAGTCACCATTGGCTTCATGGTGAAATCCGTGAGCAGTTTCCTTCCTCTCCAGCAACTGAGTTAGGAAGGACGCCTCTATCTTTGTAGAGACTGGATGTATTGATACACCATCCAAAGTCTAATTAATAACTTGCTCCACCATGCTCAAAGGAATATTCAATGTCTGCTTTTTTTTATGTTCTTTTTTTATCTACCAATAGGTGCCCTGCTTTGCGAGGCATTGGAAAACCTCCCTGGTCTTTGTGGTTGAATCTGTTTGAAATTCACTGCTTGACTGAGGGACCTTACAGATAAGTAACTGTATGTAGTCATTCAAAAATCATGTTAAACACTATTATTGCACACAGTGAGTCCATGCAACTTATGTGACTTGTTAAGAACATTTTTACTCCTGAATTTATTTAGGCTTGCCATAACAAAGGGGTTGAATACTTATTGACTCGAGACATTTTAGCTTTTCATTTTTAATTAATTTGTAAACATTTCTAAAAACATAATTCCACTTTGACATTATGGGGTATTGTGTGTAGGCAGGCCTGTGACAATCTTTTAATCAATTTTAAGTTCAACAACAAAAAGTGGAAAAAGTCAAGGTACACTGAGATACCCTGTCATAATACATGTAACAGTTGTTACTACAGTGAGGCTAACTGATTACCTTCTGGAATAATTACAGTCTGGAAACTGAATAATTAGATTCTGTAAACCTCATGGAATAGGGACAAATTGTAGACCAAGTCAATCAGTAATTACACTTCAATCAACATAATACAAATAATTTATTTACAATGCCATAAATCATAAATTAGCAAGCAGCATTGGCAAAAGCAATATTAGTCAACAGCTTGCATAAGGTGTAAATTAAATGTTTTGCATAAAATGCTCACACTGGATGAACATCGATGCAGGTGAACATAGTGATATTTAATATGAACATCACACCTGGAAAAATAAATCTCTGAACCGCAACAATGAGCTTTCTAAACGAAAACTCTTTGTTTTACAATATTGCTTTGATTTACCATTGTGTTGTTTACATACTCATCTTAAAGATAGTCAATATGAAACAACTGTACAAATAATAATACAACCCACAACTGATCACAAATAAAATGTGGGGGGGTGAAAATCTACTGTGAAAACCAACCAAATAAACCAGGGGTGTAGTAGTCTAACCATAGCACAAGTACATTGGTTACGTCTGAAATGGCAACCTATTCCATATAAAGTGCACCACTTTTGACCAGAACCCTATAGGCCCTGGTCAAAAGTAGTGCACTATATAGTGAATAGGGTGCCACTTCAGATATGGCCATTGAGTGACGATGCACTCTTCAGTATTGTCATCTCACTATACATATATGATACAACTGTCAACTTCACAGTAATACACAAGACAGAAAAACAGATCTAAGGCATTATGCTAGGTCTTTAGCATGTTAAGGTACTTGCATGTAATATTTACCAATTGATCAAATAGCAAACTATAAATTAAGAAACATTTTCCAAAAAAAGTATTGATCAGTCAGAATCAGAGAAGAAAAAAGTAATTCAATTCAACTAAACCTTGTGAGTGAATTGAATATTCGTATGCACACTCTTTCCTTACAACTTGTCATCGTGATTGCCCAAAATGCATACCTTACAAAAGGCTGTTAACACAGTAACACTTCATGGCTTAAGTTTATTTTAAAGGTTGTATAATAAAATCTTTGGATTTGCAACGAGAGCATTACATCCATTCTATTACATTTTTTTCTCTCAATTTTTTGCATCAGAGCATCCTAATCTTCAAACTTTGCTCAACTCTTTAAAAATGCCTTGTTTAGGACAATGTTAAATGAATTGGGAGAAATTGGCCATCACAAAAATAAGAAATATCCTTTGCATCGTTAGAGAGACATAATAACCAGTGCAAACCTACAAAATAGATATTTTCTGTCCACACATTTTCACAAACGCTTGATTATGTGAGGTCAACTTCATTTCAGCGTTTGCAGACAATTTGGAATTTTCACATTCTTCTTCTAAAAAAAGCAAAATTATAAGTTCTGTGAGATCTCATATTTGCTATGTGCTTACAGACTATAAACCAAACTGGAGTAGTACAGGAATATGGCATGAAAAATACATATTGCCTGTTCATTTTACACATGACTGAAGCAGAACTTGTTTTGTACCTTCCAGGTTATCTATAGACATTACCCCCAATCAACACAGTCAGAGACCACCCTAAAGTGTTGAGTTATGCCTGTTGTTGGCAGGCCTGTCCATTCCTTTCATTATGAGGAGGTTGAGGTGAAGTGCAAGGAAAAATCATTACGCAATGAGTTGAAACCCTGAAAAAACAGTCATTTGTGAGTTAATCCAACACAAACAGTATGACTGTAAAGTCACATTTCAGTGGTTGTTTTTTGTAACACCAGGCTGGAGAGAAAACAGGCATCTTATTCCATTAATTTATACTGCAATATATACACAACCTATGAACATTTACCTTCATACATATCGCAGCAAGGGGATTGACTTGAACATTTCATCTAAAACTACAGGACCTAATATATGTAATTCAATTAGACACAATAAGGTAACACTTTAAGGGATACTTGTTAAGAACGTTACTTAACCCTTTCCTCCCTCTTATAGTGTCATACAAAGAACGTTTCTAAAGTTTAAAAACTATAAATACCTGTAAAACATTTATTTTATAAACCTTTCAAGTGACTACTTTAGTCAGGCTTTACAATCTAACCATTCAAAATCAAACACAATTGTATAGTTTATGCTCTTTGAGCCATTTATAATATATCACTTCTCCATAATTTTTTTTTAAATCCTGTGATGTAATTTTGTCTCGCACCCGTGCATGTGTATACAGCACAAACTCACACACAAAGAAAATATTGTTATTAAAAAAAGACCTGGAGAGAGAGTAGTAAAGAGTGTATTTTCAGAGGGGAGGCATAGTCTGGGGTCTATCCCTTAATAAATACATTCATCTGACCAGATGCCTGCTGACAGGATCAGTTTTGCTTCTATATTCTGTGAGTATGAGTCCATTGTATGCGTGTGTATATGTGTTTGTCTGTATCCATTTTGTTTATGTGTGTATGCTAGTGTGTCAGGGTGTGTGTGTAGAGCTGGACGATATGGACAAAAATCTATATTGCGACAAATTACCTGATTTGATGCGATAACGATAAATAGAACGATAAGTTTACCACAGTTTATTTATTATCCTTAAAAACGACTACTACTAGTTTGATGGTTGTAGCATTCAATTGTCCCATTAACAATCACCCATATTAGCAAACGTATTTCATTTCAAACTTCACATTTCTCTAGTATAGGCTACTTATCGTAATGAACGATTTCAGCAAAATGCCTGCGATAAGTAGTCGGTATGGTTGGTGTCAATAATTTTGGTTTATCGTCCCAGCTATATGTGTGTTTGTCCGTTTCGATTGTGTGTGTGTGTCTGTGTGTGTATGTGGGGAGGATCTAAGTCACACTAAGGTGAATGCAGTTGGTTGGTTCAGGGAGTTGTGTTCTTCTTCAGTAGGTGAGTCTTTGTCCAATCAAAGACCCAGGTAGAACTGCAGGAGCTCCTTGATTGGTTGGATGCCAGTGTTTTCATTGGGTGTTGACCGTTTATACTGTGTTGTCCCACAATAGACCAGGGTTAGCAATAGTTCTGAAAAAGAACATTGTTATATAATTTAAAAATAGGCAGAATTCAGTGAAATAAGACTAACATTCTAAAGAGACACGGGAATGAGAAGGACGTGGGAAGTATGCCCTCAATGACAAATCGGTGCTGTCTGTTTTGATGTGTAAACGTTTTTAAATTCCTAAAGTTGGGCAGACAACAACAGAAGATGAAACGTTACTTGATGGAGTTGCTTCACATGTCAATCCCAACTGTTCTAGAATGAGGCTATCGCCTCGTCTCAAGCCATTATCATTCACCTGTGGAAGTTGGAACACATGGAGACTTCTATTTAATGTTCCACTACACCACCACACTAAGGTTGCCTACCAAATGGCACCCTATTCCCTCAATAGTGCTCTACTTTTGATCAGGGCCCATAAATCAAATCACATTTTATTTGTCACATGCGCTGAATACAACAGGTTACAGTGAAATGCTTACTTACAAGCCCTTAACCAACAATGCAGTTTTAAGAAATAATTAAAACTAACAAAACAAAAACACAATATAAAATAATACAAAATAATGGTAACAAATAATTAAAGAGCAGCAGTAAAAACAACATTTACATTTAAGTCATTTAGCAGACGCTCTTATCCAGAGCGACTTACAGTTAGTGAATACATATATATATATTTTTTCATACTGGTCCCCCGTGGGAATCGAACCCACAACCCTGGCGTTGCAAACACCATGCTCTATCAACTGAGCTACATCCCTGCCGGCCATTCCCTCCCCTACCCTGGACAACGCTAGGCCAATTGTGCGCTGCCCATGAGTCTCCCGGTCACGGCCGGCTGCGACAGAGCCTGGATTCGAACCAGGATCTCTAGTGGCACAGCTAGCACTGCGATGCAGTGCCTTAGACCACTGCGCCACTCAGGAGACTACAACAATAGCGAGGCTATATACAGGGGGTACCGGTAACGAGTCAATGTGTGGGGGTACAGGTTAGTCGAGGTAATTGAGGTAATATGTACATGTAGGTAGAGTTATTAAAGTGACTATGCATAGATAATAAACAGAGTAGCAGCAGCGTAAAAGAGCTGTTTAGAAGCCTCTTGGACCTAGAGAGAACAGTCTATGACTAGGGTGACTGGAGTCTTTGACAATTCTTAGGGCCTTCCTCTGACACTTCCTGGTATAGAGGTCCTGGATAGCAGGAAGCTTGGCCCCAGTGATGTACTTGGCCGTACGCACTACCCTCTGAAGTGCCTTGCGGTCGGAGACCGAGCAGTTGCCATTCCAGTCAGGATGCTCTCGATGGTGCAGCTGTAGAACCTTTTGAGGATCTGAGGACCCATGCCAAATCTTTTCAGTCTCCTTAGGGGGAATAAGTTTTGTAATGCCCTCTTCACAACTGTCTTGGTGCACTTGGACCATGTTAGTTTGTTGGTGATGTGGACACCAAGGAACTTGAAGCTCTCAACCTGCTCCACTACAGCCCGTCGATGAGAATGGGGGCGTGCTCAGTCCTCTTCTTTTTCCTGTAGTCCACATCCCCTTTGTCTTGATCACGTTGAGGGAAAGGTTGTTATCCTGGCACCACACGGCCAGGTCTCTGACCTCCTCCCTATTGGCTGTCTCGTCGTTGATCAGGCCTACCACTGTTGTGTCACCGGCAAACTTGATGGTGTTGGAGTCGTGCCTGGCCATGCAGTCATGAATGAACAGGAAGTACAGGAGGGGACTGGGCGCGCACCCCTGAGGGGCCCCCGTGTTGAGGATCAGTGTGGCGGATGTGTTATTACCTACCCTTACCACCTGGGGGCGGCCCGTCAGGAAGTCCAGGATCCAGTTGCAGAGGGAGGTGTTTAGTCCCAGGGTCCTTAGCTTAGTGATGAGCTTTGAGGGCACTATTGTGTTGAACGCTGAGGTGTAGTCAATGAATAGCATTCTCAAATAGGTGTTCCTTTTGTCCAGGTGTGAAAGGGCAGTGTGGAGCGCAATAGAGATTGCATCATCTGTGGATCTGTTGGGGCGGTATGCAAATTGGAGTGGGTCTAGGATTTGGTTAATGGTGTTGATGTGAGCCATGACTAGCCTTTCAAAGCACTTCATGGCTACAGACGTGAGTGCTACGGATCGGTAGTCATTTAGGCAGGTTACCTTAGTGTTCTTGGGCACAAGGACTATGGTGGTCTGCTTGAAACATGTTGGTATTACAGACTCAGACAGGGAGAGGTTGACAATGTCAGTGAAGACACTTGCCAGTTGGTCAGCGCATGCTCGGAGTACTCGTCCTGGTAATCCGTCTGGCCCTGCGCCCTTGTGAACGTTGACCTGTTTAAAGGTCTTACTCACATCGGCTACGGAGAGCGTGATCACACAGTCGTCCAGAACAGCTGATACTCTCATGCATGTTACAGTGGTCCTCTGTAGCTCAATTGGTTGAGCATGGCGCTTGTAACGTCAGGGTAGTGGGTTCGATCCCCGGGACCACCCATATGTAAAAATTTATGCACACATGACTATAAGTCGCTTTGGATAAAAGCGTCTGCTAAATGGCATATTATTATTATTATCTTATTATTATTATTACTACTTGAGTGAGCATAGAAGTGATTCAACTCATCTGGTAGGCTCGTGTTACTGGGCAGCTCACGGCTGTGCTTCTCTTTGTAGTCTGCAATAGTTTGCAAGCCCTGCCACATCCGACGAGTGTCTGAGCCGGTGTAGTACGATTCGATCTTAGTCCTTTATTGACGCTTTGCCTGTTTGATGGTTCGTCGGGGGGCATAGCGGGATTTCTTATAAGGTTCCGGGTTAGAGTGCCGTTCCTTGAAAGCGGCAGCTCTACCCTTTAGCTCAGTGCGGATGTTGCCTGTAATCCATGGCTTCTGGTTGGGGTATGTACGTACAGTCACTGTGGGGACGACGTCATCGATGCACTTATTGATGAAGCCAGTGACTGATGATCCTCAATGCCATCGGAAGAATCCTGGAACATATTCCAGTCTGTGCTAGCAAAACAGTACTGTAGCTTAGCATCTGCTTAATCTGACGACTTTTTTATTGACCGAGTCACTGGTGCTTCCTGCTTTAGTTTTTGCTTGTAAGCAGGAATCACGAGGATAGAATTATGGTCAGATTTGCCAAATGGAGGGCGAGGGAGAGCTTTGTGTGTGGAGTAAAGGTGGTCTAGAGTTTTTTTCCCTCTGGTTGCACATTTAACATGCTGGTAGAAATGAGGTAAAACGGATTTAAGTTTTCCTGCATTAAAGTCCCACTAGGAGCACCGCCTCTGGATGAGCGTTTTCCTGTTTGCTTGTGGCCGTATACAGTTCATTGAGTGCGGTCTTAGTGCCCGCATCGGTTTGTGGTGGTATATAGACAGCTACGAAGAATATAGATGAAAACTCTCTTGGTAGATAGTGTGGTCTACAGCTTATCATGAGATACTCTACCTCAGGCGAGCAAAACCTCGAGACTTCCTTAGATATCATGCACCAGCTGTTGTTTACAAATATACATAGACCGCCACCCCTTGTCTTACCAGAGGCTGCTGTTCTATCCTGCTGATACAGTGTATAACCCGCCAGCTGTATGTTATTCATGTCTTCGTTCAGCCACGACTCGGTGAAACATAAGATATTACAGTTTTTAATGTCCCGTTGGTAGGATATACATACTTGTAGTTTGTCCACTTTATTATCAAACGATTGTAAGTTGGCCAAAAGTATTGAAGGCAGATTAGCCACTCGTCGCCGGCTCCTTACCAGGCACCCAGATCTCCTTCCGCAATATCTCATTTTCTTTCTACTGCGAATGACGGGAATGAGGGCCCTGTCGGGTGTCTGAAGCAAATCCCTCTCGTCCGACTCAAATAAAAATTATTCGTCCAGTTCAAGGTGAGTAATCGCTGTTCTGATGTCCAGAAGCTATTTTCGGTCATAAGAGACAGTAGCAGCAACATTATGTACATAATAAGTTACAAACAATGTAAAACAACACACAAACTAGCATGGTTGGTTAAGAGTCCATAAAACGGCAGCCATCCCCTCCGGCGCCACTAAGTCAAAGGCTCTGGTCAAAAGTAGTGTACAATGAAGGGTGTTACAGTATAGTGCCATTTGGGAAAGCAGCCTACTACTATACATAGCAAGCAAACCAGTACTAGCTATTTCACCTTTATTTAACCAGGTAAGCCAGTTGAGAACAAGTTCTCATTTACAACTGCAACCTGGCCAAGATAAAGCAAAGCAGTGCGATAAAAACAACACAGAGTTACATATGGGGTAAAACAAAACATAAAGTGAAAAATACAAAAAAATATATATATACAGTGTGTACGAATGTAGTAAGTAATAGGCCATAGTGCAAAATAATTACAATTAGTATTAACACTGGAATGATAGATGTGCAAGAGATGATGTGCAAATAGAGATACTGGGGTGCAGATGAGCAAAATAAATAACAATATGGGGATGAGGTAGTTGGGTGGGCTAATTTCAGATGGGCTGTGTACAGGTGCAGTGATCGGTAAGGTGCTCTGACAACTGATGCTTAAAGTTAGTGAGGGAGATAAGAGTCTCCAGCAGCGTTCGATTGAAGAGCATGCATTTAATTTTACTTGTGTTTAAGAGCAGTTGGAGGCTACGGAAGGAGTGTTGTATGGCATTGAAGCTCGTTTGGAGGTTTGTTAACACAGTGTCCAATGAAGGGCCAGATGTATACAAAATGGTGTCGTCTGCGTAGAGGTGGATCTGAGAATCACCAGCAGCAAGAGCGACATCATTGATATACACAGAGAAGAGTCAGCCAAAGAATTGAACCCTGTGGCACCCCCATAGAGACTGCCATAGGTCCAGACAACAGGCCCTCCGATTTGACACATTGAACTCTATCTGAGAAGTAGTTGGTGAACCAGGTGAGGCAGTCATTTGAGAAACCAAGGCTATTTAGTCTGCCAATAAGAATGTGGTGGTTGACAGAGTCGAAAGCCTTGGCCAGGTCGATGAAGACGGCTGCACAGTACTGTCTATTATCGATCGCGGTTATAATATCGTTTAGGACCTTGAGCGTGGCTGAGGTGCACCCATGACCAGCTCGGAAACCGGATTGCATAGCGGAGAAGGTACGGTGTGATTCGAAATGGTCGGTTTGTTAACTTGGCTTTCAAAAACGTTCGAAAGGCAGGGCAGGATGGATATAGGTCTGTAACAGTTTGGATCTAGAGTGTCACCCCCTTTGCAGCTTTCCAATCTGGGGAAATCAGACGTTATGAAAGAGAGGTTGAACAGGCTAGTAATAGGGGTTGCGACAATTTCGGCGGCTAATTTTAGAAAGGGTCCAGATTGGCTAGCCCAGATGATTTGTAGGGGTCCAGATTTTGCAGCTCTTTCAGAACATCAGCTGTCTGAGTTTGTGTGAAGGAGAAGCGGGGGGGGGGGGGGGGGGGGGGGGGGGGGCATGGGTAAGTTGCAGCAGAGGGTGCAGAGCTGGTGACCGGAGTAGTGGTAGCCAGGTGGAAAGCAAGGCCAGCCGTAGCAAAATGTTTGTTGAAATTCTCGATTATTGTAGATTTATCGGTGGTGATAGTGTTTCCTAGTCTCAGTGCAGTGGGCAGCTGGGAGGAGGTGCTCCATGGACTTTACAGTGTCCCAAAACTTTTTGGAGTTAGTGCTACAGGATGCAAATTTCTGTTTGAAAAAGCTAGCCTTTGCTTTCCTAACTGCTTGTGTATATTGGGTCCTAACTTCCCTGAAAAGTTGCATATCGCGGGGGCTATTCGATGCTAATGCAGTACGCCACAGGATGTTTTTGTGCTGGTCAAGGGCAGTCAAGTCTGAGGAGAACCAGGGGCTATATCTGTTCTTAGTTCTGAATTTTTTGAATGGGGCATGCTTATTTAAGATTGAGAGGAAAGCACTTTTAAAGAACAACCAGGAATCCTCTACTGACGGAATGAGATTCATATCCATCCAGGATACCTGGGCAAGGTCAATTAGGAAGGACTGCTCGCTAAAGTGTTTTAGGGAGCGTTTGACAGTGATGAGGGGTGGTCGTTTGACCGCGGACCCGTTACGGACGCAGGCAATAAGGCAGTGATCGCTGAGATCCTGGTTGAAGACAGCGGAGGTGTATTTAGAGGGTAAATTAGTCAGGATGATATCTATAAGGGTGCCCATGTTTACGGATTTAGGGTTGTACATGGTAGGTTCCTTGATAATTTGTGTGAGATTGAGGGCATCTAGTTTGGATTGTAGGATGGCCGGGGTGTTAAGCATATCCCAGTTTAGGTCACCAAGCAGTACGAACTCTGAGGATAGATGGGGGGGGGGGGGGGCAATCAATTCACATATAAAGAGAAACTATAGTACACACAGGGGTAGGTGGAAGTGGCACTGGACACACTCAGACAGCCCTACACACACACACCCTTTCCCTCCCCTCACCTGCTCAGGGCCCATGGAGGACAGGCTTTCTGTAGGCACAGAGGTCATGGTCATCTGGCCTGCTGACATTTGGTTCATGTTGCTCATGCTTCCGTTGGCGTTTGAGGCCATGGGGACACCGCTCATGTTCGGGTTGGCGTTGCCGTCGTTGTACATTCCACTGTTAGGCTGTTGGGGCACGTACTGCTGAGACTGTTGCGTGAACATACTGAAACATGGAAACAAAATAAGTACATATTCAGTCACTGATTTTTCCACAGGTTGATGAAAGAATTTGTATAACGAGAGCATACTGGATCCATCCTACAGACTGTATAGATTAATGCAAAGTCAAAACATAAGTATATGATCATTGATCATAATAACCATGACAACTAAATAGATGCTAAATGCATAGGTTAGTAGTAGGTTTGCATAATTTCCAGGTTTTCCAGAAATCCTGGATGGTGAATGACAGATTTCCTGCATATTCCCTGATTCAGGAAATCCTCCAACCAGAATTTCTGGAAACCCTTTCTGAAGTTACCGGAATTTTGCAACCTAATCAGTTATCAGAAATCTAGAGCTGCTAGTCAGTCTCACCTGTTTCCTGGCATGTTGCCCTGAGGCCAGCCGTTCATCTCAGAGGAGGGCTGGTAGGAGGAGTTGGCCTGGGTCTGCTGCTGCATCATGGGGCTCTGGGTATGGCTCATGCGAGGGGACATGACAGGGCTCTGGGGGGTGGTGGCTCCTATGAAGCCTGCGTCCTGCTGCTGTTGGTTCATACCTGACAGGACCAACAAGGAGACATATGTTATCAATACTGAGGGGTGGAGAGTACAGCAGAATGTCGACACCCAAACACATTCATTTCATTGTCAAGAAAAGATAGCTTGAGTGCCAGTCCGTTTGTGCCATCATTCCAAGTCTTTGTCACTCATTGTCATGCCATGTTTGACTTGACAATGACAGCAATTAAGCTGGTAAGAGAGCACAAACATACCTGGGACCACGCTAAAGATAAGCTATGCGTTGTAGTTGACTGCTGCAGGTATGTTCATGTAGGAAGCAACAGAAATACAGGAAGAGCCAAAGTAAAGTAAAATACATGCAGTTGGGTTAAAAAAGTTACACAAGCAGAAAATGAATAGTCACATGAATGGGTAAGAGGGGGGTGAAACTAGGTCAAAATTCTACAGGTCAGCCACAACCATTTGCCTATGTGAACACCACCAACACAAAGCAATCTAAAACGTGATAATGCTATTAGTAATTCTTATCCTTGCATTGTATGTAATGGATTGTTTTGACTAGCATGACAAGGGAATGATTAGTTAATACTATGGATTGTGAGTCCTCTGATTTCTTCAGGTTGATAGAATTTGGAGATGACATGAGGCATACTATTTCATTAGCAGATGTTCAGCTAAACCGCGACAAAATGGAGAACGTATGAGAAACAAACACCACCACACAGTCATGCGGCCACCAAATAATGATTATCAGTTGAAATTCAACCTAAGCTGTGATAGGAAGCCAGTAGCACACTGTTCCATGGTGTCTGAGACAGAAGCACACACAGCGAGGTGACCGGGCAGTATTAGAGTATACCTGAGCTGGGAAACTGGAAGGCACTGTGCTGCTGCATTTGTGGACTCACTGCGGCTCCAAACTGTCCGCCTACGTTTCCCATCATCCCTTGCTGGTTAGCCAGACTCATCTGGGAGGAGCCATGCGGGATCGGGGAGGAGTGGAGAGGGGAGAGGAGCTGCTGAGCCCCCGGGAGACCAGGGGACAGCGGGGAGAAGGGGCTGGTGGAGGGCGGTGGGGAAGAGAGCCCAGTACCGTAGCTGGCCGGGTAGGGGAACTGCTGGGGGTTTGCCTGGGGGATCCGAGGGTTGGTGCCCATGGAGGCAGGCATGGAGCTGGGGGGCATGCCGGGGGACTGCGAGGGCCCAACTGCCCCAGCCGCTGTAGCCATGTTGGGGGGGATGGTGAGGCCCTGGGCCCGCATCAGCATGGCTCTCTGGTGGACGTGCTGTTGGCGCTGCCGCAGGTGGTTACTCAGGTACTCCCTCTGTCTCTGGGCCAACATCTGAGCATTAAGGGTTCCCTGGAAGGACAGACGGACAAAAATACATTTCGATTTTAGACATTTAGTGTGCGTCCCAAATGGCACCCTTTTTCCTGTATAGTGCACTATGGGCCCTGGTCAAAAGAAGTAGACTATATAGGGCCGATTTTTGTCAGAGCGGATGGTCAGGGGGCTGGAACATAATTATAAATCATTTCTAAACTGCAAATTGACCACAACTAAGCCCAAAAAGAGTGTATTTGAAAATAACAATCCTTTCATACCTTGATTACATTGAGACACTATCACGTCTTTTTTTTTTTTTTTTGGGAATACTTGGGAACAGATTTCCTAAATTAAACAAATTTGTTGCTGAATTCCTGGAGATTTTCCCCCCCAAAACTCTAGAGGGCCAAAACTGCCTGTTGCCGACCCCTGATATAGGGAATAGGGTTCTGTCAAAAGTAGTGCACTATATAGGGAATAGGCTTCCATTTGAGATGCAAGCTTAGAAATCACACACACACGGAGCTGTTGTGTTACAATAAAGATCTGCTACAGTATTTGAAGGGTCTGACTAACCTGGTTGGGTACACTGGGTCTGAGAGGTAGGTTCATGTTGGACACGCCCATCTGATTCATCATTGGCTGACGATTTTGCTGAGGAAATAAGAAAATTACTTTTAAAAATATTTTTACCAATTAAATATGTTAATTACATAGACCTTCACATTCTATTAGGCCCATTACTCGGTGAAGTCCAAAAATATTAAGATACTGCACAACATTCAGTCATTGTTATGAATTTTCGTATCAAATCTCCAGCAGGTGGCAGTAGAACCCTCAGTGAGTAGACTATAAGCTCTTATTTTCAGATGTCCAGTTCAGTTTGCAATGTTCTTAAATGTCAAGTTCCTTTATGATTTTGACGAGGGAGGGGCAAGGTTGTGCAATTATCGATGTCAACATTGCAAAGTATTTTTTCCAAACGCAACACTATTTCAAGCTTTAGCGTATCAATTGTCCTTTTCAGGTCAGGACATTCCTACATGCCCTATGATTTACAGTGAGGGCTCTAGGGGTGGTGTGTGTGATTTTTAAAGGGAAAAGTTAGTATATTGGGCAAAGTATTTATTATTTAGAACATCATTTTTTTTTTAATTTCAAGCTTTTAAAATGTTTCTTTGCAGATTAAGACATTAATTAGAACAGGGCCAATATAATTTCCAGTGAAGGCTCCACGGGTGGTGTGTCGCCCTACCAGCTGTGCCTGTAGTCGGTGCTGCAGCTGCAGCCTCAGGTTGTTGGGCTGGGCGGGCACCGGGCCTCCTGGTCGGGCAGGGAGTCGGAGCATGGGGTAGCCCATCCGCTGGCCCATCAGACCGGGCATACCGTGGAAGCCAGGGTCCTGCTGGCCCATGTAGTTGCCCTGCGCCATGCTGCCAGCCTGGGGGTAGTGCTGGCTGTACATGGGTGGCTTCATCATGGGCGACTCCTGACTGGGATACTGCTCCTGCTCCACTGGCTGGCCCTACAAAGATAGACAGATCAAACAGGGTAAGAAATTGAGTAACATAGCAGGTCATTTGCAAATGACACAATAGGTCAGTGTTGTTTGTTTTTCCGTTAATAAGTAATGGCTTGCTAACAAAACTAGCCAGCTAAATTCATTTTAGATTTTGTAGTTTCTACACCAACTTGCATAATATCTCAATCCATTTACAAATGACAACGGAACCCACAGCAACATACACATTCCCTATAGACCTTAGGGAAACAAGTAACTATTTGTCGATGTGCCCTTGAGCAAGGCACTTAACCCTAATTGCTCCAGAGTCGCCGTTGATAATGGCAGACACTGGCTGTGACCCCTCTCTCTGAGGGTGTCGCCGGGAGAGTTGAGATATGCAAAAAACACATTTCAAATTCACACATGCGTATTAATATACACTTGTGAAATTGGACAAATATAAGCGCCCACCAAATTATTATTATTAGTAACTACTGTACAGAAGTCACTGAATTACAGTACAGTACTGAACTACAGTAAGGCCTCTAAAGGGAAAATGTACCTGAGCCCAGCTGCCTGCCTGCTATAGGCTTGTTGGCCAGGGCCATAGAGTTGGATAGAGGGCACAATTGGGCCAAAGCCTGTTTTAGCATGGACAGTGCAATTAAAGGGGCAATGCACAATTGAAACAATAACAAAGCATCTCACCTCCACTGTTTCGGTAAAAAGCTGAGGGATGGGTCTGGAGAAACATAAACACTCTCAAATTCATAGAGCTATGGATGCACGGACTGACCATCCATGATATCAAAATCATTGTTTTAACCATGTTTTGAGGGTATACAGTGTTTGTTTACATTAACTTTGTTTACAAACATTGGTTTAAAACAAGCTTATATATTTCAGGTTTTGATGAGGTATGAAAGTTGAACTAAGCTCATTAGGCATTTATAAATTATATTTTCTTCACGAATCAATGGGTACATATCATTAATTTATAAGTCCAAAGATGTATATAGCAACTGCAGATTGCCCCATTAATAAGGGATTTCCCCATTTTGAAGTGGCAATTGAAAAGATAGGAGATGAGCTCTCTAGTACATCTTTGTGGCCTGGGCAGATTAGAGCGGCTAATAGAGATTACCTGACTAACCAGAGTGGGGATTCCCAGGGCGCGGTCAATCTCCTCCAGGCCGTCAAAGTCTTTCAGCACTGAGTAGAGCTGGCTAAGCAGGGCGTCCCCGTCCGAGGGCCCCTCCCCAGGCCGCGATGGGGGACACAGCGCCTCCTCCTGGGGGTTAACATACGCCTGTCTGTGGGGAGTACAACATTTCATTACATTTAGTTCATTCAGCAGATGCTCTGATCCAGACTAAGTTTTGTAGGAAAAAACAAGCACATATCACAGTTATCGCAAGTAGACCCTTTTTCGAAGTGTGGGTGTTAAGTGCAAGAACACGACATGCCACAACACAAGGTCGGAGGTTAGACAGGTGAGGGCCGTGTGGCCAGAGAGGTCACCACGGTGAGAATCATCTGCTTCTCATCAGACAGACACCATCATGTGCATACCATACAACTGTCACACTCAACAGCCACTGACTGTGCAGTCAGTACACAAGCATACAGTAACCTGTTCCGACTTGTCTGGGTTTTCTCATTATCTGGTGAGTGAACAACCAGAGTAGGTTCAGAATGTCACAGTTCGTTGCATCCAAAATGGCACCTTATTCCCTATATAGTGCACTATTTTCAAAAGAGTGTGTCAGACAGTAGAGAAGTGTGAGGTGTGTTGTACTGTCACAGAGAAGAGGTCTGCACTAGGGTTGAATGGCGGGAACCCGGTTGCTGAGATTTACCACCTAAAACCACTCCCTTTTCCCGGGTTAATAACTGCGAGAAACCAGTAAATTATTTATATGAACAGCATGACGTAAAATGGAATGTAACTGTTCAATTATATGTGATGTCTAAATCTAGCTTCTCTATGGCCTTCTCTTTGCGTGATGAATCATCAACTCTCAGGATGGGGACAGACAGACCATCTCAGTATGGAGCGCAGTTCACAATGCATGTAGCCCTATCATCTCATCATGGTAACTTTTTTTCCCCTTGTGACAGGTAGGCCTGCATTTGCTGCAGCATAGCCTATGCTACAGTAATATAAAGACCGAAAGCGTGTCTTTACACATCTCCACCTGGCTTCCGGGGGGTCACCTTCATTTTTCATTGTAAAGATAGGCAAGCACTCTGTCGTTCTCTCCAATGCAATTCAAATTGCATCCAAAATACAGTACCAGTCAAAAGTTTGGACACACCTACTCATTCAAGGGTTTTTCTTAATTTTTTACCATTTTCTACATTGTAGAATAATAGTGAAGACATCTAAAACTATGAAATAACACATATGGAATCATGTAGTAACCAAAAATGGTTAAATCAAAATATATTTTATATTTGAGATACTTCAAAGTAGCCACCCTTTGCTTTGATAACAGCTTTGCACTCTCTTGGCATTCTCTCAACCAGCGTCATGAGGTAGTCACCTGGAATGCATTTCAATTAACAGGTGTGCCTTGTTAAAAGTTGATTTGTGGAATTTCTTTCCGTTTGAGCCAAACAGTTGTGTTGTGACAAGGTAGGGGTGGTATACAGAAGATAGCCCTATTTGGTGAAAGACCAAGTCCATATTATAGCAAGAACAGCTCAAATAAGCAAAGAGATACGACAGTCCATCATTACTTTAAGACATGAAGGTCAGTCAATACGGAACATTTCAAGAACTTTGAAAGTTTCTTCAAGTGCAGTCGCAAAAACCATCAAGCGCTATGATGAAACTGGCTCTCATGAGGACCGCCACAGGAAAGGAAGACCCAGAGTTACCGCTGCTGCAGAGGATAAGTTAATTAGCGTTAACTGCACCTCAGATTGCAGCCCAAATAAATGCTTCAGAGTTCAAGTAACAGACACATCTCAACATCAACTGTTCAGAAGAGACTGCGTGAATAAGGCCTTCATGGTCAAATTGCTGCAAAGAAACCCCTACTAAAGGACACCAATAATAAGAAGAGACTTGCTTGGACCAAGAAACACGCGCAATGGACATTAGACCGGTGGAAATCTGTCCTTTGGTCTGATGAGTCCAGATTTGAGATTTTTGGTTCCAACTGCCGTGTCTTTGTGAGACGCTGAGTAGGTGAACGGATGATCTCCGCATGTGTGGTTCACACCGTGAAGCATGGAGGAGGTGGTGTGATGGTGTGGGGGTGCTTTGCTGGTGACACTGTGTGATTTATTTAGAATTCAAGGCATACTTAACCAGCATGGCTACCACGGCATTCTGCAGCGATACGCCATCCCATCTGGTTTGCGCTTAGTGGGACTATCATTTGTTTTTCAATAGGACAATGACCCAAAACACACCTCCAAGGGCTATTTGACCAAGGAAAGTAATGGAGTGTTGCATCAGATGACCTGGCCTCCACAATCACCCGACCACAACCCAATTGAGATGGTTTGGGATGAGTTGGACCGCAGAGTGAAGGAAAAGCAGCCAACAAGTGCTCAGCATATGTGGGAACTCCTTCAAGACTATTGGAAAAGCATTCCTCATGAAGCTGGTTGAGAGAATGCCAAAAGTGTGCAAAGCTGTCATCAAGGCAAAGGGTGGCTACTTTGAAGAATCTAAACAAATTAATGGGTTATTACATGATTCTATGTGTGATTTCATAGTTTGGATGTCTTCACTATTATTCTACAATGTAGAAAATTGTTTTAAAAAATATTTTGACTGGTACTATAGATCATCCTGTTCAAGATTGATAGGCCTATATATAGATGTCCTAGCTTATTTATTTTAGGTAATACATTGAATGCAGTACTAGCCTTATATTTACCTAATGAATGATGGGTTATGCATAATAAGCTTCTTTGTCTCTTGCGCAAATACGCATGCACCTGTGCGCCGCTGGCCTGCCCTCCTTAGCTCTTGGAGTCCCATTCAGGAAAAGCTAGACTAGAATAGCTTGCTGGACATTTTGTTGTTGCATTTCTTATACCAATTGACTATTCGAAGAGGGACGCAAGCACTTGTTTGCCGAATGTTAAATACAGCAGCCAATAGAACTGCTGTTTGAAACTAGTTTGAAAGAAGCAAGAACGCGCGATGGCGGTAGGTTATAGCAGTTTTTTTATTCAGACCCATAACCATTCAATCTTCATGAAGAGAAGTGAAAGCCTTTTGCATCTAATTCAAGTCCTACATTATTCAAGCATGTCATGTGGCACATACAGTACAGTATGTGCCACATTGACTCGGTCCCGGTACCCCCTCGCTACTGTTATTTTACTGCTGCTCTTTAATTATTTTTAACTTCTCTTTTTTACTTAACACTTATTTTTCTTAAAACTTTATTGTTGGTTAAGGGCTTGTAAGTAAGCATTTCACTGTAAGGTCTACACCTGTTGTATTCGGCGCATGTGACAAATACACTTATTTTATTTGAGTAATACAGTTCACACTCAACAAGATTAGCCTACTGAAGCTAGTTTAATTGATTTACCCAAGAGAGCATATAGCTAGCTACGTCTATGGGCTTTTATGTTTTTCTGTCGTGTGTAATGTGCAGTAGCCTATATCATATATGTATTGAATAACGGCTGGGCTTGGGCTCATTAAATGTCTTTAATGTAGGGCTCAAAAAAATTATTTAATGCATGGCTCATCAGGCTCAGATAGCATCAGGTTGAATTTGAGATCAAAGCTGTAATGAAATCCAGACATAGGCCTATTTATATGCTTTTGAATGACACTTCCGGTTTTGGTGGTGGGTTACCGAGAGAAAAGTGATTTATTATTCTCGGGATGGAACATTTGTAAAATACCTGGAATATATTCAACACTAGTCTGCACTGTGTGTAGCTAGTTACCTGTTCTGGTTCCCATAAAGTCCATGGTCTACAGACATCATGCGGTCAGGCCACGGGGCAGTCTGATTGGGCGGTGCCTGCTGCCCTGGGTAGGGAGGACCAGCCATCTCCATCTCTGATTGCACTGTTCAACAGACATTTTGAAAAGATTCAGAATAAGTTCAATTATAGCCTTCATAGGGCTCTAGATGGATACAGAGGCAAGGTGTGTGTGTGTGTGTGTGTGTGTGTGTGTGTGTGTGTGTGTGTGTGTGTGTGTGTGTGTGTGTGTGTATGCGTGTTAGGCGAAACGGGGGCAAGGTGTGCGTGTGTGGAGAAACATGGGCGGCAGCAGCAGCACTCACCGTTTCCCATCATCTGCATGGCGACCATCTGTCTGGGTCCAGGCTGCTGGTTGCTGGGCCTCATGGGGACTCCAGCGGAGACGTTGGGCACCATGCGACCATCAGGCCCCATTCTCTGCTGCAGAGCCTGGCCAATTGGCCCCTGAGGACCCCAACCCTGCTGCATGCCAGCCCGGGGCATGCCTAGGACAGGGAGACAGAAGAGGACAGACTAAGCTGAGCAAGGATCACTTCTAAACACTGGAACTGGACCCTATGGGCTCTGGTCAAAAGTAGTGCACTATAGAGGGAATAGGGTGCTATTTGGGACTGATCCTATATCCAATAATAACATGAAGTGGCATAGAAGAACACACAAAACATTTAGCTGGTAATACATAGCTTAATGACTTTTTAAACAAGACGACTCGCCTGCGTTGCCCATGTTAGCCTGGTTCTGCAGCATCCCGTGGTTTCCCATCATGGCTTGCTGCTGCATGACAGAGTAGGGGCTGCTGTTCCTGTGAGGAGGGAAGGGCCGGGGAGAACCATTGGCAGACATGTTGGACTGATCCAGGGACATACTGCGGACAGGGGGCCCTCGTCCTGGCTGGCCCATCCTGGGACCATTGAAGTCTGGGAGCACAAGACAGAAAAAGTTACACAATCATCTCACTAAACTATACTGGCTTGACCAAACCATTTTTCCCATATCAAAAGTAGGACAAAGTAGGTAGAAGTTGCCCCTAACTAACCGCCGACACAGGGTCATATATTCTTTATGATAGATTTGGGGAGGGTAAGCTGATCTCAGATCTTTGGTTAAGGGCTACTGCTATCTCGAGCTACTTCCCAAATGGCACCCTATTCTCTATACAGTGAGTGCACTACTTGACCAGGGCCCATAGGGAATAAGGTGCCATTTGGGATGTAACCTGGGACAGATAAGAGCAGAGGTGTGGTTAACTCACGTCCTGGGCCCATGCCTGGAAAGGCCTTCTGCTGGGTGTTGGTGCCCGTGGGACTGCTGTTGTTCTCGGTCATCTGCAGGATGTCGTTGATAATGGACTGCTTGTCTACGTTGGCGGGCAGAGACACGGGTCTGGACTGCTGCTGCTGGTGATGGTGCTGGCCTGAAAAGAGCTGCCGCTGCTGGCTACACTGCAGATCATCCAAGATGTCTTCCAGCTCACTAGACTGCATATCCATGCACACAGACAAAGACGCAGATATAGACATACAAGTTATATATACACACATTAGAATAGCCTCCGGGAGCAGACATGAGTATGATAGTTGTATGTGGGAGGCCGTGTCCATGAGCATTTTGAAACCTCTGATCACTATGTACATACATAATATATAGATATTACAAAACATAAATGGTGTATATTTTCTAGCACAGGAAAACAGTCTGAACACTCCACATTAAAATATGTTTACATTTTTTCCAGATCCCTTTCTAATCAAGAAAACCAGTGCATAAAAAGCCTAAGCTACTTACTGTACGCATCACTGAGAATGAGCTTTTTCAGTGAAGGGAATGAGGCCTATAGATGGGAATGGAATCTTTCCTGCGCAGGCCCTTTCAAACAGGCAGGCCGATGGATAGAGGGGAGGATATAAATAGCCGGCTGCACTAATGAGGTCATGTATGATGTAAGGCCACTCCGCTCCACTCTGCATAGGGAGTTGGCTATTGGCAAACACAGACAGTAATGCCTCCCTATAGGCCAGTGTTTCCCAACCCTGGTCCTCCAGTACACCCAACAGTACACATTGTTGTTGTAGCCCTTGACAAACACCTCATTCAGCTCATTGAGGGCTTGATGATTAGTTGAATCAGGTGTGCTTGTCCAGGGCTACAATAAAAATGTCTACTGTTGGGGGTACTGGTGGACAAGGGTTGGGAAACACTGCTATAGGCTATAGGGACCCCAGATTGCATTTGTGAAAATGACCCCCAGAAAATCATATTGGTCTTATGCCCAATATTCTCCTCTGAACTGAATGTCTATAGTTCCTGTAGGGGAGATGTGTAGCCTAACGGCTTCCATCTAATTAAAGGTTGTAGTTCTTACTTCCTCTTCCCACAGTGTGTCTGCTAGCTACCTCTCCATGTATCTCTTACCCCCTGAACACACAGACTTACTACAACCTTGTCATCCTCCTCACACACAAACACACACTCTACAGAAAGCACAGAGAGCTGGCAGTATAAACACTGGCTGCTAAGCTGTCTGCAGTCACCTAGGCCTTCCGGCTGCTGTTTAGACCAGGACGAGCACAGAGGAGCTACAGGAGCAGGCTACCAACGTGTGCCAACCAGCCAGCACTAAACACTACTGGACTCTCTCCTCCCTCCACTACCCCTGGCAATATGTTGTATTTCAGAGCCCCCACTGTCTGCCAGAGACTATTCAAGACAGACACCGGGCCAGCCTGCCTGCCTCACTCACTAGCCAGCTAGTTTTCAGGACCTGTCCTTGGATTTCACAAGGAGATCAACTTGGCTTTGGCAATGGCTAAGAGGTCTCAACAATAATCAACAAATCCTCACAGCATATTAAATGCCTGGCAGGGCAACAGATTCCCTAGTTAGCCTCTCACTAGGTATTATGTAATAAAGCACAAGAATCCAGGACAACCCCCAGGAGGCTGCATTGTATGGCTAGGCCTATTTCACAGACTAATCAGTGGTTGCGTCTTAAATGGCACCCATTTCCTATATAGTGCACTGCTTTTGACCAGGGCCCATAGAGGGAATAGGGTGTCATTTGGGACGTAGTCAGTGTATCATGACCATACACATTGCTGCTGTTCTGACCTGATCTGCCATGTTGTATCCCGGGTCATGCTTCTCCGTCTTCACGTTGGCCAGCTTCATCTCTGTTCCTGGCTCCATCTTGATGCCTTTCTCCTGCATGGTGTTGTCGTCTTTGTCCAGCAGGTAGCGCAGCAGCGCATTGTCCTTCTTCTTGGGGCTAACGGGCTCCTGCTTGGTGGCCATCTCAGCCACGCTAGTGGCCATGCTGTCTGGTACTCCCTGGTCCTGACTCAGGTCCTTCCCCGTGGCCTCTGCCGTCAGCTTGGCCAGCTCCACCGGGGATGTGCTGTTCTGGAGGAGTCTGTGGAGGATCTTGTGTTTCTCCTTCAACGAGGAGGAGTGGTTGTTGTGGCCACCTGGCCCCGTCCCAGGGTCCTTACAGTTGGGGTCCCCTCCCCCAGGGGCCCCGTGGGGCGAGCAGGGCTCCATGTGCTCCGACTTGTTGGTGAGCAGCTGCAGGAGCTTGGTGTGGCCCTTGCTGTTGAGGAGCCTGTTCTGGGCCTCAATCAGCTCTCCTCCCGGCCCTCCTCCTCCGAAGGGCTCGGGGGTGCCATCTTTCGACTCCCTCTGCTCCCCATCCTCCCTGTCTGGCTGGGACTGCTCTCCGTACGCTCCAAACATCTCCATCTCTCGCTCAGACGTGCTGCTGCGGTTGGCCAGCTGTCTGGAGATGGGGTTGTTACTGCTGCTGGCTCCACCACTACCAGGGGGACTCTGCATCTGCAGCAGATTGCTTGGCTTCCTGTCAGGTGACCCTGAGGACTGCCCCTGGGAGACCCTGTGGCATTCGCTGAGGGCCTGAAGTGCGTTGAGGGAGCTGTTACCAGTGTAGCCACCGTGACTGTTCCCTACCCCTGGCGGAGAGTGAAGGCTGCCCGTCGGGGAGAAGGGTCCTGGGGGAGGAACCCGGGGGCTACCCGCCACACTGGGGCTCTGGCGGTGGCGTGGAGACAGCATGGTACCACCGCCACCCTGACCCCCCTGAGAGGTCACACTGGGGCTGCCCTGCGACGGGCTGTTCATCCCCATCTTGAGTGCATAGTTGCTGCAACCCTGAGGAGTGGGGGTGCGGTTCATAGTCCCATGGCATCCGTAACGTCCACCCTGCAGGGCGGCCATGTTGGTATTGCTGCTGACCATTGTGTCCTGGCCCTGGACCCCTAGCCCAGGGGACAGCCCAACCACACTGGGAGGGGGCAGCGAGGACATGGTGTTCATTGGCTGCTTCCCCATCCCCTGTCCTTGTCCTTGTCCCTGGCCAGACATGTCCGGGTTCATCCCACAGATTGTCTGCTCCCTGGAAGAGGGCCACACACAGACACACAGCTTTAGGGCGTAACAAAAATATAGGCTGTCTCAAATGGCACCGTATTCCCTTTATAGTGCACTACTTTTGACCAGAGCCATGGTCAAAAGTAGTGCACTATAAAGGGAATAGGGTGACATTTGGGACGCAAACCGTACTAAAGGAAGCTGCTTTACGTCATTCCGGCTGAACTAGAGTAGCATAAAAAATGGCATTCAGCAATGGAATGACAATCGTAGTCAACTTTTTCCATTCAGACAGTACTTCTTCTATGATGGCTACTGATGATAAAAGATCATGTTGGCGATGACTAAAGTTCAGTCCTATGAGACACGGTCTGTGTACTCAACAGAGCAAACTCAAACACCAGTCGGGTCTCCACACGACAGTTCTAATGCGGCACACACCGAACAAGCTTTAGCAGCTCCAGGCACAGTTCGAAACACAAAGGCGTCATTGTGCACGGCACTGAAGCTACATTATGAGTTAGAGAATTCACCAAGAAAAAGCAAAGTTTGCAGTTGATCCACTCATTCTCAACAACAGTCCTGTCATTGTTTCCTTTTCTTGTCGAGCTCTGCCCCGGGGACACCAGTTAAACGGGTGAAACACTGGGGTAGCCTCCGAAATGGCACCCTATTCCCTTTAACGTGCACTACTTTGTAGTGCATTCCATAGGGCTCTCGCCAAAAGTAGCCCCTATACAGGGAATAGGGAGCCATTTGGGGCATATCATATTACCTATGGTAAGGGATGAACTGAGCCTCCGTGGTGTGGCTGCACCTATAGAATTAGAATCAGTAGAACAGGCCAGGATCCATGTCTACGACTGCTGCGGTCCAAACAGTGGCTCTGATTGGGGGTTGAACTAGAGAGAGGAGGGGGTCAGGGGGATGTACCTCTGGAGGATGTGGAGGGACATGTAGAGCTGTGGTTCATTGGTGGCAGGGGAGCGCACTAGCTTGCTCTTGGTCTGGGCCGACACAATGGTACCGTCAGACAGGGAGAAGCGATACAGAGGGCTGAATGCATGGCCCTGTCTCAGGACTGGAGAGAGAAAGAATACGAGATATGAAAGAGACAGATTTACTGACACATGCTTTCAATTTTGGAGGACTCCATCGCCAACAAAGGCCTGCAGATCCAGTGAAACATTACAACACAGAATATAATTTATAGAACATAGAATATACAATAATATTATATGATTTCTATGCATTGTACCTTCTTGCTGATGCTTTTTTGCAAAGGACATCTCCCCGTCGTTCTGCAGGTGGAACCTCTGGATGCACCTCCTAACCAGGTCCTCCCAGCCTGGCTTCATGGAGGCTCTCAACAGACTGGTGTCCAGTGATGTGATCTTACCTACGATTATAATGCTAACAGTTAGTTTCCCTAGCTTCAGTCAATCAAACAACTTTATTTTATAAAACTCTTTTTACATCAGCAGTTGTCACAAAGTGCTTTGCAGTTACCCGGCCTAAACGCCAAACAGCAAGCAATGTACATTTCAAACATTCAACATTGAATGTGAATGATGAACCAACCCACATCAGGGGTGATGAGAGTAATAAATATGAATACTGTAGTCCTAGAACTGTACCATACCTTGGAGATCCTGCCTGGTGGTAAAGCTCTCATATGTCGGGAGCATGGGCCTCTCTTTGATTGGAACCCTTCGTGCCACACAGATCAGACAAGACTGGAAATCTAGACGAGGAGGAGAAAAAACACAAATAAATATTCAAAGCTTTACATAGAAGGAGCTCAAGTTCATCGACATGACCTCGTCTTGGCTGGAGGTGGTGGGTGAAACAACGTGTCGATGTTCAGTTCACACCCTGCCTCAACTTTCCTAGCTACCGTCCCTCACTCTCCCCATCAACAGGTTTTCATTAGTGACGCGTCTCCATTGAATTTGCAGCTCTGGTGTGGTTTCAATGTCAAGAGAAAATTGTGGCTGAATAACTGGGAAGTGGCGGCGTATGGATGGCGGTACTAAAATTAGACATTAGAAACATATTTCCCTGGGAGCTCTGGGGGAAAGGAGGAAGTGGCAGCTACTAATTAGACGTCCCAGGGTCCTCTCTGAGGATGTGTCTGACGGATGACAGGAATCTTAAAATGAGGACAGGACACTGGAGAGATGGAGATGAACCGAGGAGAGAAGACATCTGACCACACAGAACTACAAGGTCATATTTACTAGGAACGAATGGAAACAAACAGGACGAATAGGGAAGGGACTACATGAATAGCCAATAAGGAACGCTTGTTTTTGTTTTTCGTTAAAAAACGTTTTGCACTAATGAATGCGACCCAGGTCTGTGATTTCTGTCCAAGCCTAAGCCCAGATGCGCTTTGGAAATACCTCCAATATTGGTAAACCTTACATTCCTAAAAGAATGAGTTTAAAAGTGAAATTCTATTGAAGTGCACATGTAACATCTGTGACAGAAACATTAATGTTCCATGTTGGAAGATTTTGTGAAATTAACTAAGAGAGAGGACCTCATTCCAAGAGTTCAACATTAACCCCTTATTGGAAGACAGAAGAGACAATAACCGATCATCATGGTACTTTATGATGATGGGAAACAACCTTTTATATGTTATTTTATTCACCTCTTTTATTGCCTTCTGTTTGTTTTGCATCTCCTTCATTTCATTGTTTTACTGTAAAGTGAGTTTTCAAATAAAGTTTGATTTGATGGTAAACAAACATTCATGTACCTTCTCCCTCCTCTTTGATGGACTTTGGCTCGGACACGGCGAAACACTGCATGGTCTCGTATTTCTGCTGCACCTCCTGGTCCTTGGGCTCCTGCTCACCCCTCTCCTCGGGCCCGTGGGGGTTGACCAACATGCGGCAGTTAAACGTGTGGCTATTCCTGTTGGGGTTCTCACTGGACCGCGGTGCCCTGCTGTTCACTGGGGGGCACACACAGGCGGTCAAAGGTCAAAACGATCAACTTACTGTCCCCATTGGCACTCAAATCACCATTACAAAGCACTTTTCTATCCAGTCCTTGTTGAGTCCCCGCCAGTTCAGATTGACTAATTCACTGCTGATTGAAAATCTCCTTAAAAGGGATAGTTCACCCAAATGACATATTGGGTTCCTTACCCTGTAAGCAGTCTATGGACAAGATATGACCGCAATCCATGCTTTGGAAAATGCTAATACAGGCCCTAAAACGGGAGCATTTGAAACAGTGGCCAGGTAGAACTATCCCTTTAACACTTTGCTACCAATGTTCCCTTCCACTGACAACCTTTCTCTCTATGTGGATGGTTGTGAAATCACATTAAACAGTGATGGAGTGATAGAGGAGTGAGAGAAGGGGAGGTGTAGTGTAACTCACCCAGGCTCTTGGGCAGCAGGTTCTTGATGAACTCAGCGTGGTCTCCTACGTGCAGGATGCTGTAGACGCTGGTGTTCATCAGCTCCTCCTGGTTATACAGCAGGTACTGGGTCACGTTCTCTGACACAAACACAATGTTCCCCTCCATGTTCACCACAAAGAAGAACCCGTCTAGGGCCTGGGGAGGAACACAACAGGAGTACAGGAAGACTGTTATTAGAAGAAAAATAAATACTTTATTGACGGAAATGTGTCTTTTGCTTTTACCCAACCCCTCCGATATACACACACCTACACACAAACAACATTAGGTTGGAGAGGGAGTAAAGGAAGAGGGTTATTAGTGAGTTATTGACAAAAACGTCAGACAGTATACAAAACGGGTCGTTATCTATTGCGTCACAAATTGTACTCTATTCCCTATATAGTGCACTGCTATTGAGCCCTATGAGACCTATGGGAGCCTTATGGGCCCTGGACAGTAGTGCACTAAATAGGGAATAGGGTGCCACTTTGGATGCAACCATGGTCTTGATCCAGGACGTGGGTTCCAATTGGCCAAGAGGAGAGTCAAGCATTATTACTGAGTCATTAACCAAAAAGTTATCTTACAGAGTCATTACAGTGAGGATAGAAAATGACAAAATGGTGAGCCATCATGGTCCATCTATGGAAGCAAATAAACCATTTACAACTATGACAAACCACTTATTTCTACTATACAGCCATTACAAAGAAAAGGGCATAAGACGTTAAGTGCCACACAAAGAGTCAATTATGGCAGCACAACGCTAACACACCAAGTCAGATTCAGAGCTCCGAGATCAAAACTTAAGTAGAAAATAGTTGTACGTAAAATGAGGGAAAACATTGGGCTCGCTAACAACATGTGACAAGAGGGTTTTGTTCCAAATGGTACCCTATTCCCTTTTCAGTGCACTACTTTTGACCAGTGCCCATAGGGACTCTGCTCAAAAGTAGTGCACGATATAGGGAATAGGGTACCATTTGGGATGCAGCCTGGGTCTTATCGTTAAAACATGACGGTGCTCTGTAGCAATAAGAGACGGTTGGAATATAACCATGCATTACTGCACAGCGAACCGACTCAACCGAGAGCATTGCACAGCAACATGAAATTAACTTTCGCACTTCTTCGTCTAGATACCCCAGATTCCCTCCTCATCATCCTCAGTGAGCTAAATAGCTTGGAGAAAAGGAAGTCTCATCACGACATGTTAAGAGCCCCAGCCAGAGTGTGTGTGTGTAACACACAAGACAGCCAGGCCATTAACCTCATCCCCTGAGCCCAAAACTGTACGCACAAGGCTGTAATACCTCATTCTGGCCTGGCAACAATTCACTGTCATATTAGTGTGGTTGGGTGTACTGTACTATGCAACTAAAGTACAATGAAAACTAGGGTAACAAACTAGGCATGAAACTGAACACCAGCACGATTAAAAGAGGACTACTCTTCCACTCTTCCTCTATCAACTTGCTTCAGCCATGGTGCTACTGCAGATATTCTGTGTGTCATAAATAGACAGAGAAACTCTGTTAAAAGCTACGATTTCGGGTAAATCGCCTGTTCTCTTGGCAGCTCCAGAGAGGCTTCTCTGAGTTTGCTTTATGGCCCGTGGTTGGTTACCGTCAGGACTGATGAGTAACCCACCCCTGGCTAGTGAAAGTGTGCATCCTCCTAAATGGCACCCTATTCCCTATTTAGTGCACTACTTTTGACCAGTGCCCTATGGCCCCTGGTCAAACGTAATGCACTATAAAAGGGAATAGGATGCCATTTGGGACAAAGGCGTAGCCTTTCTGTTGGCTCAGCACTGTACTCTCCTCCACCACGCCAGCTGACCGGCTGTGAATTGTCCCTTCTCCCAGCCTGCACCACTTCAAACAGCGCGGACAACCGGCCGCAGTGGTTATATTTAGAGTCTCCTGTGTCTGAATGCAGTGACATAGGGACCAGAGCGAGTATAAATACCCACTGACACGACAGATTAAACAGAGCTGGAGAATAACACTGGCAGCCACTCACTGATGACCACTTTCCCACCACATAGATAGAGGGACCGCTCTGTCTGACGTCAGTCACACGAGAACCAGGCTAGCGCATTGGTGAACAACTTGTCCTGATGAACACCCAGTTTGGGGTCTAAACTTTGTCCAATTCCACACTTTGGGAGCAATATACCAGTGTGCGGATTCACTTTTTGTTCTATTGTGCATTAATAAACTTGCAGGTGAGTTGGCTACAACCATACGCAGGGGGAGTTATACAGTGCATTCGGAAAGTATTCAGCCCCCTTCACTTTTGACCCCAAGAAGACAGGACAACTTCACCGCATCAAAGGGACGATGGACGGGGCCATGTACCGTCAAATCTTGGGTGAGAACCTCCTTCCCTCAGCCAGGGCATTGAAAATGGATCGTGGATGGGTATTCCAGCATGACAATGACCCAAAACACACGGCCAAGGCAACAAAGGAGTGGCTCAAGAAAAAGCACATTAAGGTCCTGGAGTGGCCTAGCCAGTCTCCAGACCTTAATCCCATATAAAATCTGTGGAGGGAGCTGAAGGTTCGAGTTGCCATACGTCAGCCTCGAAACCTTAATGACTTGGAGAAGATCTGCAAAGAGGAGTGGGACAAAATCCCTCCTGGTGGCCAACTACAAGAAACGTCTGACCTCTGTGATTGCCAACAAGGGTTTTGCCAGCAAGTACTAAGTCATGTTTTGCAGAGGGGTCAAATACTTATTTCCCTCATTAAAATGCTAATCAATTTCTAACATATTTTGACATGCATTTTTCTGGATTTTTATGTTGTTATTCTGTCTCTCACTGTTCAAATAAACCTACCATTAAAATTATAGACTGATAATGTATTTGTCAGTGTTCAAACATACAAAATCAGCAGGGGATCAAATACTTTTTTCCCTCACTGTGTATGTATGTGTGTGTGTGTGTGTGTGTGTGTGTGTGTGTGTGTGTGTGTGTGTGTGTGTGTGTGTGTGTGTGTGTGTGTGTGTGTGTGTGTGTGTGTGTGTGTGTGTGTGTGTGTGTGTGTGTGTGTGTGTGTGTGTGTGTGTGTGTGTGTGTGTGTGTGTGTGTGTGTGTGTGTGTGGTGTGTGTGTGTGTGTGTGTGTGTGTGTGTGTGTGTGTGTGTGTGTTTATATGGTAGTATATATATATATATATATATATATATATATATATATATATACACACACACACACACACACAGCTCAAAAAAATAAAGGGAACACTAAAATAACACATCCTAGATCTGAATGAATGAAATAATCTTATTAAATACTTTTTTCTTTACATAGTTGAATGTGCTGACAACAAAATCACACAAACATTATCAATGGAAATCAAATTTATCAACCCATGGAGGTCTGGATTTGGAGTCACCCTCAAAATTAAAGTGGAAAACCACACTACAGACTGATCCAACTTTGATGTAATGTCCTTAAAACAAGTCAAAATGAGGCTCAGTAGTGTGTGTGGCCTCCACGTGCCTGTATGACCTCCCTACAATGCCTGGGCATGCTCCTGATGAGGTGGCGGATGGTCTCCTGAGGGATCTCCTCCCAGACCTGGACTAAAGCATCCGCCAACTCCTGGACAGTCTGTGGTGCAACGTGGCGTTGGTGGATGGAGCGAGACATGATGTCCCAGATGTGCTCAATTGGATTCAGGTCTGGGGAACGGGCGGGCCAGTCCATAGCATCAATGCCTTCCTCTTGCAGGAACTGCTGACACACTCCAGCCACATGAGTTCTAGCATTGTCTTGCATTAGGAGGAACCCAGGGCCAACCACACCAGCATATGGTCTCACAAGGGGTCTGAGGATCTCATCTAGGTACCTAATGGCAGTCAGGCTACCTCTGGCGAGCACTTGGAGGGCTGTGCGGCCCCCCAAAGAAATGCCACCCCACACCATGACTGACCCACCGCCAAACCGGTCATGCTGGAGGATGTTGCAGGCAGCAGAACGTTCTCCACGGCGTCTCCAGACTCTGTCACATCTGTCACGTGCTCAGTTTGAACCTGCTTTCATCTGTGAAGAGCACAGGGCGCCAGTGGCGAATTTGCCAATCTTGGTGTTCTCTGGCAAATGCCAAACGTTCTGCACGGTGTTGGGCTGTAAGCACAACCCCCACCTGTGGACGTCGGGCCCTCATACCACCCTCATGGAGTCTGTTTCTGACTGTTTGAGCAGACACATGCACATTTGTGGCCTGCTGGAGGTCATTTTGCAGGGCTCTGGCAGTGCTCCTCCTGCTCAAAGGCGGAGGTAGCAGTCCTGCTGCTGGGTTGTTGCCCTCCTACGGCCTCCTCCACGTCTCCTGATGTACTGGCCTGTCTCCTGGTAGCGCCTCCATGCTCTGGACACTACGCTGACAGACACAGCAAACCTTCTTGCCACAGCTCGCATTGATGTGCCATCCTGGATGAGCTGCACTACCTGAGCCACTTGTGTGGGTTGTAGACTCCGTCTCATGCTACCACTAGAGTGAAAGCACCGCCAGCATTCAAAAGTGACCAAAACATCAGCCAGGAAGCATAGGAACTGAGAAGTGGTCTGTGGTCACCACCTGCAAAACCAGTCCTTTATTGGGGGTGTCTTGCTAATTGCCTATAATTTCCACCTGTTGTCTATTCCATTTGCACAACACCATGTGAAATGTATTGTCAATCAGTGTTGCTTCCTAAGTGGACAGTTTGATTTCACAGAAGTGTGATTGACTTGGAGTTACATTGTGTTGTTTAAGTGTTCCTTTTATTTTTTTGAGCAGTGTATATATATATATATATATTATATATATATACACACACACAAGTATTTGATACACTTCCGATTTTGCAGGTTTTCCTACTTACAAAGCATGTAGAGGTCTGTAATTTTTATCATAGGTACACTTTAACGGTGAGAGACAGAATCTAAAACAAAAATCCAGAAAATCACATTGTATGATTTTTAAGTAATTAATTTGAATTTTATTGCATGACATAAGTATTTGATCACCTACCAACCAGTAAGAATTCCAGCTCTCACAGACCTGTTAGTTTTTCTTTAAGAAGCCCTTCTGTTCTCCACTCATTACCTGTATTAACTGCACCTGTTTGAACTCGTTACCTGTATAAAAGACACCTGTCCACACACTCAATCAAACAGACTCCAACCTCTCCACAATGGCCAAGACCAGAGAGCTGTGTAAGGACATCAGGGATAAAATTGTAGACCTGCACAAGGCTGGGATGGGCTACAGGACAATAGGCAAGCAGCTTGGTGAGAAGGCAACAACTGTTGGCGCAATTATTAGAAAATGGAAGAAGTTCAAGATGACGGTCAATCACCCTCGGTCTGGGGCTCCATGCAAGATCTCACCTCGTGGGGCATCAATGATCATGAGGAAGGTGAGGGATCAGCCCAGAACTACACGGCAGGACCTGGTCAAAGACCTGAAGAGAGCTGGGACCACAGTCTCAAAGAAAACCATTAGTAACACACTACGCTGTCATGGATTAAAATCCTGCAGCGCACGCAAGGTCCCCCTGATCAAGCCAGCGCATGTCCAGGCCCGTCTGAAGTTTGCCAATGACCATCTGGATGATCCAGAGGAGGAATGGGAGAAGGTCATGTGGTCTGATGAGACAAAAATAGAGCTTTTTGGTCTAAACTCCACTCGCCGTGTTTGGAGGAAGAAGAAGGATGAGTACAACCCCAAGAACACCATCCCAACCGTGAAGCATGGAGGTGGAAACATCATTCTTTGGGGATGCTTTTCTGCAAAGGGGACAGGACGACTGCACCGTATTAAGGGTAGGATGGATGGGGCCATGTATCGCGAGATCTTGGCCAACAACCTCCTTCCCTCAGTAAGAGCATTGAAGATGGGTCGTGACTGGGTCTTCCAGCATGACAACGACCCGAAACACACAGCCAGGGCAACTAAGGAGTGCCTCCGTAAGAAGCATCTCAAGGTCCTGGAGTGGCCTAGCCAGTCTCCAGACCTGAACCCAATAGAAAATCTTTGGAGGAAGCTGAAAGTCCGTATTGCCCAGCGACAGCCCCGAAACCTGAAGGATCTGGAGAAGGTCTGTATGAAGGAGTGGGCCAAAATCCCTGCTGCAGTGTGTGCAAACCTGGTCAAGACCTACAGGAAACGTATGATATCTGTAATTGCAAACAAAGGTTTCTGTACCAAATATTAAGTTCTGCTTTTCTGATGTATCAAATACTTATGTCATGCAATAAAATGCAAATGAATTACTTAAAAATCATACAATGTGATTTTCTGGATTTTTGTTTTAGATTCTGTCTCTCACAGTTGAAGTGTACCCTATGATAAATATTACAGACCTCTACATGCTTTGTAAGTAGGAAAACCTGCAAAATCGGTAGTGTATCAAATACTTGTTCTCCCCACTGTATGTATGTATGTATGTATGTATGTATGTATGTATGTATGTATGTATGTATGTATGTATGTATGTATGTATGTATGTATGTATGTATGTATATATATATATATATATATATATATATATATATATACACACACACACACACAGTGGGGAAAAAAAGTATTTAGTCAGCCACCAATTGTGCAAGTTCTCCCACTTAAAAAGATGAGAGGCCTGTAATTTTCATCATAGGTACACGTCAACTATGACAGACAAAATGAGAAAAGAAAATCCAGAAAATCACATTGTAGGATTTTTAATGAATTTATTTGCAAATTATGGTGGAAAATAAGTATTTGGTCAATAACAAAAGTTTCTCAATACTTTGTTATATACCCTTTGTTGGCAATGACACAGGTCAAACGTTTTCTGTAAGTCTTCACAAGGTTTTCACACACTGTTGCTGGTATTTTGGCCCATTCCTCCATGCAGATCTCCTCTAGAGCAGTGATGTTTTGGGGCTGTCGCTGGACAACACGGACTTTCAACTCCCTCCAAAGATTTTCTATGGGGTTGAGATCTGGAGACGGGCTAGGCCACTCCAGGACCTTGAAATGCTTCTTACGAAGCCACTCCTTCGTTGCCCGGGCGGTGTGTTTGGGAGCATTGTCATGCTGAAAGACCCAGCCACGTTTCATCTTCAATGCCCTTGCATGTGGAAGGAGGTTTTCACTAAAAATCTCACTATACATGGCCCCATTCATTCTTTCCTTTACACCGATCAGTCGTCCTGGTCCCTTTGCAGAAAAACAGCCCCAAAGCATGATGTTTCCACCCCCATGCTTCACAGTAGTTATGGTGTTCTTTGGATGCAACTCAGCATTCTTTGTCCTCCAAACACGACGAGTTGAGTTTTTACCAAAAAGTTCTATTTTGGTTTCATCTGACCATATGACATTCTCCCAATCCTCTTCTGGATCATCCAAATGCACTCTAGCAAACTTCAGATGGGCCTGGACATGTACTGGCTTAAGCAGGGGGACACGTCTGGCACTGCAGGATTTGAGTCCCTGGCGGCGTAGTGTGTTACTGATGGTAGGCTTTGTTACTTTGGTCCCAGCTCTCTGCAGGTCATTCACTAGGTCCCCCCGTGTGGTTCTGGGATTTTTGCTCACCGTTCTTGTGATCATTTTGACCCCACGGGGTGAGATCTTGCGTGGAGCCCCAGATCGAGGGAGATTATCAGTGGTCTTGTATGTCTTCCATTTCCTAATAATTGCTCCCACAGTTGATTTCTTCAAACCAAGCTGCTTACCTATTGCAGATTCAGTCTTCCCAGCCTGGTGCAGGTCTACAATTTTGTTTCTGGTGTCCTTTGACAGCTCTTTGGTCTTGGCCATAGTGGAGTTTGGAGTGTGACTGTTTGAGGTTGTGGACAGGTGTCTTTTATACTGATAACAAGTTCAAACCGGTGCCATTAATACAGGTAACGAGTGGAGGACAGAGGAGCCTCTTAAAGAAGAAGTTACAGGTCTGTGAGAGCCAGAAATCTTGCTTGTTTGTAGGTGACCAAATACTTATTTTCCACCATAATTTGCAAATAAATTCATTAAAAATCCTACAATGTGATTTTCTGGATTTTTTTTCTTCTCAATTTGTCTGTCATAGTTGACGTGTACGTATGATGAAAATTACAGGCCTCTCTCATCTTTTTAAGTGGGAGAACTTGCACAATTGGTGGCTGACTAAATACTTTTTTTCCCCACTATATATATATATATATATATATATATATATATATATATATATATATATATATATATATATATATATAAAATACATATATATATAAAATACCTTATTTACATAAGTATTTAGACCCTTTGCTATGAGACTCAAAATTGAGTTCAGGTGCATCCTGTTTCCATTGATCATCCTTGACATGTCTCTACAACTTGATTGGAGTCCACCTGTGGTAAATTCAATTGATTGGACATGATTTGGAAAGGCACACCTGTCTATATAAGGTCCCATAGTTGACAGCACATGTCAGTGCAAAAACCAAGCCATGAGGTCGAAGGAATTGTCTGTAGAGCTCTGAGACAGGATTGTGTCGAGGCACAGATCTGGGGAAGGGTACCAAAACATTTCTGCAGCATTGAAGGTCCCCAAGAACACAGAGGCCTCCATCATTCTTAAATGGAAGAAGCTTTGAACCACCAAGAATCTTCCTAGAGCTGGCCGCCCGGCCAAACTGAGCAATCGGGGGAGAAGGGCCTTGGTCAGGGAGGTGACCAAGAACCAGATGGTCACTCTGACAGTGCTCCAGAGTTCCTCTGTGGAGATGGGAGAATCTTCCAGAAGGACAATCATCTCTGCAGCACACCACCAAAACAGGCCTTTATGGTAGAGTGGCCAGACGGAAGCCACTCCTCAGTAAAAGGCACATGACAGCCCGCTTGGAGTATGCCAAAAGGCACCTAAAGGACTCTGACCATGACACAAGATTCTCTGGTCTGATGAAACCAAGATTGAACTCTTTGGCCAGAATGCCAAGCATCATGTCTGGAGGAAACCTGGCACAATCCCTATGGTGAAACATGGTGGTGGCAGCATTATGCTGTGGGGATGTTTTTCAGCGGTAGAGACTGGGATCCTTGATGAACGTACAGAAAGATCCTTGATGAAAACCTGCTCCAGAGCTCTCAGGACCTCAGACTGGGGCAAAAGTTAACCTTCCAACAGGACAACAGCCCTAAGCACACAGCCAAGACAACGCAGGAGTGGCTTCGGGACAAGTCTCTGAATGTCCTTGAGTGGCCCAGCCAGAGCCCGGACTTCAACCCGATCGAACATCTCTGGAGAGACCTGAAAATAGCTGTGCAGCGACGCTCCCCATCCAACCTGACAGAGCTTGAGAGGATCTTCAGAGAAGAATGGGAGAAACTCCCCAAATACAGGTGTGCCAAGCTTGGAGCGTCATACCCAAAAAGACTCAAGGCTGTAATCGCTGCCAAAGGTGCTTCAACAAAGTACTGAGTAAAGGGTCTGAATACTTATGTAAATGTGATATATCAGTGTTTTATTTGTAATACATTTGAAAAATATATATAAAAACATGTCATTATGGGGTGTTGTGTGTAGATTGATGAGGGGGAAAAACAATTTAATCCATTTTAGAGTAAGGCTGTGACGTAAAAAAAAAAAAAGGTGGAAAAGGTGAAGGGGTCTGAATACTTTCCCAATGCACTGTATACCCCTATATCTTTTAAATGTGTTCAAAATCTAAATCAGTGTCGATTTCACAAGCCCTGCTAATCATGTGACTTGTGAGTGAGTGTTGTCAATAGTGTGTGCTCCCACCCACCTCGAGCATCATTGGTCCAAGAGCATCTTTGTCAATAACGCTTTGGCCTGTTGACGAGACATCTGCTTTCTGTACATCCTCTGCATTGGCAGTAGTCGTTTTCTCTGCAGAGTGAGAGTGAGAGTGAGAGAGAGAGAGAGAGAGAGAGAGAGAGAGAGAGAGAGAGAGAGAGAGGAGAGAGAGAGAGAGAGAGAGAGAGAGAGAGAGAGGAGAGAGAGAGAGAGGTTGTTAGACATGTTTCACAACTTAACATGTAATCATGTCGTCAGCAGCAGCAGAGGGAGTGTTTTGTTGAAAAACTGACTAAAACATACCATTGTCTCAACAAAATCCTGAGATGGGAGGAACAGAAGACAACACAACCAATTTGTCATTCTAACTGACAAAATTATTATTTTAGAAAAAGATAAGACCAATTACAATTGGTGGTTTGTGTGGTTGATGATTCATTTATCAGATGCAATCGTTTTACCAGCTCTGAGGGTCCTTGACAATTACTACAACAGGTGTTGTTGTATTAACATTATTTTGTCAGAGCCAACTGATTACCATTAGCAACATAATTTCCCATTAAACAGTCTCCCACAGTACTGTTGATTTACTTGGCAATAATATTTGCAACGGTTGACTTAAATACCAGTGTGCATCATTGAGTGTGGTGTTAATTCCTCACTAGGCCCCTCCCCTACAGTCTCTCCCCCTCTCTCCATTGGTTGGTGCCACTACAGAGTCAAGCTGTTTGTTGTCTGTCCTGTCTGCCTCATTAGGGTACATAGCTGACATTCATGTCCCTGTAAACTGAGCCTGTACATCAACTACCACTGGGCCTGTACATCATGTACACCAGCTACCCTCTATTCACACTGGGCCTACACACCAACACATTGCTGTCAACGTAGATGTAATTAACAAAACCAAGTAGGATCCATGTTGGATCCAGTGATAAAGGGTGAGTGAGTGAGGGAGAGGGAGAACCCATTGCAGTGGGCCTGGGCAGAGCGAGCTCAACATTACTCTCCATTCAATCACTAAACTCAGTGGAGATGGACTGGGAGCCAGTGCTCTGTGGTACACAACACATGTAAGGTTGTAACTACCGTACCTAGGATTGTTCTTGCCTCCGGCATTTGTCCCAAATAGCACTTTATTCCCTACATAGTGCACTACTTTTGACCAGGGCCCATACGGATCTGGTCAAAATAAGTTAACTATATAGGAAATAGGGAGTCATCTGGGACGCAGGCCTTGACTGCTGTTTGAGACTGAATTGGCCAACATTTTACAGTAAACAGCTGTTAAACATAACCGCCATTCAACCATGAATAAATATATTCTGTAAAAATGCCGCTAAGAGAATTTAGTGCAATTGTGTGACCGACATAATGGTGGGAAGCTGTGTGTTAGCTTAAACGCTCAAAATCAATATCTTATCATGTAGAATGACAAATCCATCAATATTAAGGATAGTTTTGTCTTCACAGCATTGCACGCTGCTGTATGCACTGCAGCTGCACAAACTGTAGACAATAACAACACCAACACACTGTATAATACAGTAAGCTGACTCTCATACTAACATGTTATCAAAAGCTGGAACTGCAGGAAGCTTTTCACATCATACAGTAGGGGTTGCATCCCAAAAGGCACCCTATTCCATACAGTGCACTACTTTTGACCGGAGCCCTATGGACCTTGGTCAAAAGTAGTGCACTATAAAGGAAATAGGGTTCCGTTGGAGATGCAACCTACGTACTGTCAGAGCTCTCTCGCTCGCTCTCTGCCACAGGCGCTCACACCAATTCAGAGTCTTGCATCACATTGCGCATTATTACATAATCCAGTGAGTGAATCACAAACAGCCTGCTTCTTCTTTGTCATCATCATCATCATGAAGAGCATCTCATCTGACTGACTCACTGCCGCTGTGTGTGTGTGTGTGTGTGTGTCTGATCTGCTGCAGTCTGCCCTTCCAGAGAGCAGTCTGTATTTCTACGCAGACAGGCACAAAAACAGACAGGTAGGTAGGCGCACACACACCATGCCCTTTCAGCACATCTCTCCCCCAGACACCTTCCAAGCACAGACATCTCACTGAGTCATCAGGACCCCACAACGCATCTCGCAGCTGACTAAAATACATACACATCCACAAATGCACACGCACACAGAAAAAATGCACAGTAAAGGATGGTGTTTTGAAGAACGTAGGTAATTGTTGTGACATATAGGAATATGTGTGCTTAAAATGAAGGGCAAGTCACTCAATAGTAGAAAATAAAAGGATCAAGTCAAATAAAGAAAGCCTTACCCTGCTCTTTTATTTGACGAATCTGCTTCACAGTTTCTTTCAAGATTGCACATTTGTCAGGCTTGACATTGAAGTTGTCAATGTCGTTGATGTTTGCAAAGATCAACTCAGCCAGTTCTTCAATGTATTTGTTTTCATGCTCCCGGTTTGGCTTTTCCGTGCTCCGCTTGGGGCTGTGGAGACAGAGACACAGGTAAGATGACGATGCAGGGAGGGCAGGGTCACACTGATTAGGAAAAACACAGCAATACGTGTGGCATGTGTTTATCAAAGCTTAAGCAAGCAATATAGATAGCCTATACAGGTACCTTAGATTAGCCGACAGCCCAACCAAAATAAACGTCACTGTATTCTGCCATTGCTTGACCAGTGTATGAACAGACAGGCTCTGGTCAAAAGTAGTGCACTATACAGTGAGGGAAAAAAAGTATTTGATCCCCTGCTGATTTTGTTCGTTTGCCCACTGACAAAGAAATGATCAGTCTATAATTTTAACGGTAGGTTTATTTGAACAGAATAGGTTTAGGTTTATTTGAGACAGAATAACAACAACAAAATCCAGAAAAACGCATGTCAAAAATGTTATCAATTGATTTGCATTTTAATGAGGGAAATAAGTATTTGACTCCCTCTCAATCAGAAAGATTTCTGGCTCCCAGGTGACTTTTATACAGGTAACGAGCTGAGATTAGGAGCACACTCTTAAGGGAGTGCTCCTAATCTCAGCTTGTTACCTGTATAAAAGACACCTGTCCACAGAAGCAATCAATCAATCAGATTCCAAACTCTCCACCATGGCCAAGACCAAAGAGCTCTCCAAGGGTGTCAGGGACAAGATTGTAGACCTACACAAGGCTGGAATGGGCTTCAAGACCATCGCCAAGCAGCTTGGTGAGAAGGTGACAACAGTTGGTGCGATTATTCGCAAATGGAAGAAACACAAAAGAACTGTCAATCTCCCTCGGCCTGGGGCTCCATGCAAGATCTCACCTCATGGAGTTGCAATGATCATGAGAACGGTGAGGAATCAGCCCAGAACTACACGGGAGGATCTTGTCATTGATCTCAAGGCAGCTGGGACCATAGTCACCAATAAAACAATTGGTAACACACTACGCCGTGAAGGACTGAAATCCTGCAGCGCCCGCAAGGTCCCCCTGCTCAAGAAAGCACATATACAGGCCCGTCTGAAGTTTGCCAATGAACATCTGAATGATTCAGAGGAGAACTGGGTGAAAGTGTTGTGGTCAGATGAGACCAAAATGGAGCTCTTTGGCATCGACTCAACTTGCCGTGTTTGGAGGAGGAGGAATGCTGCCTATGACCCCAAGAACACCATCCCCACCGTCAAACATGGAGGTGGAAACATTATGCTTTTGGGGTGTTTTTCTGCTAAGGGGACAGGACAACTTCACCGCATCAAAGGGACGATGGATGGGGCCATGTACCGTCAAATCTTGGGTGAGAACCTTCTTCCCTCAGCCAGGGCATTGAAAATGGGTTGTGGATGGGTATTCCAGCATGACAATGACCCAAAACACACGGCCAAGGCAACAAAGGAGTGGCTCAAGAAGTAGCACATTAAGGTCCTGGAGTGGCCTAGCCAGTTTCCAGACCTTAATCCCATAGAAAATCTGTGGAGGGAGCTGAAGGTTCGAGTTGCCAAACATCAGCCTCGAAACCTTAATGACTTGGAGAAGATCTGCAAAGAGGAGTGGGACAAAATCCCTCCTGAGATGTGTGCAAACCTGGTGGCCAACTACAAGAAACGTCTGACCTCTGTGATTGCCAACAAGGGTTTTGCCACCAAGTACTAAGTCATGTTTTGCAGAGGGGTCAAATACTTATTTCCCTCATTAAAATGCTAATCAATTTATAAACATTTTTGACATGCGTTTTTCTGGATTTTTTTGTTGTTATTCTGTCTCTCACTGTTCAAATAAACCTACCATTAAAATTATAGACTGATCATGTACAAAATCAGCAGGGGATCAAATACTTTTTTCCCCTCACTGTATATGGAATAGGGTGCTATTTGAGATGCAGCCAATATAACCGTATGACCAGCGTATGACCTGACTGTGGAATGACCTTCTAGAGCAGTTCATCTGAGTGATCTGTAACAGGGTTTCCGTTAGGAAAATGTGGCGCCGGACATTTGACCCGCAGCATTTTAATTTACCGGACATTTAAGAAATCTACTAGACCCATATGCATTGGTTGCGTAACGTGATTAAGGTGTCCACCCACGGTTCTCAGAATGATATAAATCACATTTAGTTTACTGTAATTCATCTTAACATGCAACTCGGCTGCAATGGCGAGCGTCATTCTTACCGAATTCCGATGAGCAATTTGAAGATGCTATCCACCTCTATGCGGACGACACCATTTTGTATACATCTGGCCCTTCATTGGACACTGTGTTAACAAACCTCCAAACGAGCTTCAACGCCATACAACACTCCTTCTGTAGCCTCCAACTGCTCTTAAACACTAGTAAATCTAAATGCATGCTCTTCAATCGAACGCTGCTTGCACCCACCCACCCGACTAGAATCACTACTCTCGGCGGATCTGACCTAGAGTATGTGGACAACTACAAATACCTAGGTGTCTGGTTAGACTGTAAACTCTCCTTCCAGACTCACATTAAGCATCTCCAATCAAAAGTTAGATCTAGAATCGGCTTCCTATTTCACAACAAAGCCTCCTTCACTCATGCTGCCAAACATGCCCTCGTAAAACTGACTATCCTACCGATCCTTGACTTTGGCGATGTCATTTACAAAATAGCCTCCAACACTCTACTCAGCAAATTGGATGTAGTCTATCACAGTGCCATCCGTTTTGTCACCAAAGCCCCATATACTACCCACCATTGTGACCTGTACGCTCTTGTTGGCTGGCCCTCACTACATATTCGTCGCCAAACCCACTGGCTCCAGGCCATCTATAAATCACTGCTAGGCAAATCCCCGTCTTATCTTAGCTCACTGGTCACCATAGCAACACCCACCCATAGTCTGCGCTCCAGCAGGTATATCTCACTGGTCATCCCCAAAGCCAGCACCTCCTTTGGCTGCCATTCCTTTGAGTTCTCTGCTGCCAATAACTGGAACGAACTGCAAAAATCTCTGAAGCTGGAGACTTATCTCCCTCACTAACATTAAGCGTTAGTTGTCAGAGCAGCTTACCGATCACTGCACCTGTACACAGCCATTCTGAAATTAGCCCACCCAACTACCTCATCCCCATATTGTTATTTATTTTGCACCCCAGTATCTCTATTTGCACATCATCTTTTGCACATCTATCATTCCAGTGTTAATTACGAAATTGTAACCATTTTTGCACTATGGCCTATTTATTTATTGCCTTACCTCCATAACTTACTACATTTGCACACACTGTATATATATTTTCTGTTGTATTTTTGACTTTATGTTTTGTTTACCCCATATGTAACTCTGTGTTGTTGTTTTTTTAATCGCACTGCTTTGCTTTATCTTGGCCAGTTCTCAGTTGTAAATGAGAACTTGTTCTCAACTGGCTTACCTGGTTAAATAAAGGTAAAATAAAATAAATAAAAATGTTAGAATACATAGGCAGCACGTCCATACGGCTAGGGGAAGCTTTCCCTAAAGTAAATTGAATTACCAAATTTATATAGCCTAATTAGCTTACGCTGGTCTATACAGAAACAAATCAAATCATTCAAAATAGGTTACTACACCAGAAAGCACAGGATTTGGCCACAGAGGATCATTAGCTTATTTTTTTATATTTTTTTATCGCATTGTCTACGGTTGGAAGGGCCAACAATTTGGGCAGATCGCGTGGCAAATACCAAATAGATGATTGCTGAGTTGCGACTGTCAGTGAAAAGCAGAGAGACCCAGCTTGGCATATCGCAATATTTAAAATACAAATCGAGGAAAAATAGTTTGGAAAACAAATGGCTATTGCTGTAAAGAGAAGACAATGTAAAGACTCTAATCTGTCTTTTAGTTATCAAAATTCTCAACTTAATTGCGCGAAAAGTAGCCATCTTATTGGCACCAGCGGAGAACATCGGCAATATCCCCGGTGAGTGTGCATATTCACTGTCTATCATTGGGCCAGTGCCACCTTCGTTCGTTTTTGGAAAATAGTTTCCTCCTCCAGGTTAGATGGACGTCATACTGTATGTGTCGTCACTTTCGTAGGCCTAATATATGATCAGGCAACGTCTTTTTATTTATCTGTTTGTCAGTGTCAGCAGAGTAGGCTACCCTGTAATTTTTGTCGTATTAGAAAAGTCTGCTACCGTCTCCAGTCATATAAAGTGTAGTAGAATTGCATGAAATGTGCACATTTTCCTGTGCAAAGAAAATAAATGTAGACTATCTGATCTGTAACTAAGGTTGTGTTGAGGTGTGTGTGTGTGTGTGTGTGTTGAGGTGTGTGTGTGTTGAGGTGTGTGTGTGTGTGTTGAGGGGGGTGGTGGGTGGTGGTGAGGTGTGTGTGTGTTGGGGTGTGTGGTGTGTGTGGGTGAGGTGTGTGTTGTGGGTGTGTGTGGGTGTGTTGGTTGTGTGTGTGGGGTGTGTGGTTTGGTGTGTGTGTGTGTGTGCGGTTGTGTGTGTGGGTGTGTGTGTGTGTGTGTGTTGTGTGGTGTGTGTGTGTGTGTTGGGTGTGTGTGTGGGGGGTTGGTGTGTGTGTGTGTGTGTGTGTTGGGTGTGTTGGTGGTGTGTGTGTGTTGGGTGTGTGTGTGTGTGTGTGGTGTGTGGGTGTGGTGTGTGTGTGTGTGTGTGGAGGTGTGTGTGTGTGTGAGGTGTGTGTGTGTGTGTGTGGTGAGGGTGTGTGTGTGTGTGTGTTGTGGTGTGTGTGTGTGTGTGTGTGTGTTTTGAGGTGTGTGTGTGTGTGTGTGTGTTGAGGTGTGTGTGTGTGTGTGTGTGTGTGTTGAGGTGTCTGTGTGTTGAGGTGTGTGTGTGTGTGTTGAGATGTGTGTGTGTTGAGGTGTGTGTGTGTGTGTGTGTGGTGAGGTGTGTGTGTGTTGAGGTGTGTGTGGGCGCAAGCGCATTGGAGTGAGATCTGTAACTATAAGGCAGTGTCCCAAATGGCACCATAATCCCTATATAGGGCCCATAAAGGCCTGTTCAAAAGTAGTGCACTATATAGGGAATAGGGTGCCATTTGGGATGCATCCTAAGGTTGTGTGTGTGTTTGACAGCTGATCTTACCTGGGCCCCAGGAGGTCCGGGCCACATTCTTTCCGCTTCAGGGACTCTCCCCTGACAGCAGGGTCAGGGGTGTTCTCCCCCGTACTACTCATCTTCAGCAGATATCACCAACTACACGGAGAGAGAGAAGACACCATTAAGGCTCAAGGCTGACGAAGACCTTCAGATCGAAACACAACAAACCGCTGGATCATTCATCAGTGTACAGGTATCTACCTTAATTTCAGAAGTTGATTTTTTCTACCCTAGCACCTGCAAGTGATTGGATCTTCGTACATTACAATGAAACAAGATGCGTACATTATGTATGAAACAAGATGCCGTTAAGGACAATGAGAAAATGTACAGCAGATGTACAGTATTGTGGACCATCATTGTCCTTCAAGGGAAAGTCTTGACGTAAGGTGTTAGATTGAGGAGCACAGCTGAAAGTGAACCAATGAGAGAGATTGAGATGGGTGTTAATCATGACTCTTACCGATCTAGTACATGTCATCCCAGTCAGCCACGTCGTGTGGGAAGCCTAATTGTAAAAGGTGTCAAATGTTTACCTCAATATAAGGCCATTTGTGTGGCTGTGTTAGTGCATGGGCTTCTGTCTCCCATCAAATCCAGGCTGAGGGAGGAAGACCAAGAGCGTATGGCCGCCTTGTGTTTCTGCTCTGTTTGCAGTTAGCGGCGAGAGTACCGCCCCACTAGTCTGTTTGTCCAAGACCCTTCACCGGTTAATGCTATTGGTTTGTCAAATTACAGAAGTAACAGCGCCTATTAAAGGGTGTATACACAAGCCAGACAGAACGACACTGGAAATGGCACCCTATTCCCTTCATAGTGTTACTACTGTTGACCAGAGCCCTACTTTTGACCAGTGCCCATAGGACTGGCTATGGTCAAAGTAGTGCATTGTAAAGCGAATAGGGTGCCATTTGGGACACAGGCCCTTAGTAGTCCAAACAGAGCTCCTTCCTTGTCCTGCCCAGTTTGTGTGGACCGATACTAGGCTGACATTCAGCTCCTGCATTAACTGATGCTTCAATAGAAAGAGATCTGTCAACAACAACGGGCTGGGAACTCTTAAAACACAGAGAGGATGATCACAACAACTGACCTGCATGGACAGACTGCTGGCCTCATTCAAAATGACACGATTTTGCACCGAATGACTGCGGTAAGCAATAAGCATTACAGATTTCTGACTAACACCATTTCCTTATAGAGACGTATAGATCTGTGTCATCATGATGACTCATAAAAATGGACATCTACAGTGATCTGTATCTAATTCCCAAATATCCTAAAAAAAACATTAACACGATAAAAAAATTATGAATTGCAAAATAAATAGTAGTATTAGTCAAGGCCTCATTACATATACAGCCAGCCTGGCCAGCTTGCCTAGCGTCTTTAGGGCGTGTCAGCTAGCCTAGCGTCTTTAGGGCGTGTCAGCTAGCCTAGCGTCTTTAGGGCGTGTCAGCTAGCCTAGCGTCTTTAGGGCGTGTCAGCTAGCCTAGCGTCTTTAGGGCGTGTCAGCTAGCCTAGCGTCTTTAGGGCGTGTCAGCTAGCCTAGCGTCTTTAGGGCGTTGTCAGCTAGCCTAGCGTCTTTAGGGCGTGTCAGCTTGCCCTAGCGTCTTTAGGGCGTGTCAGCTTGCCTAGCGTCTTTAGGGCGTGTCAGCTAGCCTAGCGTCTTTAGGGCGTGTCAGCTAGCCTAGCGTCTTTAGGGCGTGTCAGCTTGCCTAGCGTCTTTAGGGCGTGTCAGCTAGCCTAGCGTCTTTAGGGCGTGTCAGCTAGCCTAGCGTCTTTAGGGCGTGTCAGCTAGCCTAGTGTCTTTAGGGCGTGACAGCTTGCCTAGCGCTTTAGGGGTAGTCAGCTAGCCTAGCGTCTTTAGGGCGTGTCAGCTAGCCTAGCGTCTTTAGGGCGTGTCAGCTAGCCTAGCGTCTTTAGGGCGTGTCAGCTAGCCTAGCGTCTTTAGGGCGTGTCAGCTAGCCTAGCATTGAGCTGAGTTGATCTGAGCTGCTGGTGGAATAGCAGACTAGTATACTAAGAAGCCAGGCAGGCCAGCACATCACCTGACCATTACATAACACACAGCCTGGATCTGCCACTGAGCAGATGAGGAGGAGAGGAAGAAGAGAGAGAGTGCCGGCTGGGACAAATCTCCCTGCTCATCTAAATGAATAACCAGCCCATAGATCCCTGCTGGAGACTACACTGGCACTATTAGATCAGGAGGAGGAGGACGAGGAGAAGTCTCAGTCTACTTCTCTCATTTATGCATGCTTACCAAATTTATACAGGAATTCATTGTTAGGGCTTCTCACTTGCTCAGTTAAATTAGGGGGGAGGGGTATCAAAGCTCTCAAGAAATGAAACCGATCATACAAGCATCTTGAGACGCTGTGATTAGAGCTGTGGCGGTCATGACATTTTGTCAGCCGGTTATTGTCATGTAAAAGAACTTCACTGAATAAAATAGAAAGGCTATTTTTCCCCATTATGGAGCGAGTGCGCATATGAAGTGGCTATCTTGAGCGTAAAAGTGATAATTTGAAAACAGGTCCTATGGTAGATTTAGAGTTATTTGGCAACTTTAGTTGTGAATGATACAAACATTAAAAATGTCTTAGAAATCAAAACATATATGGGCTTCATGGTGCGACTATAGGCTATTGATGATTTGAGAAAGTAGCAAAAAAAGCTTGTGCTCTGTTCCTTGCCTCATGCTGCCCAGCTGTTCTCTCATCAAGTGATCATACTTTCACCCATTAGACTATTCTCAATGTAATCTTGTCTTTAAAAATATGATCTACAGTACTAGTCAAAAGTTTGGACACACCTACTCATTCCAGGGTTTTTCTTTATTTTAAAATGTTCTACATTGTAGAATTCCAATTGAAGCTCGCATCCGCTACAAGACCATGGTGCTTGCCTTTGGAGCAGTGAGGGGAACGGCACCCCTGTACCTTCAGGCTCTGATCAGTCCCTACACCCAAACGAGGACATTGCGTTCATCCACCTCTGGCCTGCTGGCTCCCCTTCCTCTGCGGAAGCACAGCTCCCCCTCAGCCCAGTCAAAACTGTTCGCTGCTCTGGCACCCCAATGGTGGAACAAGCTCCCTCACGACGCCAGGACAGCGGAGTCACTCACCACCTTCCGGAGACATTTGAAACCCCACCTCTTTAAGGAATACCTGGGATAGGCTAAAGTATTCCTTCTAACCCCCCCCCCCCCCCCAAATTGTAAAGTGGTTATCCCACTGGCTATAGGGTGAACGCACCAATTTGTGAGTCGCTCTGGCTAAGAGCGTCTGCTAAATGACGTTAATGTGCCCTTGAGCAAGGCACTTAACCCAATAGTGAAGCCATCAACACTATGAAATAACACATATGGAATCATGTAGTGACTGAAAAAGTGTTAAACAAATCAAAATATAATTTCAAAGTCGCCACCCTTTGCCTTGAGAGCTTTGCACACTCTTGGCATTCTCTCAACCAGCTTCATGAGGTAGTCACCTGGAATGCATTTCAAATAACAGGTGTGCCTTAAGTTAATGTGTGGAATGTATTTCCTTCTTAATGTGTTTGAGCCAATCAGTTGTGTTGTGACAAGGTAGGGGGGGGGGTATACAGAAGATAACCTTATTTGGTAAAAGTCCATATTATGGCAAGAACCGCTCATATAAGCAAAGAGAAACGACAGTCCATCATTACTTTAAGACATGAAGGTCAGTCAACAGGGAAAATGTCAAGAACTTTGATAGTTTCTTCAAGTGCAGTCGCAAAAACCATCAAGCACTATGATGAAACTGGCTTTCATGAGGACTGCCACAGGAAAGGAAGACCCAGAGTTACCTCTGCTGTAGAGGATAAGTTCATTAGAGTTACCAGCCTAAAAAATTGCAGCCCAAATAAATGCTTAAAGTTCAAGTAACAGCCATCTCAACATCAACTGTTCAGAGGAGACTGCGTGAAATCGGGCCTTCATGGTCGAATTGCTGCAAAGAAACCACTACTAAAAATGACACCAATAAGAAGAGACTTGCTTGGGCCAAGAAACACGAGCAACGGACATTAGACCGGTAGAAATCTGTCCTTTGGTCTGATGAGTCCAAATTTGAGATTTTTGGTTTCCAACCGCCGTGTCTTTGTGAGACGCAGAGTAGGTGAACGGATGATCTCTGCATGTGTGGTTCCCACCGTGAAGCATGGAGGAGAAGGTGTGATGGTGCTTTGTTGGTGACACAGTCTGTGATTTATTTAGAAATGAAGGCACACTTAACCAGCATGGCTACCACAGCATTCTAAAGCGATACGCCATCCCATCTGGTTTGGGCTTAGTGGGACTATCATTTGTTTTTCAACAGGACAATGACCCAACACACCTCCAGGCTGTGTAAGGGCTATTTTACCAAGAAGAAGAGTGATGGAGTGCTGCATCAGATGACCTGGCCTCCACAAATCACCCGAACTCAACCCAATTGGGATGAGTTGGACTGCAGAGTGAAGGAAAAGCAGCAAACAAACTGGTTGAGAGAATGCCAAGAGTGTGCAAAGCTGTCATCAAGGCAAAAGGTGGCTACTTTGAAGAATCTAAAATATATTTTGATTTGTTTAACACTTTTTTGGTTACTACATGATTCCATATGTGTTATTTTATAGTTGTGATGTCTTCACTATTATTCTACAAAGTAGAAAATAGTACAAATAAAGAAAAACCCTTGAATGAGTAGGTGTGTCCGAACTTTTGATTGGTACTGTAGAATGGTCCATTATCAAATGGGCAGGAACAAGGACTGGGGAAAAAAGACGTGATCTGTATGCACTCAAATAGAGAATGGAGGCGGTGCGCTTTCCAGCTGGTCTATTTTGTAAGATACTTCAGTTTTATAGCGGCGCATGTGATATCCGCCCAAGCTCTGTATTCCATTACCTCTCCAACCTTGTTCCTGCAGCTACCCAGTGCTTGATTTGGGAAACCAAGTGAAATCCGGTCGGGAACATCAACAGCAACATGTTTCCCCAACAAAACATATTTCACTAAACTGTTGACAGCCCGCCTGCGCGCTCAAGAAAGGAATAAAGGAGGAGATGGAAACGCATGGTGGTGAGATATTCTGTATAGCTAAAAAGGTAATGTGTCA